ACAAGTGGTCCAGGTGACAACTGCCCAGGTGACACTCCCTCGGCAGTTCTAGAGGTGTTTGAGGAGACAAACCAACCCTCCTAGCATCCCCTGTTGGGGGCTTGAAATAGTCACTAATGGGAAGTGACTTTCCCAAAGTTAGGGAGCTGGAGTCTGTGCGATACAGGGGGAGCTACTGTTTAGGGGCCAGGTAGTTACAACAATTATGTTTGAAAAGTCAAGCATATTTGAAATGAGGCAGTTGACTAATTTGCAGTTTCCAGATATTATGTATATGTAGAATTAATGTTATTATCAACCAAATACATTCTGCTCGAGTGTGGATTTAAACTGTAACAAATGGAGGTATTAGAGTGCCATCTAGTGGAAACATCAAAAATTGAGTTGAAATTTTTGCTAGCTGATTTGTCTTGTCTTTCTTTTTTCACCTATTAAACAATAACATAATATGCTAAGATGGTAATAATAATGCCTTATCTTACATGGTTGTGATGAGGACTAGGAGGTGGTAATGAGAAGTCAGAGGTGGTAGCAAGGGACATGAGGTGTAAGGAGGCACATGAAGTGGCAAGAGGAACTTGAGGTTTTAACAAGGGTGTGAGGTGGTAATGTGGGGTAGGGGATGCAATGAGAAGTGAAGCACATGCAGTGTGGAGCAGGTGCTCCATAAAAGGTAGAATACATACTGTTCTTACTTATTTTCCTTAATTAATTTATTTTTTCTTATTCTCTTATACTTATTAAAATAATATTGCTAATATGGCCTTTAATCAATCAGTACTGATCAATCACTGATTGTTGGGATTACTGAATTTGATGTGTCTGATATCCATTTAGCAAGCATTTCCCTTATCTCTAAAATGTCTCCTTTAACTCTTTTTTTTAAAGATTTATTTATTTATGCATACAAGAACAGGGGTACAGGCTAGAGGTATGGGAGGTGAGAGGATTCACCAGAGAAAGAGTGGGGAACAGAACAGGCAGACTGACTGAAATACACTGCTGAGGGGAGCAGCTGGTGAGACAGGAGAGGTCTGCTGCACCATGTGGGTAGCTCCCTGGCTGGGGATCGAACTTGTGCTGCAGTGTCTACAGACAGCTTCATAGGTTGCATCTTAACCCCTTGCACCACCAGGGAGGCCCATCTCCTTTAACTCTTTTTGAATATAATTAAATAATAGTGATATGAGATCCTAATGGCCACGCCCTCTGTGGGCTTGTTTGAAAGACTTTATGAAGCTCCTAATTCATTTCACATATGCTTCTCTCAAACACTGCACTAGGAGCTGCAGGACTTTAGTGGAAATGAAGAAGAGAAAACAGCCCTGACTCTGAGCAGGGTGACCCACCTCCTATGTCAATGCTACTGAATAGTAACTGCATGTAAAACTGAAGTAATTAAGTGTTGCATCTTAGAAGTTTGGTTTTTTCTAACATAAATGTAGCAGCAAAGAGAAACACATGCCCTAATGAAGGGACTGCTTTTCCATGGAGCTCATTTCTCCAACTCCCCTTCATGTTTAAGAGAACTGAGATCTGTAGCTACAGCTGCAGACCTGGATTACATAGGCTCAGCCTTTGCCTTAACCAGCAGTATGAGCTGGGAGCAGTCCCTGCATACTCTGGCTTTATTTCTGTGAATATAATTATTAAAGTGTCTTTTCCCTCTAACAGTTAATGGGTCCCCAATAATTCATGTGCCAAATATCATCTTCCATCAGTATCATCAAAGTGCAATAGAATGTTGGTCTAGGCAAAAACATCAAAAGGAATAGATTGATTAGATACTAGAGCAATTTTGAACTTGACAGTCTGATCTTCAAGGACAGCAGAGATAACATTGTACAGGAGTTTTAATACCCTGCATAGCAGGAGGGAAAGACCAAGATGTAAATATGTAATGGTTTGATTTCAGCTAAATTAGAAGAGTGAGCAAATTGAGCATCCATGCCTATAATTTAATTGTGCACTATTTTGATAAACTCTAGCCCAGGCATCAAAACATGTTAAGCCCATATACTGATTGTCAGATAGAATGCTAAAGGTTGGTCATCAAATCACAGATTTCTCATTTTATGTTCCATTTCAAAGTAGAATCTGAATAAAGAAAAATTAACCTTCCAGTTTGAAATATAGGCCTATCTTGGTTGCTGTCATTTTATAAACACACTGAAATATATGTGATGCAGAAATATTATTTAAAAACATCTTTATGACTCCTTCCTTCAACCTAGTGAAGACACAATTTGAAAAAGAACCAGATCTATAAGCCAAATATCAATTTGTTTAATTAAGTGGCTATTTCTAAAGAAGGAAATTTTTGGTTTGGATTTTTCCTATTGCTTAATTGTTCTTATAATAAGGATCATTATTTTAAATGGAAACTTATTAGTAAGCTCCCCCTCCCCCCCAACTTGGTGCTTGGTGCTGTTTTCCATGTGATTAGAGGTTTCAAAGACTGTCTGCTTTGTCAAGGTGCCTTTCCAACCAAGGTTCTGAGCTGCTTTGGCTGTTCTTTTGACAACCTTCAAGCACTCACATTATCCATAAATCCTCACAGGATATGGAGATTCCTGCCTATGCAGGCCAGTTTCTTGAAAGGTTCTTGTGGTTACAAGGCATGCACACATTTCCTGGGGCAGTCCAGGGTAATGGATGCTGTTCAGTAGATAAAAGATAAATGTTGACTCCTCTTTAGGTAGAGCAGGTAAAGGAAAAACATACCTACATGATTATAACCTCCTACTGGGAATCTCACTGTAACACACTGTAACATACTGTTACATTGGGAATAAAACTGCATAGAGAAAACTAATGTATTAAGTATGTGCTTGGTGCTAGTTACTGTAGAAGGGAATTTTTCGAAGCTAGTCTCTTCTTTGGAAGCTCGAATGAAATGGATAATGACAGTAAATGATAAACTACATGCAATATATGCTTTATACAGTGGGTTGGATTCTTAAGCCAATGTGACTGTTGTCCTTATAAGAAAAGGCAGCAACAAGGGGAGAGGGGCAGGTGCAGAGAGAGGGGAAGGAAGACAGCTCCTCCCCCAGGCCTCAGAGGGAGCTCAGCTCTGCTGAGTTATAAGCTTCTAACTTTACAACTGTCAAACAGTAAAAGTCCTTTGTTTTAAAACACTCCCGTTGTGGTAATTAGTTGGGAATTTATGGTAATTTTCTAGGAAAGTAAAATCACGTCTGATGAGGAAACATCAAAATTCAGGGAGCAGAAAAATTTGAGTGTTGCAAGTCAACGCACACACACACACACGCGCACACACATACACACACACACACACACACTGAGAATTTCTCTGGAGAGTTATTTTAAATGTGTGGGATGGCCTTGGAAAGGACAGAAATCTTCTCCCAAAAAGGAAAGAGCAGCTTACACGGCAGTGATTAATGGACACCGTGCAACGTGAGGGGAATCAGTGGGTGGTTGGGCAAAAACCACACACCCCTTCTGGGAACCGGGCCTGTGGCCACGCCTCTTGCTGGCACTGAGAGAATCCCTCCCCAAGGCAAATGAGAGCTCACTGCCTTGGGGTGGAAAAGCCACTAAAAGAGAAAACCATCTCTTTTTGCCAGGAATCACATTTTACCTTTTTAAAATGTAAAATATCTACGAAAGTGATATGCAGATATTGCTTGTCCATCTCAATGGCAATTCAATATTCAGTTCCACTCTTTTTGAATTTATAAGGATCTGGCCCCTTTATGCCTTTTCACAGTCTTTTTTGATGGGAGGGTATTATATATTTGCTTGCTTTTGTTTTTGTTTTCTTTTTGAAGAAGCTAAAGACCCTACTCTAATCATCCATTTGATACCATATTGTTTTTTTGTCTGTAGTATGATGTGTTTTATATTGATTGCTGTTCAATATATTTATTAAGACTATTAATGTAGATTTATTTTTTTAAAGATTTATTTATTTATGCATACAAGAACAGGGTACAGGCTAGAGGTGCGAGGGGGCAAGAGTATTCACCATAGACAGAGTAGGGAACAGAATAGGCAGACTGACTGAAACACACTGCAGAGGGGAGCAGCGGGTGAGCCAGGAGAAGTCCGCTGAGCCATGTGGGTATCTCCCTGGCTGGGGATCGAACTCTTGCTGCAGTGACTGCAGATAACCTCATAGGCTGTGTCTTAACCCCTTGCGCCACCAGGGAGGCCCCTATCAATGTAGATTTCTAAGCCCACACTCCTGACAGCAGCTTGTCTTCAGAAGACTTTAGCGGCTTCTCCCATCTCCATCAGCCTTCCCTAGCTAAATAAATATACAGTGTCTACAGAAATAATTTCCTAGGCAAGTAATCCTTTAAGATTCTTTCTCTAAGGCATGAGCTACAGGTAAATAGCTGCCTTTAATAGTTTCCCATGCAGAAATTCTGGTGTCTACCACATTCACTTTCACTCACTGCTTGTGTCTATCTATCCAAACTAATTTGAAAAACTATATTATAAATTGAAATGACAAGAATTTCTATATTATTCCAAAAACCTGCCATTGAATTTTACTAAAGAAATGTGTTCATATAGGCAGAGTATATATTCTTTACAAATCAATGGTAACTTTCCTTCTCATTTACTCCAGGTCCCATTTTTCGCTTAACAAATCTTTTTACGATGGTTTCTTTTAGCAGTTCTCCCTGATCCTAGAGTGTCACTGCTGGATTTTTTTCCTGATATGCCTGGCTATATTTCAACCCTCTACCACATCAGCTTATAGTATTGCTTTGGCTTAGTAAAGCTGTGATCAAAAAGCAAGAGACTGGATGCTGAAAATAAACTTAGAACATGATGGGCTGAGTTTTGAGAAAGGCAATGTGTTTTGTTTGGGTTGTTTTCCCAATTACCAATGCCCACCAACTTGTTACTGTCTTGGTGTTATACTCTGTTGAGGAAAAGGAAGACACAGTATCTTCTCAGTGAAATCAAAATCCACTTCCAAGGAATTATCTGGTTAGTCACAGGGAGCCCAGTGGCACCTCTTAGGATGCTTGAGTTTTCTCCAAAATCCAGTCCACATACTCTACCACTTTGGTGTAAACACCTGGCCGTTCCCTTTGAGCACAGCCTTCACCCCAACTTGTGATGCCCACCAGATGCCAGACCTCATCGTGCTTACAGGACAAGGGCCCCCCTGAATCTCCCTATGAAAAGGGAAGAAAAGGCACAAAAATCAGTTCAGAGTCTTCATATCTTAAATACATATTGCTTAGTGATTTCACCTAGAATTCTGTATTAGCCCTTTAGTAAACTTCAAAGAACCAAATTACTTGCATTTAATCTAGTCTATCCAGTTTAGATTTCAGTGTAAGTAAAAACAAATATATGGTGTCCCTGCTTATGGCAGGACTGTTTTTTTAAAAATGCATTAAACATTTCAATTTGAAAAATTCAATTGCTTGACAGCACTCCTGTTACCTTGCAAGCATCCTTCCCTCCTTCTTTATAGCCTGCACAGATCATCTTATTGGTTATTTTATGCCCCCTGTATCTTGTCTGACATTCTTCATTTGTCACCAGTGGTATTGGGGCTTTCTGGAGAGTATCCTGTATTTTGTCTGAAAAAAAGTTTGGGTTGTTAATAGAATAACCACATAGATGTCATATAAATATATGTTTAAATGTATTTTAATATATTTATATTTATATAAATATAGTTGTCAGAAGGAAAATATATCTTCTTTCCCAGGAAGGCTCACTTCTTTCACTTTACATTGTACAATACAGAACACAATACTGTTTGTTACTATATTTGTTTTGCCTCATTGTCATATATTTTTATCCTTCATGTTTGGCATTATTTTTATATATTTATATATTAAAAATCTAATGAGGAAAAAATACTAGGTTTATTTCATAGACCTATTGTAATTACAGAGTATAATGAAGATTTTGTTCCTATAATTGTGAGTAGCATTTTGTTAAAGTTAATTAAGTTCAAAAATTAATTATGTCTCTAACTGAAATTACTTCCCAGAGAAAATAATTGGATAAAGGCTAGGACATTTACTCAAAAGTGCTAGGTTTCACACTAAACGTCATTAAAAATAATTAGTCTTTAAGGAGATTGTCATATTTAAAATTTCCAATCAAACAGACATGATATCATCCTCACTTGGGTGACTGTCTTTCCATCTTTATTAATGCACTTGCTGCAGTTGCACAATACCATTATTTTACTTGCAGTTTAGCTGTATGATTTGGTACAGCAGAAAAGGTTATGAGTTAACCATGTTATTTATCTTCAGGATTCAGCATATAGGGAAACATCAATTTTTTTACCTCTTACTTTTCTGTACCCCCATCCAGTCACCCAGCAGTCAGTATATTTTACATTTCCATCTCCTTTGGAAGGTAGGCATATGGGTCGTTGAGCATCTAATTTTAAAAATCATAGTTTAGTCGTCAGAAGGAAAATATATCTTCTTTCCCAGGAAAGGCTCACTTCTTTCACTTTACATTATACAATACAGAACACAACATTGTTTGTTCTCAATTTACTATATTTGGTTTTGTCTTGTCTCATTGTCATGTATTTTCATCCTTCATGTTTGGCATTATAAATCACATATCCAGCATGAGGGAACAAGAGAGAGACAAGTCACATTACCCCACTAACCCCATCACTCAAAACAGAAGTATTGCTTAGTCCTTTTATCCTGCAATCCTTTTTCTCCCTAAAAGGGAGAAATAACTCATTAATATTCCAATACAGTATGAAGTAAGTCATATCACTCTGTGCATCTGAAGCAGCCTGGAGGAAATGTGTCTCCTCACCCACACATCCCCCTCCAAAGATTTAATAATCAGGAAAGACTCTTATCAGAGTCAGTCTTAAAGGACTGAAACACTAACCGGCGCACACTCTGCCTTTCACGACAGTAACACCTAGAGAGTTGCTACAACTAGACCATGAACCTGGTGGTGGAAACATTCCAAGTTCCCATAGTAGATAACTTTCCCTTAAGGGTCTACGTACCAGTAAAATTCATGGTTGTTTCCAACTTCAGCAAAGCAATATCATATCCACTTTCCGCCTTTTCATATTGATCATGAATTATTACTTCTTGAACCCCCAAAAAAGATGTGTTTTCTTTTATTTCTGATTGATTTAAAATGCCACTATAGACACGCAAAATTTTCGGTGACTCTACCCTATTGCATAAACAATAGAGGAAATTTCCATTACCAAATAATTCCCAAGCATTTGAACTATATTGCTATTTAACTGATTGTTATTGTTAAATATTTTTTGCCAATGATAGGATTTTATGAATGAAAAAGTGGTTTTATGTTAAGCTTTTTCTTCAGTCACATTTCTCCTATATAGAGTCTCCTAGGCTAGCATTTACCTTAAATTAAACACATGAAAATTAATGAATGTTCTCTCTACCCTCCAATAGACACACACACACACACACAAACACAAACACACACACACACACAGAGCTTAACATATGTGTGATCGTGATGAAAAAGCAGCAACAATACTGACTCGTTGAAACAATGAGCAGCTGTTAATATCCACTGGTTTCCAATGATGGAGCCTCCACACAAGTGTCTCTGGGTGGGTGAAGTGATGTGTAAAGTTATCTGCCATGGCCACTCACCAAAGTCAGATGCTGTTCCTCCAACAATTCTGGACTTGATTTTAGTTGTACACACTACAACAGAAGGATTGCAAAGAGTAGCTTCCTAAGGCATCATATTCCACCAGTAGGTATGTTTCTTCAGGCACAAAGGGAGGAAAACCTTACCTAGAGTCAATGATTTATCATGACCTTTACTTGAAAAAAGTTACGATCAACTTGCAAAGTCAAAATATGTACAGAAAAATGGACTGACTGAGTCATCTTACAACTCCATGCCCCCAAAGAATGCCGCATCTGGTTCTACAAGGCAACTTATCCTCCCTCAAATGATAACCCCTGATGGTTTTTTGTTGCTGTTCTTTTAAAGTAGTACTTGTCAAGTGTAATCCACAGACCAACATTACCTGGAAATGTGATAGAAATGGAAATTTTTTGTTTGTTTTACCTCTGACCTAATGAATCCCAAACTCTGGCAGTGGAGCCCAGGAATCTGGGTTCTAATTTGACCTGTAAAGTTTGAGAAATACTGATAGAAAGAAAGGTCGAGTACCTTCCACTCAGCTTGTAGGCTTTGTGCAGTTGCTGCTCTACCCTCTCCCACTCAGGCTGACTTTTGGCCCCAGTCTCTCCGGCTCCACCATGGCCTCACCAGTTTGTTGACAGTTTGGGGTTCTCTGATCCAACACTTGATACTTTCCAAGGTCTCTGACTTGGACTCACCCCTCTGTTTCCTTTCTGTCTGACTGCTCTGGTCAGGGCAGTTCATCCTATTCTTAATACCCAAAATGTTAAACACAAGAAGCAACTCTCTTTGTTGGAAACTTTCCAAATTGGCCCCAGTAACAGATAGTATGGAAGTGAGGTGTTTGGAGCACTTGGTAATCTTATAAAATGCAGATTCTGATTTAATTTGGATTGGGGCCTGAGATTCTTTCTAGCCATTTACTAGGTTACGACAGAGTACTATGCCAGAGTTAGAATAGCAAGGCTTGGGGGCCTTCCTGGTGGTGCAAGGGGTTAAGACACAACCTATGAAGCTGTCCACAGCCACTGCAGCACAAGTTTGATCCCTAGCTGGCCAGGAAGTAACCCACATGGCAAAGCAGACCTCTCCTGACTCACCCGCTGCTCCCTACAACAGTGTACTTTGGTCAATCTGTCTGTTCTGTTCCCCACTCTGTCTCTGGTGAATCTCTCACCCCTCCACACCTCTGGCCTATATATGCATAAATAAATATGCACCCCTCCACACCCCTTTACCCCTATATATGCACCCCTCCACACCTCTGGCCTTGTATGCATAAATAAATGAATCTTTCATTTAAAAAAAGAATAGTGGGCCTCCCCTGGTGCAGTGGTTGAGCGCTGGGCTGTGAAGTTGCCCGCAGCCTCTGTAGCACCGGTTCGATCCCCAGCCACCCGCAAGGGTCCCACATGGCATGCAGACCTCTCCTGCTGTCCGCTGCTCCCCTCAGCAATGTATTTCATCAGTCTGCCTGCTCTGTTCCCAGCTCTGGCTCTGGTGAATTCTATCACCCTTCCGCGCTTCTGACTGTACCCAGTGCTTGTATAAATAAATAAATAAATATTTAAAAAAAAAAAAAAGAATAGCAAGGCTTGCAGATCAGGGAAACTTCATGTCCTTGGCTCAAAGCTGGTAGAAGAGACACTATGTTCCATTTACTAGCTTTGTAGCTGTAAAATAATGACATCTATAGGTACCATTCTGGGGCACACTTCAAGTAGGAGAGGACAGGAAAAGGAATAGTGAAGGGAACAGCTGCTGTGATAGCAAGCTGAGGTAGGAGCGAGGGTGGTGAGTCTGTGAAGGCCTAGACAAGCTGATAGGCTGAGAAGAGAGATCTCATTTAAGAGTGGAGAAGGTGGAGATTAGTTTTAAAGGACCATTTGATGACATATTAGATTTACTGAAAGCCCTTATAATTTGCAAATCAGGAAGTAGCATAAAAGGCAAAGTTTAGGAAAATTAATAGCTAAGCATTAAGTAAAATACATTAAAAACATGTTCATTCTATTTTCTAAGTTCAAATTAATACTGTAATGTCTGTGTTTAGCACTACATTTTATATTAGGAATGTTTCCATTGATGGTAATTGCTTTGAACCTTGAGAAAGTTAAGTTATATTATTGATCAATGACAATAAAAGATCAACATCTCACTTAGATACCTCACATTGAGGTATTATTTCAACAAATACAGTGCAAGCAAACCTAACTATCTTGTTTCACTTAATCCAGAAGGTGCACTAAAAAGACAGAAGACAGATTTTATTTTTCCTTTTGTTTTCTGCTTCAGCTAATCTTTTAAAGGTAGAATCTATAAATTTAATAGAGAAGAAGATAATGAAGGAAGGAGAGTAGAGAATGGTTTCACAATTTAAGGTATAATTGCTGGCTTCCATTATTTAAACTATGTCAACATCAATAGCAACAAAATTTGCTGTGACCTCTCTAATAGTTAGTAGAGTAAGAAAACAGAATTATTGTTACACCTTCTTATCTGAGGTAAACTTATTGTGAGGAAACAGAAAATGTATGACATACAACCAAATTGACTGGCTTTTAAAAGAAACTCGAGCCGCCCAAAGATTCTCAGCAGAACACCTCTAAATTCTGGGAGGATATGGTATCCTAGCCAGAAACTAGACACAACTGGACACAAATTATATCCTATATTCTACAAAGCAAATTAACAGAAATTAAGAATTTATTCACCTCCTCAAAGGAGCAAATAAATCTAATTTAAAAGATTTTTACACTCTAAAAACTATGACAAAGATAATTATCACTTCCATTTTGGACATTAAATCTCAGTTGTATTTTATAGTACTTTATAACATCAATTATTAAGCAATAAATGTCTAAAACATGTTTTATATAACTCAATAAATACTGAAGTCATAGTAGGTTATTATGGAGGAAGGTCTTTGGTATGTTCTTTCTGTTGGTGAGTCCTTCCTTTAGATGATTATATTTGCCTACAAACTATCTTTTGCTAGAATGCTCAGAAATTGGCCACTCAGCTGGAAACACTCATCTGATTTTGCTATAATTTCTATATTATTGTAGATCTTGTTTAATCTAGATAATCTTTATTTTCAGCCCAATACACTCATTGTTACAAATTGATAGGTTTTATGGTAATTTTTGCTAATATTCCAAATATGCAGAGCCTTGCACAGATTCTAAAAGGTTGAAAGACCCTGAGAAAGAACTACTCCAGTATTTCTTGAATATATATATATTTTCAAACATATGATGATTGTTATTAATTAAAGATCAAGTAATAGCCAATGAGGTAAAAAAATAATCATTTGATTAACCAAGATGCTGGTATTTCAAGTATAAAGGATAAATAAGAAATATCATTGTTCTTGATGAGACTCAGAAATAAAAGTATTGATTGAATCTGAGTCTCATCTTGAAATACCAATTGTAATGTGTGAAATTAAAACATACTCAATTATTACTAGGCAGTAGAGTTTAGTCAAGGCTGAATATTTACCTTTAAAACATGATCAGCCTGATGATAGGAGTGAAAAGTACAGGAAATTATGTCTAAATTTGTCATTTTATTTTATTAATTTTTTATTAATTTTAATAATAGTTTTATTTTATTAATTTTCTCCTTTGGGGGCTATTATTAATTCCCTTAGTCATGTGTTTTCAGTACAGAATAACTCATTTGTATTTTTTTCAAATGACATTGAACTCACCATTATCCATTTTACATAACCTTAATGTATATCCAGAAATGCCTCCTCGCCCATGAAGTATTTTAGTTGGAGATCCATTGGAAGAAAGTTTTAAGTAACATTTACCCCTGCAGGTTGGAAACAACATATATAAACATAGTGCATTTCTCAAAGAGCAGGAAAGAGCATCTGTGTAACCCTTTTATGCCTTACTTCCCTCCTTTGCAAGATTCTTGAGATGGAGAATAGGTAAAAAATTGACAGCGGATACTGTTGCTGCACATTTTCTGGCAGTCTTCATGCCCATTCATATCAACAATGTCCAGCTCTTCTCCCAAGAAATCAGTGTCATGGTAAAAGGAAGGATGACATAACACTAGACAGCAAATCACATATCAGATATGAGACAAACCTAGACTTGCTGGTCTCCTCACATTTGTTATTCTCCATCAGAAGAAAGTGTGATCACCACTTACCCGGAACACTGTGCCGGCAGTTTTGTAGGCTGAAACCAGAAAGAGCTTTGCTCTTTTTAATGCGTGCACCGGGTAGTCCACTTTCAGATGTTTTAAGGAGACAAAGATTTCTAACGATAAGAAAAAGGAAATATAAATATGTCATATAAAGCCTTAAAGAATATAACATTTTTTATAGTACTTACAGAAGTCAGCTCATGTTGACATTTAATAGTGAAGATTTTCAGTTTTGTAAGTATTTTTCATAAAATCACTGCGTCAGAACCCATGAACCATAGGTGGTAGACAAATTTTCAAAATTATACAAACTGCCTCCATAAAATTTTCTGAGCTTGCTCTATTGTCAGTGTTCTGACCATTTTCTCTGTTTCCTTTTTCCCCATGCTTCCAGCTTACTCAAAGATTCAAAAAATTTCATTTTTTGTAGAAAACTCCTATGTAAAGTAAAACGGGGATAAGTGAAATCCATTTGCAGGCTCTACACTGAGGCAGCATCTTCCTGAAAGGTTGTATGTAACTTTTCCTAATTAGCACCAAATAACCATTATACTGCCCAATAGAATTTTCTTCAATGAAGGAAATATTCCATTTCTACGCCATCCAATACAATAGTCACCAGCCACATATGACTACTGAGCACTTGCCTTGTGGCCAAAAACCTAAGAAAATAAATATTTGGTTAATTTACTCTTAATTAACTTCAATCTAATTAGTCAAGTCTTGGCTTGTAGGACCCAGGTTCCTCTCTCACCCTACACTGAGGGTCAAATGTGTTACCCTCTTCCCTCCCTCTGCCCCTCGAATTACAGGAATTGATTGGAATTTTATGCAGGGAATAAAAAAGAAAGAGCATTGATTAACACAGAATAACACATCACAAAGGGATCTTGCTAATTTATAAAATGTATCATGCCTCAAGGCTTTATCTTTGAATCTCCTTTCTTCTCTAAGTGCATTCAATCATTTGATGATCTCACCGGTTTCCTGGCTTTGATTAGCTGCTGCATGCTAGTAATATCCAGCCGTAGATCTAGACCATGGACCCCTCTGCTTAATCCTGGACTTCCCTTTCCAATTGCCAATTCAGTGTTTGAGTCTGGATGTCTTATAGGCATCTCTTCCTTCTTAAAATCCGTTCCTCATGAAATCTTTGTCATCTCATCATTGGTATTTCCATTCTTTTAACTCTTTGGTACAAAAATCTTGGAACGATCACTAACATTTTTTGCTCCTTCACAATCCAATCCATCAATACACCTCTTTGATTCTATGTTGACAGCACACCACCATCTAAATACTCCTCTTCATGTCCACTCTGCTTCAAGTAGCTTGGAGGGTCCTTATCTACTAGTTTACTCATAACAGTGCCTTGTATATATAGTTAGTAACAAATAAATTACATCAAATACGTTGAGTAAGTGAAAGTAACATATATTTTCACATGACAATCCTAGTACTTCTGAATTCTAGTCCCACTCAGTGGAAAACCAGACTTGCTTGAAGGACAAGGAACTCATGGTCTTATCTTAGTAGACAGCTCTGAGGAATACTCACCAGCAGTGAGCAACCAAGATAAGCAAATACCAAGGGCTCTGAGAATAACTCACATAATACATAGAATGTAGATTTTGAAGTAGACTTAGTTCTAAGGTTTGTTTTGTTTTAGTGAATCTTGTTTAATGAGAAGCAACAACTCGAGCAAATGTGCCTTTGATGGTAAACAAAATTTCCCATGCTTTGTTACAACTTCCTTTATTCCATTAGTATGGAAATGGGGTTCTCAATTCTCAAACTTGCCTTTGTCACAACCCCAAACCCATTGATGTAGATCTTTATTTCTACCTTTTTCAACTATGTAATTGAATTTCACTGATATTTCCAGATCTTTCTGCTCCAGATTAAATTCTCTTAAGCTGGGTATTGTACTAAGTTGCCTCTTAATGGCTATCCCTATTCTGTTCTTTGCAGTCAGAACTAAGTCACTCTCTCTTTGCTGATGGCAGAGACTTTCATGAACTAAAGCAATGCAAGAGTGTTTGTTAGTATTGCATTTGGGGTCAGTAGGAACGGAAGAGAAACTAGGAATTGTTTGCAACTTTTATCAATCCTAAAACACAGCTAAACTTGCTTCAAATTTTTATTGATGGATTTTGCAGCTGTTTTCAAAGCATAATACATTACTCTTTAATCTTACTTCTTACCTTTCATTTTCTTTTGGCCATTCTTGAGAAAAGAAAGTAAAAAACAAACAATTGGGATGGTGGGTACAAATGCGGCGACAGACAAAGGCATCTGGAGCCATTACACTGCCAACGTTAATGTCTGCAAATGCTGTGCTCGGGAAAATATCTCTAATACAAGCTGTACAATAGAAAAACTATATTTAGGAAATCAATTCATCAACAGAACCAGTAAATTCCCAGCTACGGTATTTGTAAATCCCATATGAAAATTTTGGGGGAGTAAGGGAGGAAGAACAGGCAAAGCAGTAAAAAAATCTATGTCATATCATAGTGATGGATAGATAGGTGTCATTAGACATTTGTCCACACCCATAGAATGTACATCAATGATGAGTCAGCTTGGGCTCATCAATTGTAATAATTGCACGACACTGGTGAAGGATGTTGATAATGGTGGGGATGCATATGTGGGTACAAGGGTAGAAATGGGAAATATCTGTACCTCCCTTCAGTTTTGCTGTGAAGCAAAAAATGCTAAAAAAAAATAGTCTTAATAATGGATTCAAAAAATAGTTTAGGCGCGGCAGACCTCTCCTGCCACGCCCGCTGCTCCCCTCAGCAGTGTATTTTGTCAGTCTGCCTGTTCTGTTCCCCGCTCTGGCTCTGGTGAATTCTCTCACCCTCCCATGCTTCTCACTGTACCTAGTGCTTGTATAAATACATAAATAAATCTTAAAAAAAAACAAAAAATAGTTTATCCCAAGATATTTAATTTTTTAACTTAGAAAAACTGAAGTAGTTATTTTAAAATTTAAAATAGAAGCTCTAGCTTTCAAATTCAAATATAAGCTCTAACTTTATAGGACATATGAGATTTCTACATGAAAAAGGTAAAATATCATTGGTTTCATTTTATCAGTGAGCATGAATAGGTATCGTAAGTTAGTCCCATGGCACATATCAGCAACACTTATTATTTAATGGCTAGACTACGTCCATAAGAAGATAATAGTTACCCAGGTTAGAAAGTGCACAGGATTTCAGTGCAAATCCAGACACTACTTTATTGAGCTTCGTTATTCGGGTAGGTGTCCCCGTTTGGGTGTACTTCAATAAACAAATGTTACTAAATAAAAAAAAATCAGAAAAAGTCATTTTTCAAATGCAAGTAGGAAGAAAGCATAAGAGGATAAGAAGCCCCATTTAGAAACAGCCGGGGCACTTTAACCAGGAAGGTACTGTCTGAAAACTATTGATCTCAGAGGTAGACAGAGGAAATTGAGTCACCATGCAAGACCTGTTAGCGCTGTGAATTTTGTCAATTTTGTGTCATGAGTAAAATGAGCTTCAGAGCAGTGGTGATACACAGTAGGATTATGAATGAAAATGACTTCTCAAGTCCTTTTCAATTTTAGCGTTTTAACTTTTTTTATGCTGCAAAGCATCTCCCACTTTCCTGACTTGCTATTCACAATTGTATTAATGTAAAAGAGGTAAAAAGATGTAGTTTGAGCTGAGTGAAGACAAGCCAAGAAACTTATTTATTAATTCTGGTGTTTTGTTTTGCTTTATCGTTGCTTTTTAATTCAATTAATACTTTATTTGCTTTTCATTCATCTTTTGGTAAACATGGGAACAGAATATTAAAATCCAAAGTTAAAAGTCAAATACTAGTCATTTGAACATATTTCTCTTTTTTGTTGGATTCCAGATAAGAGTGGTTTACTATGCAAATTAAAATATCTAAAATTATTTCTAAACATGAAAATTAATAGTATTTTCCCTTTTAAAAATAGAGAATACGTTCATCACTAGCAATCACATTTGCATTCTTACCCAATAGATTCATCCCTGGAATATTTCAAAATCTAGTATGGGATAGTCAAAGCATTTCACATGGAACTGTTACTTGGGGAAGATATGAGTAGTTTTTTCTTTTAGAGCCTATGGAGTTAAGCATTCTTTAGACTAGGAATGGCAGGGTTAGTCTAAATATAACTGCCTAAAAATTGCCCATTTTGAAGTGTACTTCTTTTTAAATATCAACTAAAAGGTAAGTTAAACATATATATAATTGGGCTATATATGTGCTATATATGTTATTTTTCATGCATATGGAAAATAGGGTCAGTGAAAGAGACTTCTTACCATAAATAAAATGCATCCAGGTTGAGCTTTAAATGCACTTTTTATGACAAAAATTAAATACTTAATATAGAAATGTCTTTTAGGGTTAAAATATATTTTGGCATCAAGTAAATAAAAAAATTAATGAGTCCCCATTTTGTATTTTATTAGTTAACCTGAGATTTTGGGCTCAGAGATGGCTCACTCACCGATGCTCTGCGCTTGGAAACTGTCTTGTTGCATATGTAAAAAATTGACAATGGATGTCATTGGTGCATTTCTCTTGGCATTCCTGAGTGTTCTTGGTAATAGAGCTATGATAGTTCATGCCCTTCATGTCTAGGTCCTCATAAACATTTTTGTTGCAAACTGGAAACAAAAGCAGGACTGTGGTTACCTTCTAGACTCCAGGGGCAATACCACTATTCCTACCTTTGCAGTGGTCCCTGTGGATTTATTCTCCAAGTCTTTCACTCACTTTTCCTCTAAACATCTTTGTTTTTATTTTAATCCACTCAATTCCAAGTCTCACAAGGAAGCAGTAAAAGATTGCTAACAACCTTCATATATTGCAACAGTATTAAATTTGCAAATTCTTGTCAATTATCTCTTATCTCTCTTGTCTCCTTAACTCCAGTGGTTGATTTATTAATTAACCTGTTCAAGTATCTAAGTCACTATTGTGACAAGTGTCATCTGAACCTTTATATTTGTTCCCTTTGATATGAATTAATACGTTTAGTTAAGGTAAGATATGGAAACAACCCAAATGCCCCAAAATATGTGTCTGGATCAAGAAGATGTGGTATATATACATAATGGAATATATCAAATGGCTTCTCTTAAAGGAGGAATATAGGGGAATCAAATCAGGGATCAGGGAAAAAATAATAACAAAAAACAATACAACAAAATCAACAGGCAACTATAAATCAGAGACATTCTGCAGGGGAGGGGGAGGGAGAAGGATCAAAACGAGGGAGGGAAGAGCACAAGGGACTATGGTAATGGTGCATGGGTGAATTGGTGGTGGGAATTTTACAGGGACTGCACCTGAGAGGAGAAAGAAAACATTTTACCAAAATGAACTATGATATAAAATATATTTAAATGAATAAATGATAAATATATATTTAATAAGGACTTTCATGTAAAACTTTAGGCTGGGAAGGAGAAAGAAAATAAATGAATGATGTCACTTGTGCAGTAAGACATGCCCTTCAAGGAGAAAACGAAATCTTAATGAACCATAGTTGGGGAATAGGGTGTGTGGGGAGACATGTATATATGCTAATTTTATAGTGGAGGGAAAGAAGTTCATTAGTCTTTTTTTCTGTAAAGCTTTGTTTTGTAGTCATAAAACCACAACCTATTTAATTATATGATACATCAACATAAGTAGTATTAATTCTAACAAGATATCTTACCACTTATATGGTGTGGGCATTGCTTGAAAGAATGTCCAGAAATTGCTCCTGTCATATTCACCCACGGCAGTGTTTCTGTAGCGCTGTCCTTCAGGATGCAAGTAAACCTGTTTTTTTTTTTTTTTTAAATACCATTACTGGATGGAAATTTATGCTTTAAAAAATGGGTCTTAAAAGTCAGCACACAGAAAGTCAAAGAGAAGGGAACAAATTATTTAATGCCAAAGCAAATATTTTCATAGCAAGACTGTGAGTTTGTTTTTCATTGCAACATACCCCATTTAAAGGATCACATGCTTCCTAAGAGGAGACAGGAGAGGGCCAACTGTGGCTTGTTGGTCAGATGTAGCCCCTCTTCTGCCAGTTTTGTATAGCTCATGAGCTAAGGATAGTATTTATATTTTAAAATGGTAAATTTAAGTGGTTATGTAAATACTTCTGTAATATCCTTGATTCTGCTTCTGAACCCACATTGCCTAAAATATTTGCTTTTTCCCTTGTCAAGAAAAAGTTTGCCACTCCCGGTTGTAGGTGCAAGAATACTAAGTTTCATGAATTCATGGTACTATGTAAATAGCTACAAATGCAGTGATGATAGACAAAGATGCTGATGATTTAATTATGCATGAAAGCTTTAATTTTTTATTAGTTCAACATGGAAAGAAAAGTGGCGAACAAAACATTCTAAAATTCAAAACATTGGACTATAAATCTGACAAAATTCCCAAATGTAACTTGTGAATTTTACCTTAATAAGATTCTGGTTAAAAGTTATAAGTTACAATTGGGGGAATGGAGATGATAGAAAGGAATTCTCATGAAGGTTTTTATTTTTTGTCTATTTTGTAAAGTAATGTATGTTGAAATATGTAGGGGTGAAATATTTTGATTTTTTCAAATTATTTCGAATGGGGCCTTACTGGTGGTGCAGGAGGTTGAGCGCCACACTGTGAAGCTGTTCACAGCCTCTGCAGCACGGGTTCGATCCGGCCAGCCCAGGAGAATCCCACATGGCGAAGCAGACCTCTCCTCTCACCCCCACTGTGCCCCTCAGCAGTGTATTTTGTCAGTCTGCCTGTTCTGTTCCCCACTCTGTCTTTGGTGAATCCTCTCACCCTTCCACACATCTGACCTGTACCCTGATTCTTGTATAAATAAATAAATCGTTAAAAAAAATTATTTCAAATGGCTAAATATTTACATAGAGAGAGACGCAAAGCAAACAAGGCAAAAAGGCTTACTGGTAATAGGTCATTACACTATTCTTTCAAGTGACCTTTATAAAAATTTAATTTTCTGTAATAAAATAATTGAGGGAATAGTAGCAGTTTTAATAATATAGAATACCAAAAACATCAACTGAAAAACAAGGAGAAAATCATTAACGTGTAAAAGTAGAGAGAAATAAGAAAGTGTACCACAATATTGAGACCGCCAGAAAAGATGGACAGTCCATGCTAAGAGGCAAGTCTATTCTTGCAGACTTGATGCCTTTCTTCCCCTGTAATCTTTATTGGTTCATTGAAGGAGAAATGCAAACACTTACCATTTGGTTGGATCTTCAGATGATGAGTCAGTCACAAAGGTGAAGAGCAGACATCTTGGATGAAAGGTGCAGACCACTTGGCAGTGCTGGGCACTTGGTGCAAAAACAGTAGTAATGTCGCCTCCCTGGAAAGAGCTGCCTTGGAACAGCTTAGTCACACATTCTGTGATGAAATACAAGCATGTGTTCTTTTGTGTTTTTTTTTAAATTTATTTATGCATACAAGAACTGGGGTACAGGCCAGAGGTGTGGGTGTATGTGTGAGAGGATTCACCAGAGACAGAATGGGGAGCAGAACAGGCGTATCTACTGAAATACACTGCTGAGGGGAGCAGTGGGTAAGACAGGAGAGGTCTACTGTACCATGTGGGTAGCTCCCTGGCCGGAGATTGAACTTGTGCTGCAGTGCCTGCTGATAGCTTCATAGTGCTGAGACTTAACCCCTTGTGCCACTAGAGAGATCTCCTTTTGGGTTTTTAAAAAAGATTTATTTTTATTTATTTATGCATAAAAGCACTGGGGTACAGGCCAGAGGTGCAGGGGGTGAGAGGATTCACCAGAGACAGAGTGGGGAGCAGAACAGGCAGATCTAACAAATTTAACATTTGTTAAAAATTGTTAAAAAATTAACAATATTTGTTAAAAGTGCTCTAGACTGCACTCCCCTCCCAGGTTAGGACTGGCACAAGCCCGGTGAGGTACACTGACAGAATTTACACAATTGAGATCTGAACCCCAGAGAGGAGGGATCACAATGGCACCATAAGCATGAGCAGACCCCTCACCCCAGCACATTCATACCAGCAACAGGCCCTTAGGGTCCCCCCACCCACTTGCTGACTCAGCAACTGCAAAAACAGTTCTCAGTACCTACAGAAGGCTGCAAAGACCAAAAAATAAAATGAGTTCCTTCTCTCTCTGAGCTCTACACTGCTTCCAATGGATTGTAGGTTAGCCTCCCCAAGAACAGGGAGTCTATTCCCTCTGCAAAATATTCCCATGGATCATTGAAACTCACCTCTTATGCAAAGCAAACATGCTGCTTTAAAACGTTACTTTTAAGAAAGTTATTTAAAATTATTTGGGAAATTGTGGGCTCTCCCTGGTGGCACAAGGGATTAAGTCTCAGCACTATAAAGCTATCAGCAGCCACTGCGGCATGAGTTCCATCCCAGGCCAGGGAATGAACCCACATAGTGCAGCAGACCTCTCCCGACTCGCCCGCTGCTCCCTTCAGCAGTGTATTTCAATCAATCAGTCTGTTCTGTTCCCCACTCTGTCTCTGGTGAGTCCTCTCTCCCTCCGCACTTCTGGCCTGTGCCCCAGCTCTTACATGCATAAATAAATAAAATAAATCTTTAAAATTATTTGCGAAATTAAATGGATATTATATATTTAATATAGGTGCTAAATTTCTAAAATATACCCCCTACTAATTTCATGATATAATTTTACAAAGCAGATTGATTTCAAAATCCAAATACAATTTCTTAGCTCTAGAAAAATACTGATTAATCTTTTTATTGGCGGTGGGTGTTGGTGAACTCTCCAGTGCAATACCAGGATCATTGACTTTTAAATGCTAAACTCTAAATTTTCATTTCTAGAATATGGAATAACACCAACTTTGTCACAATAGAATGATTTTCTCTCCTACCCATCCCCTTATACAGGTTAAGTTCAGTGATTTTTTTATTTATAGTCACAGTTCCTGTGAAAAGGAACAATTCATAAGGAAAACTGTTCATAAAGGGAAAAGGACTATGATATATCATAATGTTCCTATCAGGTTCTAGTATCAACATTGTAGTGCCCTGATAAGATGGGTTGATGAGTGGGGAGAAGTTGACCCTTCCTAATAAATAATATGTTTTTCATTTAATTAGTTTGGGTTTTCTTCATTCTTTTCCTCCTTCTAGTTTATTTTCACTTCATTTGCTATTCTCTGACTCCTTGCATTGGACTCATATCATTAGATTTCTTTTTTTAAAAAAAAAATGTATGCATGGACATTAATACATTTGATCTCAGCACTGATTCAGTTACATTTGAAGGTTTTGATATGTCATATTTTCATTATCATTGAACTTAATATCTTTTCTAATTTTCATTGTGGTTTCTCCTTTGAGCCATATTTATTTAAAGGCACATTATTTAATTTTTCAAACATTTGAGAATTTTCTTGTTGTCTTTTTTGTGATTTTTTAGCTCAATTTCATTGTGAGTGGACATGTCCTGTATAATATTAATCTTTTAAAATTTGTTGAGACTTATTTAGGACATTGTAGATCATCAACTTCTCTAAATGTTCCATATACATGTGTGAGGATATATGTATGTATATAAGTGGTTATACAGGTATGTTCAAAATAAGTCCATTGATTTAACACTGACTTGTTAATCAATGAAATGTCAATACTATTTCATAATGATGACAGTGATGGCAGCTTTTATGGAAAATTGACTACTTGGTGAGGCATATGGAGATGTCTGCTTTTTATTACTGCTCTTAAATATTTAAAGGTGTGATATCAATTTAGCTATAGACAAGTGGATATAGACACAGATTCCTATGATTATAATTAACCCCTTCATCTCAATTTGCCTCCCTGCTTAGAAAACCTCTGAAGTCTGAAGTGGAAAATAAATAAAACTATTTTCTTTCTTTCCCTGGAGTAGGTGGCATAGGAGTCTCCCACAGTACAGGGACTGGGTGGTGATTTCCTCTCTGCATTTCTGCCCTCATGCTCTTTAAACTTCACGTCAAGAACCCATGCTGTTTCCAGTCCATAGTTAAGGAAAAGCTCTACTTACCGCTGGAAACTGAGACAAATAAAATGAAATGCACCATTTGATATAAAATCATCCTACAGAAAGAAAAATTTGCATGTTTTTAGAATAGAAAATGTGATTTATAGTTAGTTCACTGATGTCAGTGTTTACAAGAAATAGGAGAGGAAGGAGTAGTTAATTCAATAGTTTTCAACTCTTTAACCTACTAGCATTGGGTTTCTCTCATTCCCAAATCCTAGAACATTCCTCAGCCTGGTTGCCTGTGTGTGTTAAATACCTTCCTAATTCTGAAAAACCAGAACCAACAGGGAAGGAATTTGCTCCTTTCTCTCTCCTGCTGTCCTCTCCTCCCTTCCTCCCCTGTAGTTCGTCATCATCTGACCTACTCCCATCCAGTTTTCCATTTTTGTCTTGTGAGTTCTTTCATTCCATCTTGAAATCTCTCTCTTTATCAAAGAATCCTAGGGCCTTGCCTGGTGGTGCAGCAGTTGAGCGCTGGGCTGCAAGGCTGCCCACAGCCTCTGCAGCGCAGGTTCATTCCCTGGCTGCCAGTGAGGGTCCCACAAAAAAAAAAAAAAAAAAAAAAAGAATCCTTAACAATTTACTACTGAAATTTTCCATTTTTACAATTCTGCTGCAAATATATTACTAGTTCATCTCAGCCACCTGGAAATGAATGTGTCCCCATGAACCACTGACCTGATTGCTCTAAGAAAAACCCTTGAACAAAACAATGAATGACTTAATTTTTTAAACATTACTCTTGAATATCTTTTTAATTTGTAAAATGCCTGTCAGTGAGTACAAGCTACTCTTCTTTCATTCTGCCTCTCCTATTAAATTGGTTATGGATATTAACTAAAAACTTCACAAATATTCAATCAGACAAGTTTTAAAAGTCAACCATTCTCTAATTGTAAAAAATTTTAAACCCCCCATAGTAGAAAAAGTCTCTTCAAGGAACAGTTGCTTGCAAGAAATTATAGATAATAATTTTTGAAAGCATACCTGAAAACAGCTTTTTGCTACTTGGCTGCAATTCTTAAGAAGAATGGTTTTCTTCTAAAATGGGCTTCATTCGCCTCTTCAAATGAGCTTATGTAGGTAATGTTCACTTAACTTTAATATTTACTGTTCCTGGTTCCCGATGTTATGTAACACTGTCTCTTTGTACAGCCTGTCTGTGTAAGCCTTAAAATCTCTGAATATCAAAAATATACCTTGGTAGCATTTTCTTGATTTTTTTCCCAAAAATTTTCTTTCCTTTTATTTTATTGTTTTCAAACAAATGGCACATGTAGAGTCAGCTAGAGAACATGAGTTTGTCAGTATGGCTTAGCAGTCCGACAAACACATTTAATGTGTCTGCTCACCAAAGCTGCCCTTAAACACACTTTCAAAGAACAGTTGTTAACCATTAATTCCAGGCCAACTTGAGTCTCACAATCTAAAAAGAAAACAAGGCAAGTGTAATGGACTTACCATGTAGATATGAATGGACGATACCTCAGTGTTGGGGCTGGAGGATGGGTTGAAACACTGAAAGCCTAAAAAAAATTAATTAATTAATTAATGGAAAATGTGGGTTTTTTTTTTTTTTTTAGTAGATGTGCTGCGGAAGCGAGCACAAGGGGAGTTTGTTTTTTTTTTTTTCTTTAAATCTCAGTGCACTGAGACACAAATGTGGAGGCAGGAAGTCCAGTGTTCAGATAAGCAAGTCCTGTTGCAAGCCTGGCAAACATAGAACTGAAAGGTCGTTTCCCTTTGTCCTGGAGGGCACCTCCTAGTGGCAGCACCTGCTGCAATGAACAGAGAGAGCTTATGAAATATTTTTCTGGATTTCGCCTAATTAGATTTCTGTTAGTAGCCTTTCTTTCGACGTTGAATAAGGGATGAGAGTTCTGTGGAAGGCGTGATGATGCATGTCCTCTCTAACTGGATCTCGTCGTTAATTTGCTAGTCGGGCAACTTGAGCAGAGATCAGCTTCCTGCACTGTAAATAGGCTACCAGTGCCTGTTTGGCCAAGTTGTTTTCTTTCTCTGGATTTCAGGTCCTTTATTCATACATTAGGCACTCAGGGACCCTTAAGATTTCTGTGATCCCATTTTATTTCTAAAAGAAATCAAAATTTTTAAAATCAATTTAAATTTATGTCTGATTTCAAACATTTTAGAGAAAGATAATTTTCTGGTTTAGAAGAGACTCAAACTTTTCCATAGGAATACAAGATAAGAGTTTAGGTTGACAAATAGTGTCACAATTAAAAAAAAATGTTCTGAAGACTAGAGGAGGAATAAAATGACAACTTTGTCACCACTTGAGATCTTGCTGAAGTTATAGGCGCCAGCGCAAATAAAGAACTTTATTTAGAGACAATGTACTAATATGGGTGTGATCTTCCAAATCTAGAAAACTCTGCCAGTCTACTTTGAGTTCTTCAATAATTGGAGACAGAGACAATCTCAGTTAGTGTCTGTTACAATAATGTTGCCATTACATGAATGGTTTCTGAAGGTGTGGATACCTGGGCCCTGGGAGCCGAATGTCTACAGAGAAAGATGACTAGAATCTGGACAGCCCTTTCAAAACCCTACAGGAAGGGAAATATTGGGAAAGAGAAGTTACTGAGTGGACAGTGAGAAAATAGTAAAGTTAGGTATATTTGAAGCCTAGATCCATATAAAAAAAATTGAGAATTTTTTAATATAGTTATTTAAAGATTTATTTATTTATACAAGAACTGGGGTACAGGCCAGATGTATGCGAGGGTGAGAGGATTCACAAGAGACAGAGTGGGGAACAGAACAGGCAGACTGACGGAATACACTGCTGAGGGGAGCAGCAGGCGAGACAGGAGAGGTCTGCTGCACCATGTGGGACCCTCGCCTGCCGGCCGGGATCAAACCAGCACTACGGAGGCTGCAGACAGCTTCACAGCGCGGTGCTCAACTTCCTGCACCTCCCGGGGAGGCCCAAAATTAGAAAATTTTTGAAAAGAAGAAAAGTGAGCGTTTTTATCCCATAGGGCAGAAATTTTAGAGAAATTTTAGATTTGAACTTACAGAAGTTTAAATCTGAACTTACAAAAGTTGTTGCCTCAACAACAGCTAAGGTGTTATTGTGGCATTCTGTCTGGAAGGATTTTTTTTTATCTACTGCAAAGTTTTATGACATATTTATTGGCATAAAGAGTCCTTAGTTATTTCTTTGTGTTTCCCATCTTTAATTAAATGCATTCCAGTTACACAGAAAGCACATACTTATGATTCAAACATAGAATGGTAAATGTATGCCAAGAAAGGTCTTTATGGAAAACTGATATGTGAAATTTTGTAAGATCCTTATACCTGGCATTGTTTACTCCGTGATGCCTCCTCTTAATCCTGAGGCAAGCAAAAAAACTAGAATGACAGCTCTCTATCCCTAATGAGGGAAACAGAAAGACTAATGAAATACTTCGCTGGAAAACCAAATATTTTCTGTGGTTTCATTTAGCTAGATGTTGAAAGAGCTAAACCTTTGAAATAATACAAGGATTCTAAGATATTTTTGTCTATTCAAATAAAAGTGGAATTAATCTTAATTGCATAGGAACTCCTTGGGATTAAATAGTCCTTTCATTCACTCTGACAGTAAGTATTCTGACACTCTCCAACTAGTGCTGTTGCAGACTAGAATTCATCCTGTGAGAGAATCTGAAATGGGCCTAGAGGATGTAATCAGGGGTTATGAATGCCGAGCTTAGTCCTGGCTCTGTCCTTGCCAGTGGCCTTGAGTTCATATTTTTACTTCTTCAACCTACCCTGTCTTATATTTGGAATAAAGACATATTGACAAGACATTTACTGAATCCCCTTTCTACACAATTTGAATGAAAGAGGGCCTCCTTCTAAGATGTTTACAGTTTAATGAGCAGGTGAACAATAGTTAAACAAAAATTAAAGTTTTTTTTTTTTTAAGATTTATTTATTTATTTATTTATACAAGCACTGGGTACAGTCAGAGGTGCGGGAGGGTAAGAGAATTCACCAGAGCCAGAGCAGGGAACAGAACAGGCAGACTGATGAAGTACACTGCTGAGGGGAGCAGCGGGCGGCAGGAGAGGTCTGCGTACCGTGTGGGACCCTCGCCCGGCGGCTGTGGGCAACTTCGCAGCCCAGCGCTCAACTGCTGCGCCACCCGGGAGGCCCAAGAATTAAAGTTTTTAGTTTAGAGATTGCCCACGCATTGGCGAGGAGCAAGAACATTGGAGCGCTTGGCTAACTTTGTATCAGCTGTGTACACGTGCTGTGTATTCCACCTAGTCATGTTCTGAGGTCACACACATGCTAGTTTCCAGACTTCATCCTGTCACCACCCTCTCGTGGGTGGCACTCACCCATGTTTCCTCTTTCCACTCCTTCTTATGAGAGTGAAGTCATTCCAACCTCTCTCTTTCTTAGCCTCTAACATGCTTCTCAGTCCCCCCAGTGCTCTTGCTGTGTGACGGGCTCCTCTGGTCACCCCATACATGGAGACACAGTGAGCAATAAAGAAGACATTACATGACCACTGGCCCCCACTGGCAACTTGAAAATGGTGTTTTATACCCCACAGAAGTTCTATATTTAAAGTTTTTCTCTCAGTTTTGCTTAAATAAGTTCATTCCCTGACCAACAAAAACCCCATGGTTACCCCTGCAAGCTTTCCAAAGTCCTGTCATACACCCTTTAGAATTATCAATACTGAAAGCCTGAGATCAAAGATTTCACTGCAAGCCATTTTTGCCTTTTAAATGTAAAACAACACCTGCACAGAACAAAAGACCAATACCTTTAATGCATGCAAAAGTAAACATTGAAGTTGTGGTTTATTTTTTAATCGTTTCATGGAATTGAGCCAGATTTTACAAAATCTGCAGGATTTTCTTCTACTGTAATTTTTATGCTCCTGTTTTCTTTTGTCTGGTTTGTGAATAGCTAGATCTCATGGTTTTCCTTCAGCTTCTGCCACTATTAGCCCTTTGTATCATTCAGCGTGTCTTTGCATAAAGAAGGAAAGCCTCAATCTCTTTTAGAAACTTCACTTTTTTATATAGTATTTCGCCAATGGTCAGTTCAATGTAAATGGTAAATCAGTTTAACTGAACTGAATTCAACTATTGGGTACCTGTTGTACTCATCACTGGTCAGTTTGAAATATGTATGTGTTGCTGAAAGATTTATAACCTTCATTCCAGAGCTACTTCCTTCTACCATGAGTTTTATGAAATAGTTCGACCTAAGAGTGCTTCTTGAATTACAGAGCCTGGTAACCATGAAGGCCCCTGCCAAAAAGGTCCCTCACCTTCCACAAAGCCTGTCCCATGAGCCTACTGTGGGAGCTGCAATCAGACCACTGTAGCCCCACAGGCCTTCCCTGGGCACCTGGGTTGGAACACTCAGCTATCCAGGGTCCCCAAGGTCAAAATGAAAATTTGTACGACTATTCTCTTTCAATTCCCCCCCTCCATCTCTTCCTTGGAAAAGTGAAAATCCCCTTCCACTTGGCAGAACAAACCCCAAGTCACTGCTGCTCTTCATTCCAGGTGAGGTAGGAAGTAGATTTTAATAACCACACAGGGGAGGCACAGAGAAGAAAGGATTAGCTTGGAGATGCACTGAGTTCAGAGGAAGTGGTTAGATTGCAATGATTTGATCCCAGACACTGTGCAGGAATCTAGACTAGCTTAGTCTAGACTCAGTTCTGTTTCCCAATCAGAAGAAAACACTTTTTAGCCACACTGTTTTCCCATTTTATTTCACAGCAAACAATCATGGAGATGTACAGTTGTTACCTCCAAATGCTGAGGGCATACCTCTCTCTGCAAGACGCAGCCCTCAGCAGCTTGGTTGGTAGCGGTGTTCATTGTTTTTTGTTTTTTGATTTTGTTTTTTATCTGTGGAGGTAGATACCACTCTCCAGGCTTTGGCAAGTAAGGACTCCAAGGCTCAGCATGTGCGCTGAAACCAGATTGTAAAACTTATGTCACAAACCACCTCTTTTCACCTCTAAAAATCTCGTCACACTGGCAACTTCATCAAAAGGCTGTCCATCACTGTTCTGTCTTCTCTAAAATCCAGTCCAAGTATTCAGCAACTTTGGTGTAGACACCTGGGTGATCCCTGTGGCCACAGCCTTCACCCCAACTGGTGATGCCCACCAAGTGCCATATTCCTTTGTGTTTACAAGCTAAGGGACCACCTGAATCTCCCTGTCACAGAGGGTAGAAAAAGAATATGATAGAAAGTTAGGATAAATGTGCCTTTAAAGTTCTATAGTCACACAACACATCCAGTTTCTTAGAGTTTTTCCACTCGCTCAGCCTCATTAGCTGTTGGATGTGGTGAAAATGATGTAATTCAATAATATGGTTGCATTTTCTGTTTATTCCAACAAAGATATTTTGACATCATCATCCCTATGTCAAATCTAATGTCCTTATATTTTAGTACAGTTGTCTTACATACAATTCCCCCCCCCTTAAATACTGCATGTCTCTGCACAGACTGTGACATGTATGCAAACTATATGTAAATGACAGACATTCAATTTGGTAACAGTTACAGAACTATCAGATCATTTGGTTCTGAATTTTTTTTAAAAAACACTAGAATGATGTACTCTTGGAAAATATACTTTTAAATGAATTTTCTCAGGTTGCTGTTGGAGTTTTCTCATAATTGTAAGCATTACCTTACAAGCATCTTTCCCGCCTTCTTTATAGCCAGCACAAATCATCTGCTTGGTTATTTCATAATCGCTGTATCTTTTCTGGCATTCTTCATTTGTTACCAAAGGAATACTTGCCTTCTGGAGGATATTTTGGATTTCACCTATGAAGTACCAATATATAACTTCAGAAGAAGAAAATATAATATGAAAACAAAACTATAGCCTTGAGGGATATGGGAAAGATAAACTTTTTATTAAGATCATTTTTTGGGTAAAATTAGTAACAGTGAGAAAGTAGAATTATACACACAGAGAAACAGGAGGGAGATTGGAGAAGGGAAGGAGAAAAGTAGGGAGGGAGGGAAGGAGAGAGAAAGAGAGATTGAGAAAGACAACTAGTGGCTTTTGATGCAATGTTGGGAAAACCCTGCACCAGAGATTTTGCTTTCGTATTCTCTGCCATCTTCTTGTCTCAATAGAAATTCCCTTTTATCACCTACCATCCCAATGCCTGGAAGTTCTTACATTTCAGGATTTGTTTTATATACTCAAAATGATAATTTTAAAGTATATGATGTTTGAAGAAAAAACCCAAACCTCTAGCAACACAGGAGTGTTTTGTTTTTTGTGTAACTGCAAGCGAGCATTTTCCATGAGGAAACTTTGTAAGTAATGACGTGTCCGGATTCCCCATGGACATATGTTGGGAAAGCTCTTTGTTTAGTTGGGCTAACTTTTAATTTCTTTCTGTGTCAAGGTATTGGTCAAAAACTTCAAAAATTTGAATTCATTGGATAAAAGACTAAATCAAGAGATCCTCAAGCTCTCTCCAATAACATGCAAATATTCCCTATAGTGTCTATCAGGAACATAATTTGGGGAAGAAAGAATGATCTGTTTCCTGGAAAATTGAAATACTCCATGTATCAATAAGCAAGGATTTTTAACAAGGCTCACCGAAAGAATTCACATGGTTTATAAACGCAGATAGAAAAAAAAAAATCTTTATTTTAACTAACCTCCAACTGAACCCTAACACTCCCTTCAGTTAGGAATAGAGGCAACACACACAGTATTAGCAGAACCTATGACTTCGCCATCAATTATATGTAAATTATTTTAATAACTATTGCAATTTCATTGGCTTCCTTTATAAACTCATGTATCTTACTGAATTATTTAAAGCATTGGTAGGGAAGTGGATCACTGGTTTCAGGAAGTGTTCATGGAAACATACAAAAACAAAACAAGACAAAACTAAGTGCCATAAAGAGAGAAGGCAAGCCTGCCTATACTGGTCATTCATGTGGCGGGAGAACCACGTCCTGGAAAATAAGAACTGTAAATACTGAGGATAGGATGAATAGGCTGGTCTTGTTAGCCCCGTATGGGTGTGTCCTTTTTGTGAACTCAAACAAATGATCTTAATTATAAAGTAAGATGATTAAAAGGTCTTCTAACAAAATCTTCCAGGCTCACTTATCAAGAATCACTGGATAAATATTTGGGAATGAGTAGATTGAAAAGATCAAGACGGTATATGCAATTTTAGAGAAAAGTCAATTAAACTGATCTACTCAATGTACTTTGATACATAAGATTTGCTTTAGGAACAACATTTAAAATGTCACGTCATACCTTTTTCCTTTGTGAAACCCCATCCAGTTACCCAACAGTTGGTATAAATTGTATTTATGTTGTGTTTGGAAGGTAGGCATATTTGTTTTTGTAATTCTGAAAGATAATTTTTAAATTAGGGCTTGGTTAGACAAAATTACAGATGTAATTACAGACTTGAATAATGCATGCTTTACTTTACCCATATTCTCTTACAGTAGAGTAGCACCAAAAATAACATTTTTGCTTTCTGTTCAACTTCTTTTTAAAAAAATGTTGATTTGTTTGTTGAAGAACTGGAGTGCAGGCCAGAGGTGCCAGGGGTGAGAGGATTTACCAGAGACATAGTAGGGAGCAGAACAGATGGATCTACTGAAATATACTGCTGAGGGGAGCCGCAGTTGAGACAGAAGAGGTCTGCTGCACCAGATGTGGGTTAGCTCCCAGCTGGGGATTGAACCTAGGCCACAGAGGTGATAGCACTGAGACTTAACCCATAGGCTACCAGAGAGGCCCCTCTGTTCAAATTCTAAGGGCAATGGTTCAAGAAAATTTCTCACCATCAGTGTCATTCTTACATGATATTTTTGGTATTAATTTTTCTGGAGACATTCTAAAACTCAGAACCCAAATTTACTGTCAAAAGAATGTAAAAGTTCTTGTGTCTTACTCTGTGTGCTACACTTAATAGTAATGGCCAAATGTCTACACTATTCACATGCTATTTGTAAGTGCTTTAACTATTAAATTTAGTTACTAGACAAATCAAGGTGTGATTACCATGCCCACTTTACAGATGAGGAAATCAGAGATGCAAAGAGATGAAAGAACCTTGCCCAGAGTCACAGTCCTTAATGGACAAAAGGGAATCTATGACTATGGAGATCTTTACCTCCTATGGCAGTACCTCCAGCCAAGATGCCACCATCTTCCTAGAGCTTTCTATTGCATCACTCTCTACTCAATTTACTCCTGGAAATTACTATCTTATCCCACTTGCCATCATATATTCTTGGTATGTCTAAGCCCAAGGCCATGGAAATTCTGCTACTCTTGTCAAAGGAAAAGAACATTTCCCAGATGACAAAAACATTCTTATGTCTATTGTTTCAGTAATGTGGCACTTAGCATTCCTACCTGAAGGAACTAACTCAAGTTTCTTGCCCTGCAAGTAGAAGAAATTTTGTTTTTGTCAAGCATAGGTTTTAATTTCCTTGATGATTCTTGCCTTTTCCCCAATTCCACCAACCAGAAAAAGACAACCTTTCCACATTCAGATCGCTCAAACTGATATGAAATTTTTAAACAAAGCAATTCAGCTATACAGCTTCTTCTGAATGTGCTACGTACCAGTGTAATTCAAAGGTGCCTCAAGTTTTACTAAAGCAATATCATGACCACTTTCTGAGATTTTATAATCTTGGTGAATAATAATCTCTTTAATTTTTGAGACGGGTGTTTCCATTGTTATCGCCGACAGATTTGAAATGCCACTATAAATTCTCCAAATATCTGGGAAGGAAAGCCTAGGAGGGAAAAATAAAGGCCTTGAAACCAGGAAGACTGGCCTTTAGATTGTGATTTTTCCTTTCTCTTTCTCCCTCAAAAAAGAACTGGGAAGAAAATGCTGCCTATGACATATTTTTTCTTCTCTAAATTCTCCCCCTGGCACTTTGTCCTCACTAACAGCAGCAGTGCTGAATCTCTGAAGATTTAGATAAAAAAACCTGAAAATGTACATTTATATAATTATTTCATGTTTACTGTAAATACAAATATAAGAAAGTTGCTTTTTCATTTCTGAGAAAAGTTATGGTAAGGAGAAACTCTAGCATTTTATCACAGAAAAATCAGGTTCAGTTCACCACATCTGAAAGCAGTGGCTTCCATGAAATTCAAAACCGTCAGAAGATACACTGGGCCAAATTAGGGAGACTTCAGCTCATTTAAAATATATCTGGTGGGGAGACGAGGGAATACGGTGATGGACCATGGGTGCTTTGGTGGTGAGAGAACTATGGTGACCACACCTCAGGGGAGAAATCATGTATCATCCAAAAATTAACAATGTAAGAAAAAAGTACTATAAAAAAAAAAAAAAAAAAGAAAAAAGTACTATATCTAAAAATGGATAAATAACAATAAATAACATAAAAATTATTTAAAAATAAATAAAAACAAAAAGGCAAGGGATAAGTTGCACCCTGCTCCCCAAACTCACCCATCAAAGCAGTGGGCAGCAGTCAGGACCCACTGCGGGCTGATGATGGAGCCTCCACACAGGTGCCTCTGAGCTGGCAGCCTAGCTTGCATGCTCACCTGCCAGGGCCACTCTCCCCATGCTGAGTCTGTTCCTCCAACGATGCGTGAGTTTGCATTTGTTGTGCAAACTAAAATGAGAATGTTGGGCAGTTGGAATTAGAGGGGAATCAGAGTCCTCTTCTGCCTAAGGGAACACACTACATAATCCCCGTTATGTATTTCACAACTTGGTACTAAGCAAGCTAGACAAACAAAAGCAATACAGACATCTGTTTACACCTCTGGAAAAGGAAAGTGTACTCACCAGAGCCATCTCCCCTTTTACACAACCTCAAAGAATAACCAGAGATCACTTGTGTCCTGGATGTAATCCTGGTAGGGGAACCATCCAAAGACAATCGCAAGGAACATTTACACCTACGTAAAATGACCAGAATAAAGATCAAACTTCACAGAAAAGGAAGGCTCAGGAAATTGTCTTGCCAACTATCTTCGAAAAGGAAAGTTTCACTAACTTCTCTCCTCTACAATCCTCTGGGAGTAAAGAATAAGTGAAAAATTGACAGCGGATCATCTTTGTACAAGTCTCTTGGCAAACATTCACTCCTTCCACGAAGGTCACATTCAGTTCTTCCCCTCCGAAATCAACTCTTGAGTGAGTTTTGAAATGGCAGGGCTCTGTGCCAATTATAAACATAAAAAAATGAAAACAGCAATAATTCACCATTACACAACTTCTTAGTGAATTTAGGATTACGTCAACACTATTATTTGTCAGCTGATCATAAAATTCATCACATTTTATGTCACATTATTATTGAATCAGATTACCAGGCAAAGTTTTTGAGCAGGTTAAAAGGCTGTATCCAGATATGGCATTTTCCTGAGGAGTGGGGGGACTCGGTGCCCCACTTTTCGAAGTCTTAAGGAAACAAATATTTCTATTAAAAAAAAAAGTGAGAGAGAAAGGTAAATACAAAAACACCTCTGTCAAAAAAAGCACTCCTGAAAATTCTATTCTTCTGAGAAATATTCTTCAAAGTAAATCAGGCTATAGTACTCTAATGAATTATAGAGATTAAATGTAAGTCAAGCCACATCTTATGGAAGAAAAATGATAGGCGCAGATAGCGTGAAAAGAAAATGGTAAAATTGCACCTTCTAATTGAAAAAAAGGAGGAAAGAGCATATTCTGGGGATTTATGTTCCTGTTGTGCTTATGTAACCACGGCCCCTTCCTTTGGCCTCATCTTGTATATGAAGGGTGGGTAATCTGAGGGTAGAAAGGTAGGAGCAGAACCTTGATCAGGATAAACATAGCTCTAGTTTCAGAAACAGAGTAGTTAGAGCCAACCAGCTTAAAGTATAAGCTGCTGGCAGGGATTTTACTTGAGGCTAATTCCAAGCATTAAGGTCCTTTGTTTCCCACAGCTGGTGTTCCTTGCTTCAATGCTAGGTTTAAGGAAAAGAAGGCTGGCAGAAAACTCTGCTAATCTTTTAACTAATCTGCACCTGGAAGAAAAGCACTCAAACTGCGTTTAAGCATTTTGAGGGAAATGAATAAAACTTAAGAAAAAACTCAAGCTATGAAAGTACGTGACAGGATAGTACTTGTATTACGCATTCATACTCGCCTTTGGGATTCGATGGTCCATGTATTCGGATAGAAGGTGAAGAAGTGGCAGTTGGGGTGATAAGTGCAGATGGTTCGACATACAAGAGCGTCTGGAGCCTTAACTCTGGCAACATCCACATCAGTAAAGGCAAGATGTTGGAAGATGTTCATGTTGCAGCCTGTGGACTCGCAGAAGGAGGAAAGTCGTCAGCATGTGACATAATGCTGAGGAGATTTTGACCATTTGTAACTCATAGCACTAAACACCTAAGTGCAAAAAATGTCTGTTAAAGCAGCCCCAAACGTGTTTGCTGTTTAAAAGAGGAAAAAAATTGATCTAATTCTGATAAGTCAGATTCATATGTCAGAGGAATTAACTAGCTCTGCCTATACTACCAGTCCCATCCCCAACCAGTGCAAACAGCCTGAGTTCCCGTCCCTGAGTTCCCAGCCTTCGGAACACAAGGAATTGTCTTACGTTTTTCTGAATTTTATGAAAAAAAATTTTATAAAAAGAGAGAAACAAAAATTTCAGATAACTAACAAGAAAACCATGTGTCTGTCCATTGATTAGAACAGGAGAAAACCCACTTTCATTGTCCTTATATGATCTTATTTTATAATTCCACTTTTCTATTATTCACTTAATTTTATAGTAGAAATCTAACAAAATTATGTTGGCTAAAATATCATAACAGCAATTATTACGGGAAGGACAAAAGAATACTAATTCAAGCAGTTGGATCAAAAGAGAGCTTCTCCCCATAACATAATATTAACTTTATGTAGGTGGTCTAGGAAACAAGAACTCAACTAATTAAATCTTTTTTAAAAATCAGAGACTCTTCAAGCTGGAGGAGAATTTAAGGGGTCATCTATGCCAAGCTATAATTGCATCTTCTCAAGGATATCCCTGGCAAGTTTTTCAACGTTGAATTAGACATCTATAGTGATAAGGAGCTTACTACCTCATGGCAAGACCCATTTCTTTTCTGGACTATGCTTAGGTGTTAGGAAATACTTTATTTTTTTTAAATCAAGGTAACATTGGTTTGCAGCGCTGTATATTATTTAGAGGTATAGGATTCCCCCCTTCAGGTATAGGTTACCACGACACATCCACCCACCCTACCTCCCCACCCCCACCCTCAAGTAGCCTCAAGTCTACAGTCAGATTTCTAGGGCTTGTTATTAGTTCAGTTTTATATGACTCTTTGTTTTGTTTTTCCATATTCCACAAGAAGCTCATGAAAGCTCAGGTAAAATGAGCTCAAAGCAATCCAGACCTAAACACATCATACTCAAACTGTTGAAAGCAAAAGATAAAATATGTTGAATGAAACAGTAGAAAAAGAACTTGTCATACACAAACTGCTCCCAGTAAGAGTAACCACTGATTTCTCATCAAACCAATAAAACTCAAAGACAGTAAAATGATAGATTCAAAATATTAAAAGAAAAAGACTATTAGCCAAGAATTCTATGTCCAGCAAAGCTGTCCTTTAAAAATTCTGGGGAAATTATAAATCTGAAATTAAAGGGATTGTAACTAAAAACTATTATTAGGAACTGTATACTAACAAATTAGAAAAACTAAACAAAATGGACAAATACCTAGAAATACACAAACCATTGAAACTGACTGAAAAAGAACTAGAAAATCTGAATAGTCTAATAAAATATAAAGAGACTGAATTTGTAATCAACACTTACCCACTGAGAAAAGCCAAGGCCTTTACCACTGAATTCTAATGAATGTTTAAAGAAGAATGAATACCATAGAGAAAAAGTAGCCAGACAATTACCAATTTCTGAGAGTGCACAGGGCTTCAGTGAGAATCCAGATGCCACATTATCCAGGACTTTTATACTTGTGGGTGTACCTCCAGGACTGTGCTTTAATATGCAGGTGTTCCTGAAAGCAAAGAAAAGAGGTTACTCTGCTTCGTAAACATTGAGTTACATGCAGCAGTCCACTCTGAGTTGACAGGATCCATGATGGGTGTAAAATAAACAAAGTAATGAGAATAATGGCTTTGAAAATGAGTGGGTTAGGTGTTTTGCATTATTAACCAAATACACAACTTTTCCCCCTGCAGAGGAAAAGTTAGTGAGAATGGGGTGGGAACTTTATTCTTTAATACTAACCCTCATTCCACAAGAACATGCTCTCTGTGGGCCAAATGAAAATTATTTGCTTTGGAAAAATGATACCAAAATTGATTAAGCAAATAAAGGGAGTAGTTAGGTCTAAAAGCCTTGTTTGTTTTTCTGCTGGGAAAAAAAAAAGGTTACAATAAACAGAAATCCTAAAAAGTACCATCAGAAAGAACAAATGCTATAAATTTTACTCACCGATATCCTGCAATATAAAATTTTTCTGTGGCATAGGTGAAAAATTGGCAGAGGATATTGTTCGTACATCTTTTCTGGCATTCTTCAACACTTTCAACTTTAGATTCATTAATATTGACTCCTCTAATATCAATTCCTTTATAAATGTCACGGTGGCAAGCTGTACAGATAAAACACATAGAGCAAAATTCAGTATCCTTTCTAGAAGTAGATCATCCACTGTTTAACCATTTGAGTAGGGTAATTTGGAAGAATATTAGTCCATTTATGATATCTTCCATATTAACTAGGGGCTTTGGGATTTTCTTATTATGTCACTAAATTATTATACTGCACTTGAAATAAATACATTCTAATAGACGTTAGAGCACTGGCATGAAAAAAGGGCTACTGTACTTCCAAAACTATAAGGTATGTGCAGCCATAGAAGTAATATTTCATGTTAAAATTATTGAATAGTGATAAATAAGGCAGTAATGTATAAATAAGGCAGTAATGTATACTAGGGATTGGCCTTCAACCTCTTGCGCTGAGAGGGTTTATCTCTGTGTTATTTCTTGGTATTCAACTACTCCTGTCTGCTTGTGAATTACATCTGTTAGCCCTGTCATTGACATCTATGTGTCAAATCATTTTAAAATGTGAAGTTTTTATATATGTATGATGAAACCATTTTTGTTCTTACTTTAAAATTATGTTATGTTCCACCTAAGAATCTTTTCAGTTGAAAATATATAGATAGGCCTCCCTGGTGGCGCAGCGGTTGAGCGCTGGGTTGCGAAGCTGCCCGCGGCCTCTGCGGTGCCGGTTCGATTCCCGGCTGCTCCCCGGCTACCGGAGGAGGGTCCCACATGGCGCGCAGACCTCTCCTGCCGCCCGCTGCTCCCCTCAGAAGTGTGCTTCAGTCCTTCTGCCTGTTCTGCTCCCTGCTCTGGCTCTGGTGAACTCTCTCACCCTCCCGCGCTTCTGACTGTACCCAGTGCATGTATAAACAAAAACAAACAAACAAATAAATAAAAATAAATAAAAACATGCCTCTATAAAAAACAAAACAAAACAAAACAAACCTAGGAGTTCCTAGGCTAACATATTAAAAAAAAAAAAGAAAATATATAGATAATTATTTTAATAGAATGTGAACCAAATTTATAAATTTTGGCTCTTTTAAAGACTCAATTTTGTTAGTTAGACTCTTGGTTAAGGAAACCAGCAGTTTAAACCATATTGTATTATATATAATTTTCCACACCTAAGTGGTATCCTTGAAGATGTCATAAAACCAGATTAATGATGGTAATGGTGGAAGAATCATAGTTGAGCAGAAAAGATATATTGAGGTGGGCAGAGTGGTGGATTATTCACAGCGGTCCATGTACACAAAGATTTGCAGATTATCAGATTGTCAAACTGGAGTCTCCTCCTAATTCTGTTGCATAAGAGACTATAAACTAAGGGGATACTTACAAACTAAGGCTTTTCTTTATGATTAGTGGAAAGTTATAAACTAACCTCTAAATATTTTAAACTAAAATTGGCCCTGAGTTTAGAGACTTTATGTGCCTGACAGCAATTTTTCACTTTAAGATACCTAGGGAGAGTTAGAAGGAAATATTGAATCAAACTCTGTGAGAAGACTAAATTTGGGTGGAAAACATAATAATAATGAGAGTATTGAGAAAAGCACCATATTATGTTTTTCTTTCAATTTTACTGTGATACACAATTGAAAATAATGCTTAATGAAATTGTACTAAGTTACATTAAGATCCAGATTTGATCTATAAAATAGATCTTGGGTAAACTACGTATTGGCTACATCAGGCCCACAGCTTTATGACTAAGGACTGGTTGATATAAACTACAGGTACAAGATGTGTGTGTGTGTGTGTGTGTGTGTATGTGTGTGTTGGGGGAATGGTATTACTGGGAGAGGAAAGGTTGAAAAATGTTTAAATATCCAAAATTTGAACCCATGAAATTAACTATAGATAAATAGAGTAACTAAAGATAAAATCTCAATGATTTATGTCCTAGTCTTCATATTTCTTTCTAGAAATATTATTCTTAACAAGATTTACAGAGCCCAGTCCTTCAGTTTGGGTTTAGGAGTATACGACAGGGATTCTTAACCTTGGCACTGCAGACATTTGGGGCTAGGCCAGTTGTGTGGTGGGGGCTTCCCTGTGCTTTGTAGAATGTTTAGCAGCATCTCTGGCCTCTACTCACCAGATGCCAGTAATATCCCCCCCACCCCCAAAATATTGCTAAGTGTCCCCTGGAAGGACATAATTACCCTGGCTGAGAACCACTAAGAGCCCTCAAGTAAAATAGGGAGGGGAACACCTAGATTCTCTTCAAGTTTCTTGGGCCTCCCTGGTGGTGCAAGGGGTTAAGCACCACACTATGAAGCAATCCACAGTCTCTGCAGCATGAGTTCAATCCCTGGCCTGCCAGTGAGCAACCCACATGGCGCAGCAGACCTCTCCTGTCTCGTCTGCTGCTCCCCTCAGCAGTGTATTTCAGTTAGTCTGCCTGTTCTGTTCCCCACTCTGTCTCTGGTGAATCCTCTCACCAGAGGATCTCTGGCCTGTCACCCTGCATCCTCTCACCCTGCATCTCTGGCCTCTATCCCAGCTCTTGTATGCATAAATAAATACATCTTTTTTAAAAAAAAGTTTCTTACCTAGAATCAAGGTGGAATGATGTTTGGATGTTTATTCATTTTCTGTCTCCCTTACACTGTAGTGTAACCTCAGAAATAATAGAGGTTGGTGAAGCATGTGTTGGCTGACAAAGACAAGAGGATGCGTCAGAACACAGCTGCATCTCAGTTCTGAGTGCTCCCTCCAAAAGTCCACTATAGTGGAGACTTCGAGCCAGAGCTGTTCTAAAGCAGACCCATTATTCACTCGAATTCTGCAAAGAAAGTCCCACCTTACCACTTATTTGATGACCACATTGCTTTAAGGAATGTCCAGAAATTGCATTTGTCCGTGATACTCTTGGCAAGGATCCTGTAACACTGTCTTTGAAGAAGCAACCAAACCTGTTTTTAAAAGTAGCTTCACTTAGGAAGTAAAATAATAAACATTGAAGATATATATATCTAGCATTTTTATACACTAATAAATATAGCCAACAATAAGGAAAATAATACTGCTTCCCTGATATGTGCTGGAAAGTGTATTCTTGGAGGAATTCTACAATATCTCATGGTCTTTGCAATATCCAATTTAGCATTATTTTCCTTTACAATCACATTTTTAAGTACAGAAGTTAAGTTAAATTAAAGAGCTAATTTGAGCACCAGATCATGCTGAAAACCAAGATGCATGAAATGCCAGTTGGTCTGAGTGGCTCAGTGTGGCCATTGGACATGCTGGTCAGTATTCTCAAGAGAAGAGCAAATTGGATCAACAACCATCAAAACAAGGTCCTTCTGGCACCTGTCTCCAATGCAGTATCAAGGGACCTTCATCAGAGTCAGCAGAGAAACAGAGAATGTCTGAGTCACTTTGATTAAAAATGGTTATTAGCCACAGTGGGGTTGTAATAATACTGATTTATACACCTCCTTTCCCGAGGGGCCTCTGGATGACAGGAAAAGACCAGTGATTTCCTGCTCTGGAGTTCTACACCCACCTTTGGGTAAATGGGGGTAAGGGAATAGCTCAGATAGCCTGAATGATGAAGTGCTTACAGTTTCCACTGGTCTCTTCACCTCTCTCAGATTTAAAAATTTTAGTAGCTCAAATGAAACATGTATATTGTCTTCTTTGATTGAAAGTCAGGGAACCAAAAAAGATGCATCCCAAAAGAGTTTTCTGCTTTTCTTTTGAGGCAATTTAGGGAATTACTGTCTTTCCTTCATTTTTTAATTTTCCTGAGGTGTTACTTGCATCCACTCTTTCTGGCAATGCATTTTATTGAGACTGATATAAACAAAAAAAGTGTTAATGATCCTTCCTAAGTTCCTAAACTTTTGGGGAACTATAGTCTCACTTTGTAGGTTATTTTTCTAAATACATTTGTTCTGGATATTGGTCCAAATTAAAGAAAATTATGATGAAATTATGACTACACTTAGGAAACTATCATCTAGTAAGATTCTTAATTACCAACTATTTTCCCAAATGCTCTCACTTATCCAAATTACTAACTCTGGTTATTACTTAATTACATTCTCAACAGAATGCTTGCTTTCTCTTATAGGAGGGTTGTGTTATCCACAACTGTGATCATAGGTTAGACAGCAAGTATGCTTCCTTTTTCAGATGAAATATACATCTGTTAACTAGACTTTCTTGAGACAATCTCTTAGAGCAATGATCTATAAGAATTTTTTTGAGACTGTGGATAGAAAGTGACAAGCTGCTCTTACTTTAAGTGAATGAAGCATTGTTTAAAATTTATGTTTCCAGATCCAAGAGACCTGGCCTCTTCAGTAGGTATAGCTGTAAGAATTTGCTTAGGTAAGAACCACTCCAAATAATTCCAATGAAGCTGAGCCTTGATTCCCATTTGAGAAATAGAACCCTGCCACATGCTGTCCCTTTTTACATACAACTGATTACATTTTGAGAAATGACTGGTTTCTCCAAGAATGAAATGGCAACTTTTTACCTTTTGTCTGTGTTGTTAGTTGAACTTGCAGGAAGAAAACTGAATAGCAAACACCTTGGATGGAAGGTACACATCATCTGACAGTGTTGGGCATTTGGGGAGTAGATGGCAGCTACATCCCCACCTTTGAAGAAGATATTTCTATATAGTTGAGTCAGGCATCCTGTGATAGAATAATTGAAAAAAAAAAAACACATCAACTTCAAACCAAAGCATGTCATAATTTTAATAGAAATATATCTGTGTTCCAAACCTTATTACTTTCTCTGCTAAATACCGAGTGAGCTATACAACTTGACTTTCACTGAAGAGGGAAAATTAATATATTGAGGGAACTATGCGACTGATGCAAGATGTTATGTAAAGTCATTTTATTTATTTATTTATTTTTAAAGATATATTTATTTATTTATACAAGCACTGAGTACAGTCAGAAGCGCGGGAGGGTGAGAGAATTCACCAGAGCCAGAGCGGGGAGCAGAGCAGGCAGAAGGACCGAAGTACACTGCTGAGGGGAGCAGTGGGCAGCAGGAGAGGTCTGCGCGCCATGTGGGACCCTCCTCCGGTGGCCAGGGAGCAGCCAGGGATCGAACCTGCGCTGCAGAGGCCGCGGGCAGCTTCGCAACCCAGCGCTCAACCGCTGCGCCACCGGGGAGGCCCTGTAAAGTCATTTTATGATACTTCTTTATAAAAAAAAAAAAAAAAAACTTGGTAGATTTTTATTAAATCATACAATAATACAATAATTTGCACATAAATTATCCTCATTTGGTTTCTCTCTGACAGGCTATGGCGATATCATGCTTCCAAAATAACCAACCACCTTTTACACAGCAGACCTCTCCTGACTCACCCGCTGCTCCCCTCAGCAGTGTATTTCAGTACATCTGCCTGTTCTGTTCCCCACTTTGTCTCTGGTAAATCTTCTCACTCCCCTACACCTCTGGCCTGTAACCCAGTTCTTGCATGCATGAATAAATAAATCTTTAAAAAAATAAAAAATAACCACCTTTTAGGGGCTATTTTGGTGCAGTGATGAGCATGTCAGTCCCATAAAAATAACCACGTATGATCTCTTTTTCAAAAAACTTTTATAACAAATATCCCCACTAGAGCCTCACAATAGCTCTGTAAAGGGAGCTAGAGACTGGTTTTATACATATCTGACTTTTTTTTTTTAAGAAAGGTTAAGTAACAGTCCTGCTGAAGAGCTACATGGCTAATGAATGTCCTGGGACATAAATTGCCTTTAACTTCTACTCTTGTTCCCATCTCTAGGGTACAATTTTAAATGTTTCTCATCTCAGTTTAATGCAAGCAAGCAAGCAATTTTGGGGTGTTGGTTCCTTCACAAATGAGTGCATAGGAACAGTATTTGCTCTTTTTTAGGTAGTGTAAGCAAATACTAAATTGAAAAGAAATTCTGAACTACTTGCTGTTTGGAATTGTTCACAACTCTAATAATATGTGGAAATGCATTCCACATATTATTAGAGTAGTGAATATTATCTTTTATAATATTGCTATTTCAAATATTAAAACGTTGCCTTTAATATATGCATTTAAGTTTACCATTTCAAAGTCTGCTTAGTAAGCTTTCCCAACCCAGGTGGCATATGCACTTTTAGATGATCATAGATGATCAACTGTCCATGAACTACCAGATAGTTCAATGACAACTTGTCCCCTGCCCCCCCATCAGCAGTCACGCTTCAGTTTCACTATCTATTTCTTCATGGCCTTTGAGGGAATGGGCAGCTTAGACACATGTGCTTTGTTAAGCTCTAAAGATTAAAATCTCCTCTGCACTATCCTAGCCCTTTGCGGATTCTGGCCCTGAGTCTCTAATCACGACTCAAATCAACAAGTTTGCTCTGTCCCTCTCAGGGGTATGGCTAAAATGACTAACCCTTGGGAAGGTTTATATTTAGAAAAGCAGAGTTCTCTTCTGGTAGAAACTTCTGGGAATACAAGTTCCCAAGTGTATGGACTTTGATTTCATATATGCCCAAATACTGTGTAGTTGGTACAGCGACAGCTAGCTGCAAAGTTGCTTTTTTTTTTAAAAGATTTATTTATTTATTTATACAAGCACTGGGTATAGTCTGAAGCGTGGGAGGGTGAGAGAATTCACCAGAGCCAGAGCGGGGTGCAGAACAGGCAGACTGATGAAGTGCACTGCTGGGGGGAGCAGCGGGTGCAGCAGGAGAGGTCTGCGCGCCGTGTAGGACCCTCGCCGGTGGCCGGGGATCGAACCAGCGCTGCAGAGGCTGCAGGCAGCTTTGCAGCCCAGCACTCAACCGCTGCGCCACCGGGGAGGCCCAAATTTGCCTATTTTTTAAGCAATTGGTGTTTTTAACTCCTTCATACACATCAAGCAGCCATTCTCCCCCATGATGACGTATGAATGCACAATGGCTGGTGATCACCTGGCGGTTATCATTCTGTGATAAAGGCTTTATGAACAGCGCTAAAAGGAGTGATTGGAAATACACTAACTTTGAAGTGAACCAAAAAGAAAGTTCTAATAGGTGTTGGTTCTTATCCTCATAATTTAGTAATGATGATAGCAATGATGACAATGACAATGAAGGCATGTTTGTATTGTATTTTAGATTGTGTATAAGGCACTTGATGTAAATTATCTCATAACATCAAATACTGCATTACATCTTGTCTCACTGGCCCTTGTGTATTCATGGACTTTGGTCTGATTATTAGGTCTTATTTTAAAAATGCTTCATCCAGAAAAGTAAGAAAAGTACTCTAATTTGCAAAACTGGGGAAGAAATACAAGCAACTGGTAAACATATGAAAATTGGTAAGAATCATATATATATAGCCAAGTTAAAACTGCAAGATGTCATTTACTCATCATATTAGCAAACCATTTTAATTATATAAGTTACCAGTGTTAATTTACTGATTCTGACTGCAAAAAGTGAAGTAAAAAAGGAGTTCAAGGGCCTCCCTGGTGGCGCAGCGGTTGAGCGCTGGGTTGCGAAGCTGCCCGCGGCCTCTGTGGCGCCGGTTCGATCCCCGGCTGCTCCCCGGCCACCGGAGGAGGGTCCCACATGGCGTGCAGACCTCTCCTGCCGCCCGCTGCTCCCCTCAGCAGTGTACTTCGGTCCTTCTGCCTGCTCTGCTCCCCGCTCTGGCTCTGGTGAATTCTCTCACCCTCCCGCGCTTCTGACTGTACCCAGTGCATGTATAAAACAAAAACAAACAAACAAACAAACCAGCAAACAAATAAATAAAGCATGCCTCTATAAAAAAAAAAAAAAAAAAGGAGTTCAAAATGGCTAGTTCGAAATAAAATATATTGGTTCAAAAGCCAAAGAACCCATAGTGGACTGACTTTGGGAGAAATGAATGGACCTGGTGCTCAGCTGATCCCCATCAACACATATATTGTCTTTATAAATTTGTTCTGTTCCATGATGGGTAGTCCCAGAAGCTCAGACTGTGCATTCTCAGATATATCAAGTCCGAATGAGAAACAAGTAAGAGGCTGATTCTTGAAGTGTAAGCTTAAGTCTCGCTGTAAGATTTGGCTTGAGCAGGTCACTGCAGCCAGCAGCTTGGCTCTTGTTTACTGGTTCTGATCAGTCTGGGTAACTAACATATGGACCCAAACTGGGAGACAACAATTCCCAGAAATAAATTTTCTGTGTCCAGAAAGGTGCATTATGCCCAACCACAAAGCAATAGATGCTTACTAGAGGTGTCTAAGGTGGGTAAATGACCACACTCATCTGCTTGTATAAAAGGTCTACTTGGGAACAACCTCTCTGAAAAGTAACTTCACAATGATTGTCATTAAAACCTTGAAAATATTCACATCTTTGTATCTAGCATTTTTATTTCCAAAATTTTATTTTACAGAAATAATTGAATATGTTTCTAGAAGTATACTGAAAAATACCACCAATAGGGAAGAACACTAAACTCAAAATATGTGTTTTTGTATATACATATACATACATACACATATATGTGCATGAAAAGATAGTTATAATTTGGGACACATAAGTCATAAAAAGTACCTATAATTAATTACATTTCTATTAAATGTGAAAATAGATATATGTATCTATATACATATATTTATGTATTTTTTTGTATTTTAGTATTTTTTGTATTTTTTAAATATTTTTCTAAAACCAGTATTTTGCTTAAACAAGAGTTTTAGCAAAGGCTTTTTTTGGCACTGTGGGACTACAGACAATATATAGTCTCTGAGTTTTTGGTTATTTGTAACTCTAATTTTCTGAGCATGATCATGAAAATTATTTACCAAAGAAATGAAATTGAAGTGACCACAGTATCTCTGGCTTCTCCTTCCCAGCAGTCGATGGGGGTGTGCATGGGGATGATTATGCCTCAGAAGAGCAACTAGGAGTGAGGGAGAGGGAGCGCAGTGATGGCTTAGAAATATTAATATCTTAAAGAAATTGTATCTCTTCATGCATATAGCCCTTATGCAAGAGATATTAATCTGAGCCATCCATTTGAGAGGTAAGTAAGAAATCCTCTGCTGTAGCCATCTGATTTTACATGGGTCCAGAATTCACCTATAACAGTTTTACAGAGAAAACTCTACTCTGCAATGATTAATGAAAAAGTGTCCAAAAATTGTCACTTTTTTTCCAGAATCATCTTTTTTTCTTTGAAAATTTAATAAAACGGGCAAAATCAAAATCTAGGTTTTGAAACTGGAATTATCAAAATGGATGTCTTACTAAATTAATTTAAGCCAAAAACTTTCATTTCTGACTGGGTTCCCATGTGGCCTAAAAGTGTAAAAATAAGTACTAGGTACCTATTTTATGATACTTAGGTTGAACCCAGACACCATGAAATGCCTAGCACTTTTGAATATTCAGGTAAAATAGATTTTTTAAATGTTTATTAAAGAAAATAGAGGTCTGATTGTTTTAAGACTGCTTTGTAGAGAATGATTTCCAAACAGAAATGACACTTCCTGTTAACAGATGCTTAAAGGAACTCACTTCTAGACCTGTCCCCCTGGGGTGTGTAGGGCAATACTTCAAAGAAGTACTAATAAAAGGATATGTTCCCTGACTTATCACAGCCTTTCTCCTTCCCAAAGCTGTATGTCAAATAGCTTTCTCTGGGGCTGGCAGGTATGTCCTGCTAATTACTTCCTCATATACTCTTAATTGTATGTCTCATTAATCATCCACTTACCATAGGAAACTGTAGTAAACAAGCAAATGAAATAAGCTGCTTGCCTGAATGAAATCATCCTAAAAGAAAAAGCAATGCATGCATAACTCTGCTGGTTGTCAATCATAGTTAACATTAACCTTAATTTTAGGTGATAGAACTTGTCTTGTATATGTCTAAATGCCAAACCTAAGCACACAATTGCCAGAACAGAAAGCAAATGTTTTCTTTACATTTTGTGCCTAGAATTTGGGATTAGCAAATTAAGCCCTCCAGTGCCTATTGTGCTTAGTATTCATTTGTCACCTGTTATTAGTAATGGAAAAGAGAATTTAGAGCAAGGAATTAAACACATCTGAAACCTCTGTGTTTAAGCAGAAAGAAAATTACTAGCAACAATGCTGATAACACCAGTCTAGAATCCTTAAGTAAAGAAATACTCTGAAAATAGTCAAGCCTGCTTTTAATTTTTAAATCAGTCGTTATTCTGTTTTAAAAATATCTTACATTTATATTCTCAATATTTCCATATTTATTAGTTCCTCCTCGCTCTCTACACAGGAAATTAGAACATACACTAATACATTCCTCATAAAGTAAAAACTATGCTTCACTATAAAAACTATTTGGTAGCAATCACAATAATAGAAGTTCTATACCTGAAAGTGCAATTTCTCCTGTGGTGCTGGAGGACAGGGTGTCTCTCACCACTTAAAAATGGACGGGCGTCAGCCTTTCCTAAGCTGACTCTGTAGAGAGTATTTGCTTGGCTCCAATGTTGACTTTGGTTATCTGCAAGTTTCAAGTTTTTGTCCTGTCAGCATAATCTATGACTATCCCATTCCTGTGTTCAGTTATCTAATATATTAACTCTTTCATGCTAGGGTCACACAATTCGTGCACAGGTTTTATTTTTTTTAATTCAAATTTTTATTTTTATATTCCCCATATAATTACAACCCCCTTATTTTGACCCCAAGCCCTCCTTTCCCTGCCCCCCATCCCCCATAGAGTGTCTCTTGTTCATAGTTATTTGTTGATTTTGATATTTTCTTTCTTATAGTTATTCTTTTTCCTGGTCCCTTATTTAAGTTTTCTAGATTCCTGCTATGAGTGAGACCATCCGGTATTTTTCTTTTTCTTTTTGGCTTATTTCGCTGAGCATGATCCCTTCCAGCGCCATCCATGTTGCTGCAAATTGCATGTGTTTATCTTTTTTGAATGCTGAGTAATATTCCATGGTGTATATGTACCACATCTTCTTGATCCAGTCATCTATTTTTGGGCATTTGGGTTGTTTCCAAAGCTTAGCTATTGTAAACAGTGCTGCTATAAACATAGGGGTGCAGTTGCCCTTTGGAATTACTGTTTCTGTGTCCTTTGGGTAAATACCTAGGAGTGGAATTGCTGGATCATATGGAAGCTCTATGTTTAGTAGGTCAAGAAATCTCCACACAGCTCTCCATAGTGGTTGGACCAGTTTGCGCTCCCACCAGCAGCGCAGGAGAGTTCCTTTTTCTCCACAACCTCGCCAACATTTGTTGCTAGTTTTTTTAATATGTGCCATTCTCACTGGTGTAAGATGGTATCTCATTGTAGTTTTGATTTGCATTTCCCTGATTACAAGTGATGTTGAACATTTTTTCATATGCCTGTTGGCCACAGGACCCCAAATAACTGTTTGGGAACAATATTCCCAAACAGTTATTTGGGGTCCTGCAGCATAAATTTCAATGAACTGGACTTTTCCCATTATAATTAACTGATGCACAGCCTTTCAAAGGTGGGATTGATAGGTAATCCTGGAAGGATCTTTGGGTAACTGATACCTATGCCTTCCCTTATGCTAGTGAAAGAAATATGTAGTGCTGAAATTTTAAGTATAGAAAGGAATTGGTTGATGTTAGAGCCTGCTCTCACCCAATTTGAGAAATAAAATAGAATGGTGTAACAAAACACATTTCGTGGAGCAAATGTGGCCCAGTGCTTGTTTTTGTAAATAAAGTTTTATTGTAACACAGTCATGTCCCTTAGGTCCTGGATTGTCTTTGTGAGCGCTTGCCCTACAACTACAGAGTTACATGGTAGTCTGATCTACAAAACTGAAAAAATTTACTTTCTGGCCCTTTTCTGGAAAATACTGTGTAGTATTCCTGGTATAGAGTTTAGACTTGTCTGTCAACCTATTTCAACTGGAAAAAAAAAATCTACTCAATCTGTTCTAGCTCAGGGAGTTCTATTTTATTTTTAATTTTTTTAAAGATTTATTTTATTTATTTATACAAGCACTGGGTAAAGTCAGAAGTGCAGGAGGATGAGAGAATTCACCAGAGTCAGAGGGGAGAGCAGAGCAGGCAGACTGACGAAATACACTGCTGAGGGGAGCAGTGGGCGGCAGGAGAGGTCTGCGCGCCAGGTGGGACCCTCGCCCAGCGGCAGGGCATTGAACCAGCGCTGCAGAGGCTGTGGACAGCTTTGCAACCCAGCTCTCAACTGCTGCGCCACCGGGTAGGCCCTATTTTATTTTTAATTTTAAGAAAAAGTCTCCCTGAAGACTGAACTATGCCTCCAGGCAACTTCTTTCCTTCAGTCCTAGATTTTCCTACTAGAGCTACACAAATTTTTTTAATCCATTTTGTGCTTTTTAAAATATTTAGACCATAATAATCACTTATCCACATAATTTCCTTTGTTTTTTTTTTTAAATAATAAATTTTATTTTTATATTCCCCATACAATTGCAACCCCCCCATTCTGACCCCAATCCCTCCCCTCCTGCCCCTCACCCCCCAAAAAGTGTCTCTGGTTCATAGTTTTTTGTTGATTTTGATTTTCGCTTTCTTATAGTTATTCATTTTTCTGGTCCCTTATTTAAGTTTTCTAGATTCCTGCTATGAGTGAGACCATCCGGTATTTTTCTTTTTCTTTTTGGCTTATTTCACTGAGCATGATCCCTTCCAGCGCCATCCATGTTGCTGCAAATTGCATGTGTTTATCTTTTTTGAATGCTGAGTAATATTCCATGGTATATATGTACCACATCTTCTTAATCCAGTCATCTATTTTTGGGCATTTGGGCTGTTTCTAAAGCTTAGCTATTGTAAACAGTGCTGCTATAAACATAGGGGTGCAGGTGTTCTTTGGAATTGATGTTTCTGTGTCCTTTGGGTAAATACCTAGGAGTGGAATTGCTGGATCATATGGAAGCTCTATGTTTAGTAGGTCCAGAAATCTCCACACAGCTCTCCATAGTGGTTGGACCAGTTTGCACTCCCACCAACAGTGCAGAAGAGTTCCTTTTTCTCCACACCCTCGCCAACACTTGTTGTTGCTAGTTTTTTTAATATGTGCCATTCTCACTGGTGTAAGATGGTATCTCATTGTAGTTTTGATTTGCATTTCCCTGATGACAAGTGATGTTGAACATTTTTTCATATGCCTGTTGGCCATTTGCATTTCCTCTTCAGAGAAGTTTCTTTTTAGCTCTTCTGCCCATTTTTTGATGGGATTATTTTCTTTGTTGTTGTTGAGTCTCATCAGCTCTTTGCAGATTTTTGTGATCAGTCCTTTATCATTAGTGTTGTGTGCAAAAATGTTCTCCCAGTCAGTGGGGTTTCTCTTTGTTTTTGTTATTGTCTCTTTTGCTGTGCAGAAGCTCTTTAATTTGATGTAGTCCCAGCTGTTTATCTTTGCCTTCACTATCACTGCTTTGGGTGATGTGTCTGTAAAGATGTCTTTGATGTGCAAATCACATAGTGTTTTGCCTATATTTCCTTCTATATATTTTATGGTTTCAGGTCTTATGTCTAGTTCTTTAATCCATTTTGAGTTGATTTTTGTGTATGGTGTGAGGTAGTGGTCAAGCTTCATTCTTTTGCATGTAGCGACCCAGTTTTCCCAGCACCATTTATTGAACAAACTTTCTTTGCTCCAATGCATAGTCTTTGCTCCTTTGTCAAAGATTAGTTGACCATAAATCTGTGGGTTTATTTCTGGATTTTCTATTCGATTCCATTGGTCTGTGTGTCTGTTCTTGTTCCAATACCATGCAGTTTTGATGATTATGGCTTTGTAGTAGTGTTGTAGAGCAACCCCGATACAAAACGGGGTGCCTGACTGTGGGTCCTCACCTGCGCGCTTAAAAGGACTTATCAATGCTCTACTGCAGGCACACGTGAAAGGTTAATAAAAGGTTTATTTACAAAGGGAAGGGGAAATGAGGAAATATACAGCTCTGGGAGAAAAGTGGGAGACAAAGTTTTAAATGAGTCCTACCCGATCCGCCCATCAGGAATCCCAAAATGGCGCTCTCAGAGTTGGCCACCAGCCAGGAGCGGTGAAGCCAGGAGTCGAGCGATCGCGAGCCAGAGAGAGAGACCAAGGCCCACGTGTTTGGTTTTTATATACAACCTGGCTGCCCAACTCCACCCTCAGGTCCCAGCCACCCTCCCCTTGGTGGTGATGGGATTTGTCTTTCCCAGAGTCTTGATGGCTTTAGTCTGGAGTGGGGGTGGAGTCCACAAAGCCTGTATGGGATTAACTCAGGACATCCTTTCCCCCTAACAGTAGAGTTTGAAGTCTGGGAGTGTGATGCCTCCATTCCCTTCTTTTTTTTTTCAGGAGAGCTTTGGCTATTCGGGGTTTTTTGTGATTCCATATGAATTTCATCAATAATTGTTCTATTTCTTTGAAGAATGACATTGAAATTTTGATTGGAATAGCATTGAATCTGTATATTGCTTTTGGTAGGATGGCCATTTTAATAATGTTTATTCTTCCAATCCATGAGCAGGGGATGTCTTTCCATTTCTTTGTGTCTTCTTCTATTTCTTTTAACAGTGTTTTATAGTTTTCTTTGTATAGGTCCTTTACCTCTTTTGTTAGATTTATTCCCAAATATTTGATTTTTTTTGTTTCAATAATAAAAGGGATGGTTTTTATGATTTCTTCTTCTTCAGATTTATTGTTTGTGTATAGGAAGGCTATTGACTTTTACGTGTTGATTTTGTATCCTGCCACTTTACTGAACTGATTGATAAGTTGAATTAGTTTTTCTGTGGAGTTTTTGGGGTTCTCTATGTATATTATCATATCATCTGCAAATAGTGATAGTTTGACTTCTTCTTTTCCTATTTGGATTCCTTGGATGTCTTTCTCTTGTCTTATTGCTCTGGCTAGGACTTCCAGTATTATATTGAAGAGCAGTGGTGAGAGTGGACATCCTTGTCTTGTTCCAGATCTTAATGGAATTGCTTTCAGCTTTTCACCATTGAGAATGATACTGGCTGTTGGCTTGTCATAGATGGCCTTTATGATGTTGAGGTATGTTCCTTGTATCCCAAGAATTTCAAGGGCTTTTATCATGAATGCGTGTTGCACTTTGTCGAAAGCTTTCTCAGCATCTATTGATATTATCATATGGTTTTTATATTTCTTTTTGTTGATGTGTTGGATAACGTTGATTGATTTTTGGATGTTGAACCATCCTTGTGTCCCTGGAATGAATCCTACTTGGTCGTGGTGAATTATCTTATGGATACATTGTTGGATTCTGATAGCTAAAATTTTATTGAGGATTTTTGCATCAGTGTTCATTAGGGAGATTGGCCTGTAGTTTTCCTTTTTTGTGTTGTCCTTGTTTGGTTTTGGTATTAGTGTAATGTTGGCTTCATAGAACGTGTTTGGTATTGTCCCTTCCTTCTCAATTTTTTGGAAGAGTTTGTGAAGGATAGGCACTAATTCGTTTCTGAACTTTTGGTAGAATTCATTTGTAAATCCATCAGGTCCTGGGCTTTTGTTTTTGGGGAGCTTTTTGATTAACATTTCAATTTCGCTAATTGTAATTGGTCTGTTTAGGTGTTCTCTTTCTTCTTTATCTAGCTTTGGGTGATTGTAGAGTTGTAGGAATTTGTCCATCTCCTCTAGATTGTTGAACTTGTTTCCATATAACTGTTCATAGTAGTTACTGATTATTCTTTTGATTTCTGCTGTGTCCGTTGTGATTTCTCCTCTTTCATTTGTGATCCTGTTTATTTGTGCTTTCTCCCTTTTTTCCTTTGTGAGCCTGGCTAGGGGTTTGTCTATTTTATTGATTTTTTCGAAGAACCAGCTCTTGGTTTCATTGATCTTTTGGATTGAATTTCCTTTGTTTTTAACTGTTCTTCCAAAACCACAACATATTGTTCTGACAAGTGAATTGGATTTTTCGGGAGCTGATTCTTAAATATTTTACGTATGTAACTGCAATGAGAACTGTTTTTTATTAAAAATGTAAGCTAATGCTGCTAAGATGAACCAGCATATTTCAAACATGCATACTTTACTGAGTTTAGAAGCAAAATGCTCTGTATTTCTAATTCTCCTCTAGTTTATTCTTCAGTCAGGGAAACTCAAAATCAATCCAGGATAATGACACAAGGAACATTTTGTTAGAAAGTTTGAGCGACTTTGATGACAACAAATTCGAGAGAGCGATTTCTGTTATTACTCATTTTAGGCCAGTTACCCACCAGTTTATCTTTTTTTTAAAAGATTTATTTATGTACAAGAACTGGGGTACAGGCCAGAGATTCAGGGGGATGAGAGGATTCACCAGAGACAGAGCGGGGAACAGAACAGGCAAACCGACCGAAAGACACTGCTGAGAGGACCAGCTGGCAAGAGAGGAGAGGTCTGCCTTGCCAAGTGGGCTGCTCCTGGCTGACTGGGGTTCGAACTAGTGCTGCAGAGGCTGCAGATTGCCCTATAGTGTGGTGCTCAACCCCTTGCGCCACCAGGGAAGTCCCCCCACCAGTTTATCTTTTAAAGTTACCTCTATTTCAAATTGTCATCAATTCCTAGAATGAAATGCAGCATCCGTATTTAAAATGTAATTTATTTTTCTTGAGATGCCTCCTCAAGCAAAAGGAAAATAAATAATACAGATATAAACATATTTGATTATAGTCTTATTTACAAAATATTAGCATACACATTGTAATCCTACAGACCATTACATGACTTCTCAATTTCAATTCTGACATGGATTAAGCGAATTTCCAATTAAAATAAATAACAAATAATTTGGGGAGGGGATGAAACAAAGATCTTAAGCCAAAGGATAACATTAAGCAGTATTTTACTCAATTTTTTTTAAAGTGGCAAAGATTAAATGTAAGTACATAATATTGACAAATAACACTAATTGCCATGAAGGTAACTTCAATTATCCAAAGTCATCTGGGCATAAGATTTTCTACATAATCCAGTTCTACAACAAGGCTAAGCTGTGAATCCTACTCAATTGTGTCACATAATTCCTTGACTTGTTCTCAGCAACTTTAATGATTAAGGGGTGTAGGGGGGTGGTCTACAGCAATGCACTTTGGGACATTGAGATAGTGAAGTGAGAGGAGCTGCTGACCCTTCTAGATGCCAGCCATCAGTACTTGCCATGTGACTTTGTCTTGTGTCTCTTTGATTTTCACGAAAAATACATATTCCACCCTCTTATTGCTTCTGTCTGCTACTGTCTTAGGAAAACTGAAGATACAATCTCATTAAAATTATCTATTAAAAGAAGTGTTTAATGCTCTGAGTGAGTAAACAGAGATATTGTTTCAAATTAAAATGTAGGGAATGGTTGATAGTTACCGGCTTGTATGTCCTAGAGGACTGAATTTACTGAATTTGTGAATTTACACAAACCTAAACTGAGTGAGAGATCACTGGCTGACTAAAAACAGGAGAATGCCTTCTCGTTTCTTTTAAAGAATTCTAGACGATATATGCCAAAAGCAGAGGTAAATGATCTGTGTTCTAGTGGTTCATCTAGACATGAGTCCTACAACGCAATAATAGCATATTGCAGTAAAAAGTATGATAAAGTGCAGAGATTTAGAGGAAAGAACTTTTATCTATTTTCAACCTGTCACCCACTAGTGTTCATGAATTTGGGGAGAAATATACCTCCCCAAATGATCACATTCCCTAATTCTAGGAAAGGGAGTATAGCTAGACATGCGTAAACGTCCTTACAGCAGCAAAAATCATTGATTAATTTTATAAGGCATTGTGTGGGACTGGTGATTATCAAGAGGAATCCTTCCCAATAATTTAAGACACATTATTGTAATTGTGGTACTGTAAAGAATGAAATGAATGCCATAAATGTACAGTCCAGGGAAATAAGAACAGAATCTATGAGTCAATTTATAAATGGCCTACTCTATGTGATTAAAACTAAAATGTATCATAATTACTCTTCTCATAATCGATGAGAACTGATAGAATTCAAAAAAATTTTAACTCAGATATAAGTACTTAATTATACACACCTTTCAAATTAAATACGTATTTATGCCTGCATACATGGGTTCCCTAGTGAGTAAGAATAACTTAAAAATTCCTGGACTTCAATTAAATGATAACCTTTGGTCTGTCTATTGAAATTGAGTTTGCCTGTGGATGCCTCTCTTCAGAAACTTGTGATATATTCATTTGGGTCCCATTATTAGTCAACTCTACTTCTGGAATTAAGAACAGGGGTAAGATCTATAGCAGTGATGAAAATATAAAAGCTTACCTTGATACCAAGGTAAGTGATGACAAGGAAAACCTAGGTCTAAGAATTAAGAATATTGAACTTATGTTCTAGAAATTGTAAATGCAGTTTCTCTTCACAAAGAACCTTTTTCATGATAAGGGCACAGCCCAATAATAAGTTAGGATTCACTGGTGTTTCTCCTCTTCAACTTGATCCAGATGCCATTAGTTGGACGAAGAATCAGCTCTCCTGCCAGGCCAAGTTCTTCTCTTTTCTGATTGGAATCTACCCAAAACTGCCTCAAGATGCAGGAGAGGATGATCTTTTCTTCCATTATGGCAAACTTTTGACCTTCAAATTAATGTAATAATAGCATCAATTTAATTATAAATATAACTCAAAGCTCCTTCAATAAGGAGCTAAGCTATTAATATTTTATATAGTCTCATTAGCTCCCGGGAAAATCAAACCAATTGGGAAACTTGTTTAAAGTGAAGATTATTTAGCTCCCTTTGCTGTTCCCATCTGAACAGCTGGAGTAGAGCAGGGAATCTGTGTTTCATAGTACCCCAAATGAACCCAAGGTCTCCCTGAAGCATAAGAATCACTACTCTAGTTTGCTTTCTTATTGAGTCTTTGTTGTAACTTATTGCAGGATCACCAGAGTTCTGATCCACCCATTTAAATCTGGCTTCATTTTATAAATGCCTGCATTTAGAAAATGCTAGAGATACTAAAGCCAAAATTGTTTATAATGCATAGTGATGCACATTCACTTTATTTAAGTAGTTCAACCAGCCAAATTGTAAGCAGCCTTTGTTTTGTGTTGGCAAAATTTAATTCTAAAAGCATCAAACATAAAAGTTAGGTTAAATAAACCAAATCATTATTAAAAAGTTTTCTACCATATAGAGTATGTTCAACTTTACCCTTCAGCTTCACCATGAAACTGATTATGCTTTATATTATGACCTGAGCTTCCTCCCCACCAAATCATATGTTGATACCTAACCTCCCACCCCAAATCTCAGGATATGAGATCTGAGACAGGGCCTTTAAGAGGCAACTAAGTTAAAATGAATTCACATGTATGGGCCCTGTACCAATCTGACTTATATCCTTATACAACAAAGAGAACAAGAAACAGACACACACAGAGAAAAGATCATGTGAAACACGGGTGAGGTGACCATCTACAGCCAAAGAGAGAGTACTCAGGAGCAGCCACCATGCCAGCACCTGATGTCAGTGTTCTAGTCCCCAGAACTAGCAAAACACATCTCTATTGTTCAAAACCCAGAGTATAGCACTTTGTAATATTTAAAAAATAATAATAATGTATAGTAAAGTGGAGGGAAAAGGAAAGCAGTTTTTAAAGAGAGCTGCAATGGAACACCTCATTGCAAAGAAATGACAGAGAGAAACTCTCTACCCTGTGGCCTAAAAGGTCAAACCAATTGATGGATACAAACCTATACAGTTTCTTGGTCCAGCAGAGAAGGGCACATATGCATATGGATGGCGTCCTTGTGAGTTTTCTGGAAAGAACCTTTCTGGCTTAAATTCCTCGGGGTCTGGGAAGAACCGGGGATCTCTGTGCAGTGCATAGGTAAGGACGAGGGCTTGAGAGCCTTTCACGATTCTGTAACCCGCTGTCGAGAAGGAATGAACATGCCGTGAGGGAGCAAGACAGACACACAAGCATCCCTCTCCCTGCTGTTCTATTACGTAACACTTACCAACTTCGCAATCTTCACTAAGGTGTCTGGCAAATAAAGGCACTGAAGGAAAAAGGCGAAGGGTCTCCTTAATAACACATTCCAGATATTTCAGTTTCTTCAGGTCCTCTAAGCTAGCAGAACGATCAGACCTTCCTGATTAAAGGAAATACAGGAGATGACAATGAAAGACCTGTCCAGGCTTGGGAGATGGGCTTTCAGAGTAGACTACAGTAATCAAATCACTGAATGCTAAATAGCTACAGATTAACTAGAACTTCTAATATTCTACATAATCAAAATAAAAGGAGACAATATGCTAAATAAAAGAAACCAAACACAAATGGTCATGTATTGTGAAGTACCCAGAACACATAACTCCATGGAAACTGAAAGAAAATTAGTGGCTTCCATGTGTTGGGGGAGAGGGTACTAGGAAGTGGCTGATTAAAGGCACAGGGTTTCCTTTTTGTGATGTTGAAATGTTTTGGAATGAGGTGGGGGTAGCGTTGCACAATGTTGTGAAAATACCAAATAAGAAGATATAGGGATTTGAGTGATGTGGTCATAAGGCAATGCCTGTAAGTGAACGTAAGGTGCAGAGGACATAGGCAGGGAAGGGGGTGCCCCTGGGGGCCTCCTGCCATTGCAGCATCTCTAAAGAAGGTCCTTCTACACATCCTGATTGCCAGAGCAGCACTGACTCATGGGCCTGGAGACCCAAGTGTAATGACAGAAGGGTGCACCGTACCAAACACTTCCTCCAGCTCCTTGTGGACTTCTCTCTGGACTTCTGGGTAAGAACCCAGCAGATACAAGGACCAATTTATGGCAGCTGCAGTTGTATCATGGCCCTGCAAACAGAAGGAGAATCATTTATTTATTTTTTAAAGATTTATTTATTTATTTATACAAGAAACAAAATACAGGCCAGATGCGCGGGAGAATGAGAGGATTCACAGAGGGGGGAACAGAACAGGCAGACTGACGAAATATACTGCTGAGGGGAGCAGTGGGCGAGTCAGGAGAGGTCTGCTGTGCCATGTGGGCTCCTCCCTGGCTGGCTGGGGATCGAACTCGTGCTGCAGAGGCTGCGGACTGCTTCACGGTGCATTGCTCAACCCCTTGTGCCACCAGGAAGGCCCAGGAAAATAATTTAAAAGCAGAATTATACTGAAAGATTAGCAGATAACTCCATTTTGAACTGTTGCTGAATTTGAACTCCATTTTGAACTGTTGATAACAACAATGTGACTTCTAAATACAGGAAATTAATTCTATGTAGTATGTCACCACAGTGAAAAATAAAATAATTCCTGCAAGCTGGAGTGCACACTTAGACATTTCAATGCTGCCTGGAGTTGCATATTTTGCAGAAGTAGCTGGAATTACTGTGCTAATAAGGAGACACTGGGCGGAAGTAGGTGTCCTCAAATTTTAAGGGAAAAAAGTTTGACTTTCCTGAGTCAGCTTGCCAGATCTATACTTGTTATTACCACATGCTGCTTTTTAATATCTTTATTTCCCAATTCACCTATTGAGAAATTCATTCTTTGTAATATTTAATGTAGTTAAAAATCATCTTTGCAAGTACTATTTTTTTTTAATTTGAAGACCAGAAATCCCTTTAGAATCACAAACTGATGAAATTCTCTTCTGCAGGACTCTTACTACCTTCTGAGCTTAGACAGCTCATAGCAGTAGCTAAGCGCTCATTTGCTAGAACTTCAAAACAGGAGGCAATGAGGAAATCATGGGTTTCAGCGATTAAAAGGAAACATGAAGCAGTATAGGGAACTGACAGCAATTTCTAGCTGCTTTTCTACTTATGAATGCCTGACAGATCTTAAGTTTTCTTGAGAAAACAAAACGTGTCCACTGTTGTCCCCATCAGAGTCAAAATCCTTTTCTGAAGAAGGAAGTTGATCTGGTCTTTAAACAGGTTCTCAAATTTTATAATTTCTAATTAGAATACAATGCCTGTTCCTCTGTTATACTACTACATTTTGATTAATTTTTTAATAACATTGACGTTTCTATAGCTGGAATATATTAATGATGCCGGAAAATAACATAATAGGCAATACCTCAAACATGAAGGTGTCAACTTCTTGTCGAATATCATCATGACTTAGCTTGTTCCCTTGATCATCAGTTACATTTAAAAGCAAGTCGAGAAAAGCCCTGCGTTTATTTTTGGAGGAGGCGGTGCCCTTGTGGTTACTTTGACTTTCTCCATCCCTCTTCATTTCACGGGCCCGCTCAGCGATGACCTGTGTGATGTAAACAATTACAAGTTTTGTTTGGAAATGGATGCAACCTATTAATACATCCTCCTATCAAAACACTCATTTCTTCAACTTATTTTTAAAAACCTTTCATTTCTCTCTCAACAATAACTTAGGTTCCTGTGAAAATATGTGAAACAATTCTGTTAATATTTTAGAGCAATTTCCAGTAAGGCTTTGATAACAAATTTAATGTCAAAAAAATGAAATTTTCAAGTGCTATTTTTGCAGTCTTTCCAACAAGGGGATAGGATAGTAGTTTACTAGATAGATCCCAAGAGATTTGATGAAGCTAATGAGACAAAGTTTAGGTGATAGTGGGGAGAATGTGCTCGGCTAATGGTAGGTCACTGTAATTACATGGTGCACTGCAGACAAGAAAGCGGAAGTTGGTTAGTCCTTAGATGCCAACATCTTTCATGTCTCTGCCCAGTTTCACACCATCACAAAGACCTTCCCTGACTGCTGCTATGCTAGTTCCTAGTACTCACTTTTTTCCCTAGACTACTTTATGTTTTTCCTTTCCATGTACACTTCACATTGTACTTGCTGTTTATTTTTTTTGATCTGGGAATGTTTATTGTAGAAGTTTGGCAAGGTTCTTATGGGTGGCCCCTGCCAAGACTGACTGGGGGCCTGTGCTCAGGCCAGGCAGGCAGTGTAAGAGTGGGTGACAGGAGTATGTCCCAGCTCAGGGACTCAGAGCTGGAAGATGACACTGGGGACCCTGCTGTCAGTGAGGCCTGTGCATTGGGCTCCACATTCAAGTACTTCCCCATGCCAGTCTCTGTCAACATGGAGACCCTCCAGAGCCACCAAATCCCAAAGAGAGACACCAATGAATCATCTAGTAACAAGTCTCTCCTTCCCAAAGTCCTCAGGGGGATCAGCCAGGACCCGAACATTGCCTTCCCTTTGTGAGCATCTCCCCATTTTTAAAAAAAAATTACATTTATTTTCTTACAGCATTGTTAATTTTTGGACAGTATTTGATTTCTCACCTTGGCTATAGTCCCCATGTTCACCTACCACCATGATACCTGTGATCCATCACCACAGTCCCTTGTGCTCTTCCCTCCTCTGTTTTGACTCTTTCCCTCCCCCCTCCCTTGCTGTGTGCCTCAGATCTACAGTCAGCTTGCTAGTTTCAACTTTTTCCTGATCTTTTGTTTGGTTTCTCTAAATGCCGCATATAAGTGAAGCCATCTGATATTTATCTTTTTTCCTTCTGACTTATTTGCTTAGCATAATCCCTTCCAGCTCTATGTTTCTGCCAATGGAAAGCTGTGTGGAGGTCCCTCAAAACACTAAAAGTGGATCTACCACATGATCCAGAAATTCCACTCTTAGGAATCTATGTAAAGACACAAAAACACTAATTTGAAAGGAAATTCACACTCCCATATTTACTGCAGCACTGTTTACAGTAGCCAAGATGTGGAAACAAGCCAAATGCCATGAAATAGATGAATTGATCAAGAAGATGTGGTGTATGTGCACAGTGGAATACTACTCGGTGATTAAAAATGATAAATTAGTTACCATTCTTCAGTTGCAAAGACATCATTAACACTCAGTGGAGCCTGCACTACAGTTGGGAAGGTACCTCCCAGCAGTGGCACACCTGCCTGGGGCCACAAAATTATAATTTGATTCATACTTCAATTAAATTTTGCTTTTTTGATGAACACATCTTTAATATACTGACTTATTCAAAACAGCTGGTTATTTTTGAGAAAGAAATAAAATAGTGATAACTAGCCAATTCTGATATTTTCCAAGTTAAAATGCAGCATCAAATGCCTTGTCATTGAAAACTAATGCCTATTCCAAACATTTTCCAAAAGGCTCTTCAAACATAGATCCAGTCTCTCCCTTATACATAGTGATCTGCTTGTTAATAAATGTACATTGTTTATATCATTTTTTGTAATTATGTATTTATACACTAGACTACTTCTAGCCTCATCTCCTTTTGGGTAGGAAACATACATCTAGCACGTGTTTAATTGCATCTAGCAAGGGCTTAATATTTGATATAAATGTGATCATGAGATTTACTTTTCCATTTTCAATTCTACTTTTCTCCTGTGAGACACAAGCTCCATTGTCCTACACTGGGTGCTTTAACAAAACATAAAAATCAGGGACTTGGAATTCTGGAAATGATAATAGTGATGGCTGCATGAGATGATAAATGCATTTAATGCTACTAAATTGTACATTTTTAATGGCTATCATGTTAAATTTTGTATATTTTGCTGCAGTAAAAAAAAATTGAGAACTTACATTCTTAGTAAAATTATGTAGTATCTTTAGACTCCTTTTGTGCTCCCTTCCTTCTTTAACCATAAAGAACAAAAGGTCAAGCCACAGCCAGGGCATCTTCATTCTTCGATGTATCGTGTCACTCATCCTACAAACAGGATAAAAGTATCTCAGCTGAAACATCTCCTGTGTATATCTTGGGCACCTAGTTGGTGCTTGATCTCAGTGTGGGTAAATGTGGGAATGATGATGATTTGTCTTATAGGGTACTCAGAATCCATGATTCCTGCTCAATAAGCTAGGTATGGACTATTCTTACACATTCAGTGAAGCTAAAATGTAAATCAACTTTAGAGGAATGAAGGATCTGTTTTAAAACCTCCTTACTAGATGGTCACTTCTGTTTCTCCAAGGAGAGTTCTGACTTCCCGAGGCTGCCTATGATACGAGTCACCCTCAAGAGGTAGTCTGCCTCTTTTCAGTGTTCCCTCATTGATACCTCATTGATAACTCCTCATTGATAACTCCTCAAAAGTGACAGAATAAACTGACTGGCCTCTTCTACAAAAAATTACTCTTTAAGTAGCCATCTGTCACACCGAGGGCTGAGCAAATCCCTCCTTGTTTCCAGGGTTGGGGCAGAAAGGTCTCTGCATGGTCTCGTCTTTCATGCTCAGTTTAGATGCCAATTCTCAGAACAGCCTTTCCTGGCCACCCAAAGTGTAGGCCATATTATTGTTTTCCAATAAATATCAAACTGGATAGGTCAAAATGGATATATCTTTCTAAGCATTTACTATAAAGGATGTTTATATTTATCTGTTTCAATCCCTGTCTCTCAGGTTATCCTGTCTGCTGTGTGGCACAATAAAACTAGTTAATACCGTATGCAATAAAGGAGATAATAACAGGTACTCGATAATTATGTATCTAAATGATATGAAATGAGCAATGGACTTAGATAGGCTACATCTAATGAAATCCTGCCCCGCCTCTTCATAGTTAAATAAAAATAAGCAATTGTTTAAAATAAAACCGATTATATAGGTTGAAAAATAACATATATTCAATGCTGAAAATATGGAAAAGGAGACTGAAGAGCTGGAAAAAAATGGAATAAGAAAGAGAAGGCTATAAACAAAACAATAATGACCACAGCAAACATCTTGGTAGAGTATCTTCTAGGTTTTCTCTATGACTATTTCTTACCTACTGTAATCATACTACAAAACATTGTTTACATCTATCTTTTATTACTTAGTATCATAAGGTGATATCTCAAGATATCAGTCATTCCTCTATTGAAATCCCTGTCTAATTAAATTAATTTGTAATATAATGTTTTGTTACGAAACATTGAGAAGATATACAACACAAATAGAAATAATTAGCAATAATTTTTTAGTCCCAAACCACATATGATTTTAAAAACAAACAAAAGGCCTCCATTTACCTATAAACAGCACGTACGTACTCAGAATCCTCATTACTTTGAGCACCAATATTCTTCCCCATAGCAGTTTCTACAAAATATGGTGAGGAACAAACATTTAGTTCGTGCACATTTTTTGTGTTTCTTTTCCAGGGGCAGGCACTTGACCAAAAAAAGACATAAATCCTGTTTGGTTCTTATGTATTTTAAAGTCCCCCCATCCCCTCTTCTCCTGCACCTTCTGTTCCCCTGCTCCCTGCCCCTGCCCTCTCCTTTCTCCTTCCTGGCAGGTGGACTCTGGCTGTTCTGCTCTCAGCCCTGTGCTGTTCTCAGGCAGCAGCTCCACAGTAGGCCCACCCTGGAGAATTCAGCGTCCTTTCCAACCCCCTCCTATACCTTTCCATGAACAATAGCTCTTTTCCATTTGGGTCATATTGTCTTTACACTAATGGGTGAGACTCACCACAGATGATATCTAGGGCACACAGCGTGATGTAAGAAAAGCAGTTAAATGCTTCTTGGTTAACATGTCTCTCAAGCTTATTAACCAATATATTTGCTTGTTCATTCATGACATCTAAGAAGTTCTCCAGAATTGTAAAATGGAAAGTGGGTGTTAACATTTTTCTGCGAGCGCGCCATTTGTTTCCAGTACTAGAAAAACAATGAAGTGACAAAGAGAAGCATCATCTGAAGCAAATAAAGTATAAATACAATCATGTCAACAAAAATCTCTTGAAAGAGCTTAATTTACATATCTGCAAATGTTTTCATCAAAAAGACAAAGATTCATATATAGTTACATAATGTGGATTTTATGTTTTATATTACTAGTGCATGAAAGAACATACATAAAATTTTGAAAATTATTTTTTGCAAAGCTTTAAGTTCTGAGTTTCTAAAAATAAGAGGATTGTTCTCTCTATCAACATCTTAGTGCTGAGATGATGCCCATGCTCCCTGATTTTGTTTTGCTATCCATTATCTTGAGTTCTCCAAAGTCCCCCCAAGGGTCCCTTGCTAGGCCTCTCACAGAACATGGGGTCCTAATCCAGATGTAAGTGCTAGGGTTGGGGTTACTGACTCAATAGGCCTTTTTGAGGCTGACTGCCTTTTTATTAGCTTTTCTAAATTCCCTGCTACAAACTTTCCTTTGCTTCACTTCAGTCATCCATCAGGACCTCCTAATTCTTGTTGCAAACAGGTTATTGTCATTACGGAAAATGGTGGCTGGAGATCACCTTATACCTGGGCACCTGTTTGCCAAAGGCCCATTGTTAGCCAGACCTAGTTTTCCAGCTTCCCTCCTACCTCCTGACAGAACAACCTCGTGTCAATTTATGATATATCAAATTAACCATAGAAGCAATTGTTTCTACAAAACAGCATTACAAATTGACATTGACATACCTTGTAAGAAGTCCTTGGCCAAGCCAGGGTTCTAAAAACTTGTACAGATAGGACTTGTCAATTTGCCTTGAACTAGTCACAATTACCTTAGAAAGAGAAAAAAAAATTTTGAGACATATATAGACATCAAAACAATCTCAGTGATAAGGATATCTGCTTAGAACACACTTAGAGCAACATTGCATCGCCATTATTACTCTGTGATTCATTTTCATTTCTCTGCCTGGAAGAAATTCAATTAGAGCTTTGAATCTATAACTATCAAAAACTTGGTGACTAAAAGGAATTGAGAGAAAGGAAAACGGTCCAAGATGATTTCTTGTTTCCTGTCATGACCTAGGATCTAGAAGAGTTATGTATTAAGCAAGTGCGCTGGGTGGGGAGCGTGGGCAGGTGAATCCAGAGATGGACTACATTTAGGGAGACGAGAATCACCAGGTCATTTTCAGGTATTGAACTTAGCCTCGTCTATAAGCAGATGTGAAACTCAGGCTAAAAGCTGGAGCTAGACGTACACATCTGAGTGTCTCCAGCAGGCACGTAACACTGGACTTAGAGGTCCCCCTCCTCCTCTTCTCCCCGACCTTCTTCTCCCCTGCTCCCTGCCCCTGCTCTCTCTCTCCTTTCTCCTTCCTGGCAGGTGTCTCTGTGGCTGCTCTGACACAGGGGTGTGACTAGGTTGCCTATTTGCAAAGTGAAGTAGAGCATTTAGTGGATGAGCATTGACATCTGAGCACAAAATACTCCCCAGGGTTCTTGCTGAACTCCTTCACTCTGGACAGAACCCTGCCCCCCTAGTCCTAACCTATGTACCATAGGAAGTAACTGAAATCCTTTGTCTGTTGCCCTTACTATTGACTCTGAACGAGGGTTCCAGTTGTGGTATAAAAGAAACTCCAACATTTTCACCACAGTAACTAAGAAAGACTATCCCAGCACTATTCCCTAGAAATTTCCATTTTTATTTTTGTTCCATGAAGAGAAACAGTTTATCCCATTTTCACTGCCTTTTCTTATCAACCACAAGGTAATTTCTTCAGTGTCATCATAATAAGTAAAATATATACAATATTTTTAAGGAGTAATTTCAATATTATAGATTAGTAGTATATGTCCTCTCAGAGCATAGCTGCATTCCCATTTAGAAAAGTTAATTTGGAATAATTTATTTATATGGATATAGTATGAGACTCTGAGGCCCTTGAGGAAGACATTCACATTTTATTGGTCTTATATTTTTATTTCTTTATTTATTTTCAGGTTTATTAGAAAGGGAGAGGAGAGTAAAGTACATTTGCATAGACACAAGCGGGTAGAAAGGGCTGCTCGTCTCATAGTTTTGAATAGGATCATGCTCAGCGAAATAAGTCAGAAAGAAAAAGAAAAATACTGGATGGTCTCACTCATAGCAGGAATTTAGAAAACCTAAATAAGGGACCAGGAAAAAGACTAATTAATACAAAGTAAAAATCAAAATCAACAAGCAACTATAAACCAGAGACACACTACTGGGGGGGTAGGAGGGGTGGAGAGAGGAAGGACTAGGGTCAAAATAAGAGGGGGGGTGCAATTGTATGGGGATTATAACCAAAATGAAAATGCACACATTGTACAAAAATGAAAAATGATGTAAGAATTATATAAAATAAAATATTAATAATAAAAAAATAGTGCCTGGCAGATAGCATGCACTCACCTTCTGGAATAATCCTGTAAAGTTTTCAAAACTGGAGAATAGACATATTGGGACCAAATGTGCACAGATATCTAGAGCAAGCGACTCTGCAGGATTTAGAGAATCCAGAATGCATTAAATTCACCACAGAGCCTGAAATACCTTAATGGAATACTCAGGGTACTGACATTAACACAATACACTAGAATACATTTACAACATTATTCCAACGAGGTTCTCACATCATCAAATAAACAGTGGAATACTGATCATCTTCACCACCTACCTCCACATTTTCTGCATGATAAAGGGCCACCACAGGCACTGGCCCAAGCCAGAGTTTCAGCAGCGGTACGTGTCGGTATTCTTCAGTGTAAGAAATTAGCTGCTGAAAAAATTCTGTGAGAAGATATTTAACATTAAATTCAATTAAGACAAACATTTTGTAGTAAGTTCCTTATTGTGTCTTTTGGAGTTTTTGTTGCTTTTTAAAAAAAAATTGGGGAAAGACACTTAAATCTCCTAGTTCTCTCATATTTCACAGGTAAACCATACAGTCCCTGTTAAATGATTTAATGATAGAATTATAGGGTGATACAGTTTAATTAGGAGTGAGATAATACAAATAAAATATACTGATAAACTGTGAAATGTCAAGTGTCAGATATACTTGTGGTGGCCCCATCTCATGCATTTTCTAAGAACTTTGGACTGTTAAATTTCTCCAGCCCACCCTGCCCTTTTATTGTCCTACCTCTCCCCTGGCAGAGGCTTTCCTTCATTCTCTAAAAACTCTCCTGTCCTAATGATTCAACTTCTCAAAAGCTTCAGGGTCTTCAAAATATCTCCTTTCTTATGGGGAGCTCTATTCTTACTGCTTTGTGTTAATAACACCTAAAAAAAAAAAAAATCAAGGAATTAACAGTACATGTTTGTTCTAGGAGTTTTATGGTTTCAGATCTTATATTCAAGTCTTTAATCTACTTTGAGTTAATTATTGTTTATGATGTAAGGCAGTGATCCAGTTTTATTGTTTTGCATGTGAGTGTCCAGTTTTCCCAGCACCATTTGTTAAAGAAAAATTTTCTTTATCTAATATATACTCTTGGAGCCTTTGTTGTAGTTAATTGTACATGTAAAGTTATATGTAAGGGCTCTTAATTCTATTCCATAGATTTGTGAGTCTATTTTAGAATAATAGAATACTGTTTTGATTAGTATTGCTTTGTAGCATAATTTTAAATCTGGGGCCATATTGCTTTGGCTATTTGAAGTCTTTAATGGTTCCATAAAAATTTCAGGAATGATTGCTCTAATTCCTTAAAGAAAACAATTGGAATTTTCACAGAGACTGTATTAAATCTGCATATTGCTTTGGGTAAAATGGCCACTTTAATGATATTAGTTCTTCAAATCCAGGCATGGAATATTTTTCCATTTCCTTGTGTCTTTTATTTCTTTTAACACTGTCATATTTTTTGTTGTATAGGTCATTCACCTCTTTTGTTCAGTTAATTCCTAATTTAGTTCTTTTTGTAAATAAGGTTGTTTTCTTGATTTCATTCTCTTCTAGTTCATTGTTGCATGTAGGAACACAATAGATATTTGTGCATTGATTTTGTAGCCTGCACTTAACTGTATTAATTTATTGTTTATAATAGTTTTCTAGTAGAGCCTAGGCTTTTCCATGTATATTATAATATAATCTTCAAATAGTGGCAGTTTTACCTCTTCTTTTTCCATTTGGCTTACTTTTATTCTTTTCTCTTGCCTAATTGCTCTAGAAAGGACTCCAAATACTATGGTGAGCAGTATTGGTAGAGTGGACATCCTGTCATTGCCTGATCTTAAAAGCTTGCAGTTTTTCACCACTGAGTATGATGTTAGCTGTGGGTTAGTCACATATGGTCTTTACTATATTGAGGTATGTTCCTTCTAGCCCTGTTTTATTGAGCTTTTATTATAAATGGAGATTGTATCTTATTAAATACTTTCTCAGTGAGTATTGGTAAGATTGTTGAAGAAAAGGAACCCTTGTACATTGTTGGTGGAAATGCTAGCTAGTGCAGTCTTTCTGGAAAATAGTATGGAGGTTTCTCAAAACATTAACAGTAGATCTGCTATCTGATCCAGGAATCCTCTCCTAGGTAACTACCTGAATAATACAAAAAACTAATTCAAAGGGATTTATACACAGCTATGTACATTGCAACACTATTTACAATAGCCAAGTTATGAAAACAACCTAAGTGCCCAATGACAGATGAGTCTCTAAAAATATGTCATATATATATACATACACACACAATGGATTACTACTCAAACATTAAAAAAAAATGAAATCTGACTGGGACAACATGGATGGAGCTGGAGGGGATGATGATACGTGAAAATAAGTCAGAAGGTAAAAGGAAATCTGAGTAATTAAACTCATATGAAGGATATAGAGAAACAAAGCAAAGGAACACATGAAACAAACCCTTGAATTTCACTGCAGAACTGAGAGTGTAAGAGGGGGAGGAGGAGGAAAGTAGGAGAAAAGCAGATAGTAGGCCCAATGCACTATGGTGGAGGGTTGCTAAAGCTTTGGTGGGTCATGTGTGTGGTGTCATAACATACATTTGTAGAAATGTGAACCTATACCACCAAAACATGTAGTGTTATAAACCAATGCTAACTCAGTAAACATGACTTAAAAAGCTGAAAATATATGAAGACAGGATTGACATAAAATATGATTTCAAAGTAGAGTCAAAACTTATAGCAATATGGGGCCAAAATAAGGGGGGCGCAATTTTATGGGGAATATAAAAATTAAAAAAAAATAAAATGCTTGGGATAAAAAAACAACCTATAGCAATATAAAACACTACAATGTCACACAATGTGCTTGAAACACATTAATTCTGTGACAACTTAAGTAACATCCCCAAGACTGATTTTTCTGAATGTAAAATGGGCTTGTATATATTGACAGTAGCTGCCATAAAAGGTTTTTGTGAGGATTAATTGAGCTAAAGCTTATAAAATATTTAGCATGATGGTTAATGACACATTACATAAGCTCAACAAATAAACTACCATTAATTTTCATTATTATCTATAAAAGATAGCTTTGGCTATTTGGCATTGTTTGTATTCTGTAGAAATTTTAGGATTGTTGGGTCTATTTCTGTGGAAAATGTCATTAAAATTTTAAATTCTGAGGAGTTACAGATTCAGTCTATAACATGGGAAGTATCATGAAGTAAGGATAAGCTGGATTTTTATAGTCAGAAAAAGGGAGATGGTGACAGAGATTATAAATCAAACAGTATACAAAGCAGAGCAGAGAATGGGAGGTCTGAAAATTCCCCGTGTGTCCAGCCACAGCACAGGATTAAGAGACATCACACAGGGTGATGAGACTGGAGTGTTGGCGGGTCATGGGATTTGATTTTCTCTCATAGGCTCTGGGAGTAACCAAACATTTCTGATGAGGATAAACAGCACTGGATTTTATTTTAGGAACATAAAACTTATGTGTGTGAGATCTGGGAGTAAATAGACCACAGGAAGATTCTGGGGTGAAAAAGGGTGAGATCTGATGCACCTGGGTTAGTCATTCTGATCCTGCTTCATGACTGCTCTGCTACTGGGTATGGCGAAACGGTGTACATCATCCCAACGACAGCATTGAAGGGCTGTGAGAAACTGAGGCACCACCACTCTCTGTGCTAACACCCAGGAGGCCCCAGCCCGGGAAATGCAGCATGGCACTGGGAGAAGTCATTCAGTGACAAAAGTGTCCATCAAGGAACAGCACACTGGTGAACGCCACCCGGTAGAAACCCATGGCCGTACCCGGTGACTAAAGGATGAGGAGTCAGGGTCCAGGCCTCAGAAGAGAGCTGGCAAAGGTTAGACAGTTGTCGTGACCCTCATTCAGCAAGTTAAGGAAAAGGATTGAGTTCTAGTTGGGAGCTGATTGCACGTTAAGAACTGAGGCCTCACTACACAGCCAGAAAAGGCAAGATAGGGATGGGTGGGGGGCAGGCCAGCTGGTAGGTATGTGGGTACCAGGACTTTTACTGAGCAAAGGCAATGCCCAAATGACACATCCGGACTTACCCCAACCCCACTACGAGGCTACTGATATGCACTCGAGATTTCAACAGAGCTGCTGCACATGGGAATTTGGGCACCAGGGACAAAAGTACATGGCATAATAAAACAAACCGTTAAACATTTCCAGAGCTTCTTCAGTGCCAATAAATGTGTGCATAGACAGCCTATCCCTGCTCCTCATTATCCCTTACTTCAACCCCCATGGACTCACAGTCCAGTGAGAAAGGGGCTAAGATTCAGGGCTGTCCACTGTATATGCTACTAAATAAGTGGCAATGAGATTTTGATAAAGTATTTGCACATTTTGACACCAATGCCTAATAAGATATCCTAGAAAACTAGCATTCATTATGTCAGATGTATTTGCTGTCACAGGTTACTATAGGCCAAATCTAGTGCTAAGGATATTAGACCCATGATAGTTGCCTCATGACAGATAAATGGAAGGCATTATTATTACTGACATTACTCAATATCTCTGCACATTAAATAATTTGCTCATTCCCACAGCTAGAAAATGGTAGAAACTGGTTTTGACCCCAAGATCACCAGACTCCAGAATGATCCACCTTAGTATTAGGCAATACTGCTTCAAGAGATCTTCTAGTCAAAACAGATGTCAGAAGTGCCATGACAATAGTAAGGACAAATCATCAGTGTCAAAATATAGTGTCATGCTCATGTACTGTCTGTCTTGGTCTGGTCTGATAGAGAAGATGGGACATCTGAACCTGAAGTTTGAAGGTATCAAGTCCAACAGCAGGGAGCAGTTGGGGAAGGCAAGTGTTGATATAATAGGCCAGACAGTTGAGAGAACAGAGTTCGAGAGGACAATGAGAAGTCAACTGCAATATTTCAGTTGGGATTACTGAGGTCAGAATTTGTACTGTCCTCCCAAAGTGAAAGGTTCCTTCTCTGGTATGAGATAAGGTGATTAAGAACTGAGAAATATTTAGAATATTCTGATAACCATAATTTTGCCAATTTCCATGCTGAACACAACACAGGGCCTCAATAAATGTTGACTAACAATTAAGAAACTTATTCTTACTAAGTTCTCAACAATGATTTGGAAACTGCATGCATTCAATTTAATCCTAAAACAACTCTATAATACAGTTTATAAGTAAGCACCTTCTCAAAAACTTTTTTGCAAGCCTGGAAAAATCCAGTACTTGTTGATAGATTTTTGTATAAGACAGTATTTTTCATTCCTTCACTCAGAAAGTAATTCCAAAGAGAATTACTTTACTCAAACCCACTCACAGTTTGTTTTGAAGTAGGTCTTATTCACTAGAGATTCAATTCTTAGAAAAATGCCCTCAGAGAAGATGATGAGATTTAAATATGTTGCTTCCTGTTGTGGAGCTGTATTTCTACACTTAAAGCCTTAGAGTGGAAGAGGAGTTTAGCTCTGCTTTTACTATGAACAAAGATAATTTTAAAGGTAATAGTCACATCTCTAAATGTCTTGTGGGATCACTGGCAACACCAGTCACGCTGATATTGGGTTGGTTAAAGGTTTATATGAATTTGTTCTGCCAGAAGACAATTTCAATATTTTGGTAACGCTTTCTCTTGAGGTCTTATATAACCGGGAAGATGAAATAACATCATTCTATTGATTTGGACAAAGAAAATGGAAGAAATAATCATTCAAGCTTTGAAGTTAATGATCAGCCTGTAAAACTATTATTCATTAATCTGAGGACAAATTGGGATCTGCTCTTGGCTCTTTTTACAGTAGTCATTTGGGGCTGTCAGCTCTGGGTATTTCAACCTAAACACTCAATAAATCAAGTGCTAAGCTCTAATTTGCCTTCCCTGATGGGTGACTGCAAATACTTGGTGTTACTGAGAACTTTTTAGCTGGAAGTCATTTTTTTCCAGCAACAAAGCATAATATAAATCTAATTCTTCAAGATGAGTCGAATAAACAACACACCCACGGTAAATAGGTCTACTGAAATCCTCTGATTAATTTTGCCAGGAGACCTGCCATTGTAGTAGTTCTCTAAAAGGGTTAAAATATTGAAGGTCAAGAAGGAATGAGAGTTGTAGCCAAGTTCATGTGAGGTACTTGTGAATTTGTGTGTGTGTTTGTGCGTGTGTGTGTGTTTGTGTTGGGGGGAGGGGACCTTCCTGGGCTCAAATGAACCCCAGTCCCTTAAACTCCAGACAGTGGGGGACAGTGCTAAATCTTAAGATATTGGCCTGGTTCCTGGAAAGTTTCTGTCCTTAAAGCTTTAACAGCCATGATAGGAGGAAACACAACAGAGTTTTGAGGCAGGAGAGCTACAAGGGGGGAGAAAAGAAGCGAGGACAGGAGTTTGAAAACCCTGTTACCTGTACTACACATGGGGGAAAAGTTCCTCCAAATGGAGGGCAGTGGCGAGTTTGGCAGGTGTCAGAGAAGCTGGAGAGAATCTGGAGTCCATTCTTAGCACATAACAGATTGTCTCTGCCAGCGGCCAACACTCAAGACCGGGACCTCGGCTCAGGCTGCAGGAGGAGCTCCTGCTTGTCACAGGCTCCCTGCTAGGCGGGGTCACGCCAGGGAACCCACCTCGGGCAGGGCAGAGCCGCCTTGGAGAGCTCCTTACCTCTCGCATCCGGCTTCATCATCAGCGCGTGGCCCACCACGGGGTAGGCGCCCGCGATGGTGGGGACCGTGCGCAGCTGCAGCCATTTCCGCGCATAGCTCGCCACCATCTGCAGGAAGTTCAAGATCAGGGAGGCGCCCGCCAGGGAGACAGCGCTCAGGGCGCTCCAGAGCAGCAGCTTCTGCCCGATGGGCACCAGCCACAGCCCCATCATCGCTGCAGCAGCCGCTGTGCTCAGGGCTCAGAACTGTGGGGATGGCAGGGCCTGGTCTCTGGGGGCACCAGAGCGGGGTTCAGTCCCTGGAGTTCAAAGGCGCTGGTCCTGGGAGGAGTTCCCGGGCAGGGGCTGGGGGTGCGGTGCGTGTGGGAGGGGAAAGAGGTGGTGCCAGGCCCCGCTCACTTCGCCCTTCCATGGCCAGGCCACCCTGAAGTGGGGACCTTGATTCCCGGATTTCTCACTGCAGGGGCCTCTCTGGCCCTCGTGACTAAGTTGGGGCTTCCAAGGCTGCGAGACAAAACACCCTGGAGGCGGTTGCTGTGCATGCATAGCAAAGCCTGCATAATGCACTTGGGCCTCTTTGTTTGGTTCTAGCAGAAAACGAAAGCCCGGAAAACAGCTGGGGCGCTGCATAGAGAGTGAGGAGTGTAACTAGAGACACTTAACTGGAATGCAGCGCAGAAGAGAGAAGGGACCTGGAGACGCAGAGGGGTTTGGGGATTAGGCGGGCTAAGCTTTGGGTTATAGGACCCTGCTCCTGAGCAAGGGAGAATGCCTGCGGAGAGAGAGTGCTCCCTCCTTCTTACAATCAAAATAAAGAGGCACCTGCTTTGAAAGTCAGCTTTTGGAACTTACTGTTCCTTGCTGGGTACCTGGCCATTAGCTTCTCTGCACCACCCGCAGCTCCTGTTGTCTGCTAGGACTGGCAGCCTCCCCAGCGCTGGGGAGTCATTCAGAGCAGCTACTGCTGTGGTGTGGAGTTTGCAGACATGGGTTTTCAAATTGCTCAGTGCCTGACCGAAACACTGAAGGACTGACTTAGATGGTTGTGTTCCAGATATTTTCCATACTATCTTCTGGACCAAGAAAAGCCCGAACCTAAGAGAACAGGGAAGGGACAGGTAGGAGAGGATGGATGCCAAGATTTCTAAATGCAGGGGAGCAAAGTGATACTGAGAAAGGAGGGATTGAGGAGACATACTTACGGAGAACTCTCAAAAGGAGCAAAGACAAACCCCAGCCTGCCCAAGGAGAAGGGAGGACAGGGAGAAGGCTGCCCCATTTCTGACCAAGGCCGTGTTCACTCTCTTCCACTCCAGGCAGACGTACCCCAAATTGTCTACACAGAGTCTTCTTACAAAGTGGGTGGGTGAGGCGTGTCCCTTTGATAGTAGCAGATGCCTGAGCTATGGGAGCAGTGTCAGGAAGATGACATAGTGAGAGGTGTCCTGGATTCTTACTTTGCTTAATTAGATTTTTTTTTTAAATGCAGCTAATGTGCAGGTTTGCCACAGCCACCTGCAGGGCCTCTTTGATGTAGAGAAAAACATCTAAAGTTTTGCTCCAACTGAATTTGTTAATATCATCTATATGTACTGGCATGAAAAGATATTTTAAAATAGTAAGTGAAAAAATTAAACAGTTTTCAGGACAGAATATGTAATGTAATGCCATTTGGGGAGAAAATCTGTCTCTAGCTGGACTAATATCTGGAAGAGAATGCTGATCACCTCTGTAGCATGGAAAAGTACATTTCTATTGAGTATAGACATGAGAGTATAATTGGTAGGTCACAATATATGCATGTACTTTGCCTTTGTAATAATTACTGCTACTTTTTTGAAGAATTGGTTCTGATTTACACATCCATTAGGAATTTATGATAGTGTGCTTCACATACTATCTTTTCTTTAAAAAGTCATTTGGCTAGATTATGTAGTATTATCACATTGAGTTTTTAATGTGCATTTTCCTAATGACATTTGATAGCACCTTTTCATATGACTATTGGCTATTTTGACAATGCCCATTTTTAATGTTGATATTATTTAATGTTAATATTGTCTGTATTTATAGGATTTGTATATACCTATGTTGGAGAGGTATATACAAATCCTACAAATCACTAAGAAATAAATATATAATCAATAAACAACTTGTGTATATGAATACAAGTCCTTAGATATATAACATGAGAATAGTCTCTGAATTCAGGATATTTCTCAAGAGTTGCTTAGCCTTTATAAAAAAAAATTCATGGCTCTTAGATGAGCTCATATCTCCTTCCTATGGACCCTCTCCTTCTTTTCTTGCCTTAAACTTCCCCACTGTCTTTTGTGCAACATGAACACTAAATTCACTAAGCAGAAATATGCAAATTTGTCCCTTTTGTTTTCAAGGAGCAATAGTTATTTCCTCCAGACATTCATCCTTTTTTATCTGATGGGGGAGAGGAGAGTCTTTATAAACAAGAAAGAAAATTATTTACAAAATGGAAAAAATAATTCCTGTCTTCACACAGCACATTTCCTTTCCAAGATCTACATCCCTGCTCACCTCAAAGGGAGGCTGAGCACAGGGGGGTCTGGAGATGTGGAGGTACTGGGGGCTCACTGTAAGAGGAAGGCCTTATAATACCTTCTATTTCCACACCATTGTAACTTTTTTTTCTCCTCTGCTCTTATCTGCCTCACATTCTTCCTATTTCTGTGAAACCTCTGGACTTCAGACTTCAGCATTAAAACATATTCTTCTGACCATGGATTCAGAAGAATTATGAAGAGGAATTTGGGGCCATTACCTTGATGGTGGCACAAGGTCACCAAGAAGATAGAAAGCTGGACCCAGGCCCCAGGCCACTTGACCTGCATGTCTGCAGGAACCATGAGTTAATGAATGATACTGGGGACTAAACAGATACTCTATAATTAGGCCGTTTTTTTTTTTTATGTCTTGTTTTGATTTTTGCTTCTTCTGTCTTCTAACCATGTGTTGTACTGTCACTGCATGCATAATATTGAACATCTTTAATTCCAAAAACTATTAATTCTTGTGTTATCTATGCAGTCTAAGAAAGTGACAGAATTTCAGAATATGTCCCATAAGTATTTTAAAATTTGATGTGATGAAATGTATATTAAGTTCATATCACCTAATATAGATGACATATTTAAATGCTAGTTCTTATCTATATTTGTTAAGTTTTAGAGATGATAAAATACTGTCATTACATATAAGCCTGCTCATTTGGGGACAGCATGCAGGTTTTAGGATAGACTCAAATGCAACCATTGAACTATATTACACTAGTTTGTTGCTGTGTTAAAGTTAAGGCTGAGTCCCAAATTGCAGGACCCATTGCAGGTCAAAGCAATGACTGCATAATTTATTTTTTTAAATTTCAAATAACATCACCTCCTGGTAGCCCAGCACCTTCTGCTACTTCATCCCTGTAGAAACTCAAGTATTAAACAGTGATCACAGCCTGCACAATTTTATGTATCTGTTGAAATGATGGTCTGAAATGATTGCTACTCTCTGAACGGGTAGAGTGCAGGCTTGTTTGCTGGGTGGACTGCTCCCTAAATGTTGCTTTTCCCATAACACAGGCTGCATGACTTCTCACAAATATGTCCTAAGGCATCCTCAGCACTCTCACCAATGGAGAGTGGCTTCATCTCAGGAGCCAAAAAAGCAAGTGAGAACAACTGAGCAACATCACCAGGGAAGGCCTGATGATGTCAGCACGTGAGATTCCATAATGGAGAAGGGACCAGATGAATTTAGTTTTGCAGGGAAGACAAAATCACACACATGGCACAAAAATATGACAAGGCAGAATATTCACTTCACTTCCCAGACAAGACTATTCAATCACAGTCAGTCCCAGCCACATGCCCAGGTTGCCTGGACATCTTTCTCCAGCAGGGAATCAGAAGTCCTATGTGGTACTCGGGGGCTCCAGGAAACTGAGGCAGAAGCGGTGAACTCTATTAGAACCTTTCCACCTACTGCATATCACAGCAGTCACAGAATCAAGGCATTGCAAAAATAGAGCCCACCTCTCAATAGGAAGATGTCACAGGCTGTGCAGACACTTTACTCTGCCATAATCCACCTTTTGCCACATCTTATTTATACTCCTTATTTATACATGCACAATATTCCCAGGTTTCTCTGGGGCCCTCTAAAATTTCATCATTTCATGTCCTGCCAGGAGGAGGAAGTTCCTCAGGGGAGGGGAGGCATTACCTCTGGACCTGAACATCTGTGAACTAAAGGTATAAGCCAGCAGTCCCCCACATGTCCAACAAACGATGGTGAGACAGACACAGGATCACATCAGTTTATACTCTGCTTTCAAAAGAAGGGCAGTGGATTAAGATGTTTTCATGCAGTGCTGCTGGAGTACCACTAGATGTCAAGCTTCCCTAATTTATTAACACTTAAAGCTAGATGGATTTTAATGTCACCGTGTTTTAGTTAGGATTCAGTGAACTTTCATTCTCCTAGAGATGTAGAATCCCATTTAAATTGCCAATAGTGTAACATCTTCAACTGGAAAACGGGACATTTTATATTTCATTCTAATACATTTGATAAGTGCATCCAATAATATTCTTTAATATCCAATATTTTTTCCTTCTTATTTAGCATTTACCTCAGGATATCTTTATCTCTAGAAGATGAAAGGAAAAACAAACAAACAAACAAACAGGGCCTCCCTGGTGGCACAGGGGTCAAAGTCTCGGCGCTATCAAGCTATCACCAGCCACTGCAACACAAGTTTGATCCCCAGCCAGGGAGCTACCCACGTGGTGCAGCAGACCTCTCCTGTCTTCCCGCCTATACCCCCCAGCAGTGTATTTCAGTCAGTCTGCTGTTCTGCTACCCACTCTGTCTCCAGTAAATCCTCTTACTCCCTGTACTTCTGGTCTACACTCCAGTTCTTGCATGCATAAATAAATAAAAGTAAATTTTTAAAGAAAAACAAAGAATTCCAAAAACATTTTATAAATATTTTTATAAAGAATTCATCAAGTCTTTAAAGTGGTAACATCTACTTACATACAGTCTCTGAAAAGCTTCATTTCTTAAACTGTTATCAATACAGACAAATTTTCTGAAACAATGTTTTGAAGGTTAGACAACTTATTCTTTTAGTTAGTAAAGCAGAAAAGGGAAACTTTGTAATAATTGCTACATTAATAAGTTTCTGTTTCATTGCATGTAATTGAAAATTAAAGTCTCATTATTCATGGGCTCCATATCTGTGAATTCATCTATTTGCTAAAATTTATGTATGACCCAAACTTGCTACTGGTGTAGCTCTCAGGTTTATTCACAGACATATGCAGAGCAGCAAAGGGCTCTGAGCCTCCTGGACCTCCGCCTCTCAGCTGATGTGGAAGGAGCAGAAGTGCTTTGTAGGGTAAATGAATTAATCAGGCTTTTTGTGCCACTGGCCTCTGTGGCCATCACCTGTGGCCTCGATGGTGTTAATGCAGAAGGCACTTGGGAGTGTGGGTGCGAGGCACGTGTGCCTGATTGTGGAGCATGGGTGTGTGCGCATGTGCAAGTGTGCACACCTGATCCTAGAGGTCAGGGCTATAAAGGTGGCATCACTCAAAGACAAAGGCTACGGGGGACATGTACGGGAGGACAGCTACGGGAAGATGGCTACTATGAGTGAGTACAGAAGAGGCAAGACCACAGGAGAACACCAGAGAGTCCAGAGAAAGTGCAAAGATCCACTGGGGGTTGTGGGGCTTGTTTGCTGCGAGTCTCCTGTCCTCCACCCCACTCCATCTCCCCAATACCATGCCTACCCCCCATCCTTCCCCTCCACCCTGTCCTACACCTGGTTGGCCTGCAACCTGCTTTGATTTCTGTTTCACATTTGTACTATAAATGAGTGTCCTTGTCCTGATCTATGTGGTGCCAGGTTTTTCACATTTCTGTACTTTTTTTTTTGATTAGGCTGTGTTAAAAGGCCTCCAGTGTACTGTTGAAATGCCTTCTGTTCCTGTGTGCAAGGGTCCTGCAACATTGATCTTGTTTAACTGGGTACAATAATACTGAAAATTTCTCTGAGGAATTCTGAAGGAACAAATCAGAATGAAGTGAAAGCAGCCATGTTGGGCAATATTCTAATAGTTCTCCTAGATTTCCCACTCTAATCCATGGGGCTGAATAGGATGAGAGTCTCTACCTGTGCTGATATTATGTGGCAAAAGCAATTTTGCAGGAATAATTAAGGTTATTAGTGAGCTGCCTTTGAGTTAATCAAAATGGAGAGGATCAGGGTGGGTTTAATCTCATCATAGTCCTTTAACAACAGAGTTTCTTCTATGATAAACATAAGTCAGAGAGATTCAGCTTGTGAGAGAAACTTAACCAGAGGGAAGGTCTCCATTCCTGGCAATGAATGGAGTCAGAGCAAGAAGCTAAGAATAATTTCTAGGACTGAATTGGTCTCTGGACAAGAGTCAGCTTATAACCTCCAGGATCTGAATACTTCCAAGAAATTGAAAGTACTTAGAAGAGTTTTCTTCCCCAGAACCTCCACACCTTGATGCTGGGCTTGAGACACAAAACAGAAAACACAGCTAAGCCTACTCACTTATGTACAGAATCTTGAAATAATAAATCAGTGTTGATCTAAACTAGTTGGAGTGATCTGTTGAATCGTAAAAGAACACTAATTTATCTGAAGTGACAGGCCCTGGAGAAACACTGGGAACTGGACAATTCTGGGGTGAGGGAATGCAGAGTTCCTCATGAAACCTGGGATCTCTGGGTGCAGGGGATAGGCTAACGTGGGGTGGTGACCTGCCTGCTATGGAAGATTCAAGAGAACCTGTGATTTTTTTTTTTTTAAAGGAGGGGTCTCAATTCTCTGGTGGCGCTCCTATGTGACCAAGAGTTTTGTCCACCAGGAAAGAAACTAATGAGCAAGGTGACCTTTTGCTGGCCATGAGCAAAGAATCTCGTTCACTGAGAAGGTCTTTACACTTAAGCATTTCTTCTCTTGGGTCTCTATAAATTCTGTTATGTGTCTCCTAAGAGTGGCTATATAATGGGCTATGTTCTTCGTACCTCAGTGAGAACTGTAGCCTCATTTATATAATACAATAATTCATATATGCAGATATATAATACAACGAAACTAGACATTCAAATAATCAAGTACATATTTTAACAGAATTATTTTAAAAAGGTTAACAGACCAATTGTCACAGTCCTTGTTGCTGAAAGGACATGTCTGGGATGTATCTAGAAGATCTAAATATATTTTTTGTCTAGCAAAAAGGAGATGCTGGTAGCTACATAAAATAGAGAAAATAACCCTTTTCTAGATATAAGACTCTCTTTAGTTTTTACTCTATCCTATGATTAAAAAAAGAGAGAGAAAAGTTTCTTTAAATGTATCCTTAAGGTAGACAACTCATAGTTTCTATTTCTTTTTTTTTTGAGATTTCTTTAGAAATGGAAATTGAGTCCTGCCTTCATTTTGTGCTGTCCTTCCTGCACACAAGGACTGTGACAATTGTTAAAATTTTTGTGATCATCATGTCCTTAATTGTAAGATAGTTTTGTTGGTCACACAAAATATAATTTATTTTTCTTAATATGACACCTCTAAGCAGGAAGAAAACAGGTGATATGGATACACATATATGATAATTATATATTTTTAAAAAAATCAACATGTGTATTGCAGTACTATAGACTACGTTGTGATTTCTCAATTTCAACTCTGAAAGTGTTTACATGAATTCCAATTAAAATAAACTATTCAGAGATGAATGAAGATTTTAGTCTAAAAATAACATTAAACAGGGGCCTCCCCTGGTGGCGCAGCAGTTGAGCACTGGGCTGTGAGGCTGCCCGCAGTCTCTGCAGCGATGGTTCGTTCCCCGGCAGCCAGCAAGGGTCCCACAAAAAAAAAAAAACAAAAAACATTAACCAGTATTTGATTTTAAATTTAATTTTGCATCCAGAGTGAAGTATTAAATTCTTGAAAAAGCAAAGTTAATGTAAGTGCATATATGGACAAATGACTGACTTCTATGAATACAACTACAATTATCCAAAGTCATCTGGGAACAACATTTTTTACAAATACTCGCTTTTTTTTTTTTTTAATAGAGGCATGCTTTATTTATTTGTTTGCTGGTTTGTTTGTTTGTTTTTTGTTTATACATGCACTGGGTACAGTCAGAAGCGCGGGAGGGTGAGAGAATTCACCAGAGCCAGAGCGGGGAGCAGAGCAGGCAGAAGGACCGAAGTACACTGCTGAGGGGAGCAGCGGGCGGCCGGAGAAGTCTGCGCACCATGTGGGACCCTCCTCTGGTAGCCGGGGAGCAGCCGGGGATCGAACCGGCGCCGCAGAGGCCGCGGGCAGCTTAGCAACCCAGCGCTCAACCGCTGCGCCACCGGGGAGGCCCTACAAATATTCACTTTTTAAAACAGAGGCAAATAGAGAGGGGAATCTTTTACAGTGGTGTCATCTATTTGCTTGACTGATTCTCATCATCTTAGGGACTGGATTGTCTATTTGGGGGCCCTTTGGGAGAGTAAGTGAATGCACTTGCTGAGCCTCCCTAAACTACCTCCTGCAATATTTGTAAAATGGCTTTGTTCCTGTACCTCTTTCCTTGATTTTTCACTTGAATATACATTCCATCTTTTTAATTTGCTTCTTTTATCTGTTGCTATCTTGGGAACACTGGAGAAACCATCTTGTTAAAATTATGTATTGAAGAAGCTTTTTTAAAAACCGCTAAGTGAGATTATTGAGATAAAGTGTTGGGAATTAAATGCAGGGAGTATGTCAGCTGTCATCTTGGTAAGTACCTTCTGGCTGATTGAATTTACCAGAAGTACTAAGCTAAATGAGATATTACTGTGTTATTAATATTAGATGAAAGTCTTCTCTTTTCCTTTTAAGATGAGGTAATTGTAGAAGAAATATGCCAAAATCAGAGGTAGCAGATGTGTTTTAATGAAACATCTAGTTATAGATGAAAGAGCAATAAGGCAATAGCATACTGTAGTTGAAAGTGTGTCATATCAGACAAAAGAGATTTAAGATAGGCCTGTATTTCCAGATCAATCACCCATTTATATTGTGACTTTGGTAGAAATATACTTTCTCATGGATCTCATTCCCTAACTTCTAGTAAACCTATTTCTTTAAAAATTTAAGACTTCAATTAAATTATATCTTTGGTCAGGCAATGGAAATTGGGAGTGCCTGTGAATGCCTCCATTGAGAAACTTGTAATGTGTTTATTTGGGTCTAATTTTTGGAATCAAGAATGGGAGTAATATCGATGAAAACATAAAAACCCACTCATTGACTTAACAAGAAAAAAAAGTCTTGAGTGTTGAGCTCATGATCTAGAAATTATAAATGCAAATTTATCTTAATGGAAGAAATTTTGCATGATAAAGGCATAGTTAAATAATAAGTTAGGATTCATTGGTGTGTCTCCTCTTCAACTTGATCCAGATGCCATTAGTTGGACGAAGAATCAGATCTCCTGCCAGGCCAAGTTCTTCTCTTTTCTGGTTGCATTCTACCCAAAAATGTCTCAGGATGCAGGAAAGAATGGTCTTTTCTTCCATCATGGCAAACTTTTGACCTTTAAATTAATGTAAACACCATGAATTTAGTTATAGGTGTATTTCAAATGGGAAAATAACACTGATTTGGAGGAAACAAGCTGTTTTGTATTCAGAGCAGGTCTTGGGATAACCAGGACCAGCTGGGAAGCTAATATAGGCGAAACACTACGTGATTTGCACATCAAAGACATCTTTACAGACACATCACCCAAAGCAGTGATAGTGAAGGCAAAGATAAACAGCTGGGACTATATCAAATTAAAGAGCTTTTGCACAGCAAAAGAGACAATAACAAAAACAAAGAGAAACCCCACCAACTGGGAGAACATTTTTGCACCCAACACTAATGATAAAGGACTGATCACAAAAATCTGCAAAGAGCTGATGAGACTCAACAACAACAAAGAAAATAATCCAGTCAAAAAATGGGCAGAAGAGCTTAAAAGAAACTTCTCTGAAGAGGAAATGCAAATGGCCAACAGGCATATGAAAAAATGTTCAACATCACTTGTCATCAGGGAAATGCAAATCAAAACTACCATGAGATACCATCTTACACCAGTGAGAATGGCACATATTAAAAAAACTAGCAACAACAAATGTTGGCGAGGGTGTGGAGAAAAAGGAACTCTTCTGCACTGTTGGTGGGAGTGCAAACTGGTCCAACCACTGTGGAAAGCTGTGTGGAGATTTCTGGACCTACTAAACATAGAGCTTCCATATGACCCAGCAATTCCACTCCTAGGTATTTACCCAAAGGACACAGAAACATCAATTCCAAAGAACACCTGCACCCCTATGTTTATAGCAGCACTGTTTACAATAGCTAAGCTTTGGAAACAACCCAAATGCCCAAAAATAGATGACTGGATCAAGAAGATGTGGTACATATATACCATGGAATATTACTCAGCATTCAAAAAAGATAAACACATGCAATTTGCTGCAACATGGATGGCGCTGGAAGGGATCATGCTCAGCGAAATAAGCCAAAAAGAAAAAGAAAAATACCGGATGGTCTCACTCATAGCAGGAATCTAGAAAACTTAAATAAGGGACCAGGAAAATGAAAAACTATAAGAAAGTGAAAATCAAAATCAACAAAAAACTATGAACCAGAGACACTTTTAGGGGGGCGGGGGCGGGAGGGGAGGGATTGGGGTCAGAATGGGGGGCGGCAATTGTATGGGGAATATAACAATAAAATTTATAAAAAAAAAAAAAAAAAAATGAATCTTGAGTTCCCTTCTCTGTTCATACCCATTGTATCTGACTGCTGGGGTGGACCAGGAAATCTATATTTTAGCAATACCCCCAGATGAATCCTGAGCTCCTTAAATCATGAAAATCCCTACTGTAAATCACCTTCTTACATAGCCTTTAGTGTAACTTATGACAATCTCCAAATATGATTCAGATTCATCCCCTTAAATCTGACGTCATGTCACTATACCTGCTTTTACATAAATAATAAAATGCTAGAGATGCTAGAGCCAAAATTGTTTATAATGATGATGTACATTCTTTTTTTTTAAAGTAGTTCAGCTGGGCATGTTGTAAATTTTCATTGTTTTATATTTGTAGAATACCATTCATAGAAAACCCCACAAAAAGTAAGTTAAATAATTATTAAATTTTAAACATAAAAGGTATATTTTAACACAAAATATACAACATGTGTCAATTCTACCATGAAAGTGATTATTTTTTATGTTAAGGGCTGAATTGTGTGTTCCCTATCCCCCTAAATTCATATGTTGAGTTCTAACATCCTGTACTTTACAATGTGACTATGTTTGGGGATAAAACTTTTAAAATGAAATGAAATTAAAATGAGCTTGTGTACATGGACTGTAATCCAATGTGACTGATGTCCTTAGAGAAAGAAGAGATTAGGAAACAGACACACACAGAAGAAAGATCATGTGGTGATACAGAAGAAGATGTCCATCTACAAGCCAGAGAGTCCATAGAAGAAACCACCATGATCCTGGACTCTAGTCCATAGAACTATGAGAAAATAAATTTCTGCTTAAGCCACCAGTGTAGTACTTTGTAAACTAGTACAGTGAATGATGGTAACATTAAAAATAATGCATGGTAAGATGTAGAAAAAAGGAAAGCAATTTTTTAAGAGCTGCAATGGACCACCATATTGCAAAGAATGTGAGAAACCCTTTGTCGTGTGACCTAAAAGGTCAAACCAACTCGGATGGATACAAACCTATACAGTTTCTTGGTCCGGCAGAGAAGGGCACATACGCATATGGATGGCGTCCTTGTGAATTTTCTGGAAAGAATCTTTCTGGCTTGAATTCCTCGGGGTCTGGGAAGAACCTGGGGTCTCTGTGCAGTGCATAGGTAAAGATGATTACTTCAGAGCCTTTCACGATTCTGTGACCCGCTGTCAAAAAGAAAGTTGCCATTCCATAAGAATGAAGCAAGACAGACATACAAGCATCCATTTTCCTACTCTTCTATTGTATAATACATACCAATTTCGCAGTCGTCATTAAGGTGTCTGGAAAATAAAGGCACTGAAGGAAAAAGGCGAAGGGTCTCCTTAACAACACATTCCAGATATTTAAGTTTCTTCAGGTCCTCTAAGGTAGCAGGACGATCAGACCTTCCTGATTAAAGGAAATACACGAGATGACAATGACAGAAATGTTGGGCTGGGAGATGGGTGGTCAGGGATGGGTGCTAAATAGCTTCCAAAGAAGTAGAACTTCTGCTACTACATATAATCAGAATGAAATGAGACAATATGCTCAATAAAAGAAACCAGACACAAAAATGTCACAAATGCATGATTCCACTTATAGTAAATACTCAGAATAGGTATACTCAAAGAAAGTAATCAGAGACTGGGGAGACAGAACTGGGAAGTGGCTGATTAATGGCACAGGGTTTCCTTTTTGGGGTGCTGAAATGTTTTGGAATGAGGTAGAGGTAACATTGTACAACACTGTGAGTGTACTGAGCTGCACATTTTTAAATGCTTAATTTAAAGTCTCAGAATTTCCTTCCAGAAGTGCTTCTTTGGGTCAGATTCTTGGACTTGCATTACAGTATACCCTCAAAGCCCTTCCCCCACCTCAGGCAAAGAAACCAAGACAACTCTAGGCCTTAGAGACATCCACTTCTCTGGTTTGGTGGAGGGAGAAAAACAATAGCGAGAAGCAACTGAACATATTGATAAAATACAAAATGAAATAGACTTCATGCAGAAGCCAAATGTGGAGATTTTACAAGCAGAAAAGCTTTTGGTTAACAAAAAAGCTTTTGGTTAACAAAAGCTTTCTTTCATCAGAAGAAATTTAAATTCACCACCAAAGTCTCAAATTGCAGGGTAACATTTGTCCACCAGACATAAGTCTACACCGCTTGGAGAAGATGAGGAATTGCTCTGTTCTTAGACTAGAGTTGAAGTGACACTGTAACAAAGGAATCTCCATAAAAAGGGGAGGTTCCAGTTTCCCTGCTGCACCTAATGAGGAGCAGAGCTGAGCAACCAGGTGAAGTTTTAGAAGGTTTGAAGGAGACACGGGAGAGGAGAGAAGTGGAGCAGAGAGACCCGTGAAGAAGGCTGCCTTTCCGGAGAGAAGACTATGACTACTAGAAAACATTTATGCTTTATATACAAATGTCTATTTCATCTGTTAAGCAGGGAGACTCTTGAGGACAGTAACATCTGTTTGCATCCCCAACATCTAGCCCAATGCAGTCACAAGCCAGGCAATTAGCAAATGCTTTTAAGTGAATGCAGGAAGCAGAGGACATAGGCAAGGGAGGGGAATCCCCCTGGGGGTATCCCCATGGGGGCCTCCTGCCATTGCAGCATCTTTAGAGCAGGTCCTGCACATCCTGATAAGAGAGAACACCACTGAATCAGGACTCGGGACCCAAGTATTAAGACTGAAGGGCGCACCGTACCAAACACTTCCTCCAGCTCCTTGTGCACTTCTCTCTGGACTTCTGGGTAAGAACCCAGGAGGTATAAAGCCCAGTTCATTGCAGCTGCAGTTGTATCATGGCCCTACAAATGGAAGGAAAAAAATAATTTAAAAGCCGAGCAATAGTGAGAAGAACAGCAATAACTACACTTTGAATTCACAGAGGCAATGTGGCTGCAGAGCACAGCAAATTAACTCTGTATAGCAAGTCACTGCAGTGAGACACAGAAATGCTGGAGATTCACACTTAGATTTTTCATGCTACACGGAGTTGCCAGAAGTTTTAATAAGGGGACTTCTAAAGGAACTAATGTGTGAGACTATTTTTAAGGGGAATAAATTCTGACTTTCATGAGTCAAACTGCTATATCTATACTTTCTACCTTCCCATTGGTAAGGTAGGTTCTACCTGTCGGTGCTGGACACTGGCAATTATGTGTGGGTCTGAGTCATGTTCTCGCATGACATGTTGGTAAGTAGCCGCATTTAATACTTGCTGAGTTTTAGGAAAAATATGAAGTACTTTGCAGAAATGAACTCATTTTACTTCAAAAAAACTTCCATGAAATGTTTGATACTGCTAGTCAGATTTTAGAGATTAAACCAATGGAAAAAATGTTAAATAACTTCCTCAGAGCCAGATGCTTTAGTAGGAAGAAGAGGTAGAAATAGAACCCTCAGGGTCCATACTAGTCCGTTCTGCCAGTGGTCTGGGATAAGGATGTTTAGACAACTTTGTTTTCTGCTCATTGTTATAGGCCTTTGTTTCTTATGTTCCATCCTCATCTCTTTTTTTTTAAGATTTATTTATTTATGCATACAAGAGCTGGGGTACAGGCCAGAGATGCAGGGGGGTGAGAGGATTCACCAGAGACAGAGTGGGGATCAGAACAGGCAAAATGACTGAAATAAATTGCTGAGGGGAGCAGCAGGTGAGTCAGGAGAAGTCTGCTGCACCATGTGGATTTCCCCCTGGCCAGCCGGTGATCGAACTTGTGCTGCAGGGGAGGTGGACAGCTTCATAGTGCGGTACTTAACCCCTTGTGCTACCAGGGAGGTCCCCATCCTCAACAGGACATTTCCAATACAAAAATGGTGGGTTCTTCTGAATAAAAACTTATGTATTTGAAGAAATGATGAAAATGATAGTTGTATAAGGCTTTTAGGAAAAACAAACATTTCCCCTCTATGAATGATCTTATTTTTCCATTTTCCTAACCAAAAAATGATCATAGTAATATTTCAGTCTCTGGGCAGAAATCTTCAAATCATTTGTCTTATTTGCTTTCTTTTTTTCCTATACTACATTTTTGTGAAAGTGACATTGCATTATGGCAGTGATGCCGGAAAATAACATAATAGGCAATACCTCAAACATGAAGGTATCAACTTCTTCTCGAATATCATCATGACTTAGCTTGTTCCCTTGATCATCAGTTACATTTAAAAGCAAGTCAAGAAAAGCCCTGCGTTTATTTTTGGAGGAGGCGGTGCCCTGGTGGTCAGTTGGATTTTCTTCCTCCCTCTTCATTTCATTGGCCCGTTCAGCTATGACCTGTGTGATACAAGCATCACATACTTTGTTTGGAATTTATGTTAACACATTTTCTCAACAAAACATATTTGGTTCTTTGCTTAAACTCTTCTATCACTTCTATCTCAACAATAACTTGGATTCTTGTGAATATAACACATCCTGTTGATACTTTAGAACATTATTCAATAAGGCTCTTGAAAATAAATTTAATGTCAGACAAATTCATAATCTTCATGTGCAATTTGTGGCTTTTCCTAAACAAAAATAGAATAACTGTCTACTTGATAGGGACTTACAGTTTGGATGGAGTTAATGATAACCAGTTTAGGTGGCAGAGGGAATGCAATCATCATCCGATAGACTAATTGTAGGTCCCTCTAATTACGTATTGTATTTAGAGAAAATAAAGTGGGAAGTTGATTCATCAGTTTACCCTAAGTGCCTGCTATGCCTTCTGTCTACAATGCTGTTTACTGAGATGCCAGCATGGTAGTGACCTCTCTTCCTCCAGGCCTCTGCTCATCTTCACATCAGAAAGGCCTTCTCTGATGGCTGCAAGGCTGGTTCCTAGCACTCACTGTCTTCCTTACACTATGTTTTCCCATTACACTGAACACTTGACATTATAATGTACTTCTTCTTTAGCATCTTCCCCAACTTGAAGAACTCATCCATAGAACAGCTAATTTGTCTTCATTCATGGATGTATTTCCAACCTTTTCAACACTGCTTGGCATTTTAAGGAATGCTCATTTGATAGGTTTTGAATAAGAAAAATAAAAGTTCATAAATTTAATTTGGCTATATATGTCACTTTCTTCTTCTATCAGGAAATTCTAAATCTGTACTAGGTGGTTTTGAGGGCAAAACACTGTAACTTCTTTTGCATTTGGTGGAGGGCCTCTAGGTAGAGACCTAGAGGTCTGTATGGAATTGTCAATATTTATTGATTGAGTGCTATTGTATATCTAATTTAGAATTATTTGTTTACATGCACTGATACTAATGTGGGAAATTGAGGCAAAATGTAATTATACCCATAAAACATGAACTGTTTGCCATTCTCCTACCATGAGGTGATTATAGACTTTAACGGTGGCCAGCTCAACCCAATGTCTCATTTATCTAACATCTGTTGACTTAGTAACACTTGCTCTGCTGCGATGGGATGAACCTCACTGTAAGGAACCAAATCCAACACATTTAAAAAAATATATAGCAAGGAGAGGAAAAACTTAAACAATTGAGATAGTATATTTAAATCAAAATTTGATATACTTTCAATAAAATTTTGCTTTTTTCATACACACATCATTAATACAATTGACATCCTATAATCACAACAGCACTATCACCTGATTGTATTTGAATTGGAAATAAAAGAATAATTTCTAGTTACTTTTCTTTTCTTTTCTTTTTTTTTTTTTTTTTTTGCGGGACCCTTGGCGGCAGCTCGGGAACGAACTGGCGCTGCAGAGGATGCGGGCGGTCTCGCAGCCCAGCACTCAACCACGGCACCACCAGGGGAGGCCCTACTTTTCATCTTTTACAAGTAAAGATACTGCTATACATTTCTCTTTGCCTTTGAAAATTCTTGCCTAATCCAAACATTCTCAAGAAGAGTCTGCAAACATAAATCCTTGTCTTTTATTCTTTTAACAAACTCATAATAAAAGTTCATAACCCATCTCACTTTTTGTTTACATATAACCTCTCCTACTAGACTAACCTTTAGCATACACTTGCTTCACTATGTGATATCTAGCAAGTGATAAATTAATATTTACTGAATGTATAGTTGAAATTGTGCTGCCTATTTCTTTTTTTTTTTAAAGATTTATTTATTTATTTATACAAGCACTGGGTACACTCAGAAGTGTGGGAGGATGAGAGAATTCACCAGAGCCAGAGAGGGGAACAGAACAGGCAGACTGATGAAATACACTGCTGAGGGGAGCAGTGGGCACGGCAGGAGAGGTCTGTTGTGCCATGTGGGACCCTCACCAGCGGCCAGGGATCGAACCGGCGCTGCAGAGACTGTGGGCAGCTTGCAGCCCAGTGCTCAACCGCTGCGCCACCAGGGGAGGCCCATGTGCTGCCTATTTCTTTCCATTATTATTGAACTTTTATCTTGGAAGAAACCAGTTCCACAGTCCTACACTGGGCATGTTAACAAATAATAAAAATCATGAACTTATAAAAATACTGGAGGTGGACAATGTTAATGGTTGCATAATATTGAGGATGTGCTTTATACCATCAAAGTGCCTATTTAAAAGAGGAATAAAGGTCACTCATATTATGAACATTTTGCCACAATGGGAACTTACATTTTTGGTAAAATTATGTAGAATCATTAGGCTCCTCTTGTGTTCCTTTCCGTCTTTAAACATAAGGAATATTCGATCAGGCCAGAGCCAGGGCATCTTGATTCTTCGAAGTAAGATGTCACTCATTCTATAAATAGGACAGAAATATATCAGCTGATAATCTACTCTGTATTTCTTGAGCATCTATTTGGTGCCTAGTCTCAATGAGGGCAAGATAGGGTGGTGATGATGATTTTTTCTGAGAAGTGATTAAGAGCCCCATGATTTAAGCTCATCAGTGAAGGCATGGAATGTTACACACCCAAAGAAGTTTAATTTTTGATGAGTTTTTAGATGATTAAGGAATCTTACAAACAGCCTTACTAGTTAACCATCTGATCACTGCTTCTGTTTCTCCATAGAGTGCTGGCTCCCAAGTCTGCCTGTGGCTCTTGCTCTTAAAGAGGTGATCTGTCTCTTTTTAAAATCCACTCATTGGCTTGATCACTCCTCTGGAATGACAGAAAACAACTGGCTGCCCTATTCTACAGAAAAGTGCTTGGTGCATGGTAAGCGCCAATCTGCCCCACCACTGCCCCAAACACAGCTCTTATCATTTGCAGTGATGGAGCAGGAAGACTCATGTCTTTTCCTTCATGACAGAATGAGATGCCCATTCTTCAGGGTAGCCTTCCTAGGCCACTCAATGGGTATTTCTATTTTCTTCTCTAACAGCAAATTGATCTTTCCTTTTAACCATGTATTATAATTTATAAATTTATATTTGTTTCAAAAGCTATCTCCCAGGCCATTCTGTCTGTTTTGTGCCACAATAAAACTAGTCCGTGCCTTGTGCAATAAATAGGAGATCATGGGTGCTCAATAATTATCATAATTTAAAATGAAATGAGCAGTGAAGTTTAATGACAGAACATGTCAAATCATATCCTAGACCTACCTTTTAATAACTGAATAATATCATAAGCAATTTTAAAAGTAAAATAAATTATGTCAACTAAAAACTAATACAGTGTAGAAAAATATGGGACAGGTGAATAAAAACAAACATAATACACAATAAGAAAAAGAAACAACAAAAGACCATATAGTATCGTCTAATTTTTTTCTTTCTATGAATAAATTTTTTATCTAGTGGCTAGCGGACTGTAAGACATGCTTATCTCCTGCTATCAATTAGTATCATAATGTAATGATTCAATCTCATGCAAAATTATCATTTAAAATTACTGCTGAATAAGAAATCTAGAAAACCTAAATAAGGGACCAGGAAAAAGAATAACTATAAGAAAGAAAAAATCAAAATCAACAAACAACTATGAACCAGAGACACACTATGGGGGTAGAGGGTGGGGAAAGGAAGGATTGGGGTCAAAATAAGGGGGTTGCAATTGTATGGGGAATATAAAAATAAAATAAAAAAATAAAATTACTGCTGAATGTACATTGTGTAAATGATTGTCAAATCACTAAAGTTGGAAAAATACTGAATAATCTGGGTATGCCATAAATTACATACCATTCCTCTATTGTTGAAATTCATGGTTAAATATTAAGTTAATTTGTAGTATTATGTCCATTAAGGAACAATGGAAAACACAAACAGAAATCATAAACAATGACTACTTTAAAGCCTTAATTATGAACAATTTAAAAAACAATAAAAAGGCCTCCATTTACCTATAAACAGCACGTACATACTCAGAATCTTCATGACTTTGAGCATTAATATTCTTCCCCATAGCAGTTTCTATAAAATATGGTGAGGAACAAACATTCAATTCATGCACATATTTTGTGTTTCTTTTCCAGGGGCAGGCACTTGACCAAAAAAAAGACAAATCCTGTTTGGTTCGTATGTACTTTAAAGTCCCCTCATCCCCTCTTCTCCTGCATCTTCTGCTCCCCTGCTCCCTGCCCCTGCTCGCTCCTTTCTCCTTACTGGCAGGTAGACTCTGGCTGTTCTGCTCTCAGTCCTGTGCTGTTCTCAGGCTCAGCTCTGCAGTAGGCCCACCCTGGAGAATCCAGCATCCTTTCCAACCCCCTCCCATACCTTTCCGTGAACAATAGCTCTTTTCCATTTGGGTCACATTGTCTTTACACTAATGAGTGAGACTCACCACAGATGATATCTAGGGCACACAGTGTGATGTAAGAAAAACAGTTAAATGCTTCTTGGTTAACATGTCTGTCAAGCTTATTAACCAGTATATTTGCTTGTTTGTTCATAACATCTAAGAAGTTCTCCAGAATTGTAAAATGGAAAGTGGGTGTTAACATTTTTCTGCGAGCATGCCATTTGTTTCCAGTACTAGAAAAACAATGCACCACGACAAAAGAGAAATAAGTAAAGTATAAATACAGTCATGTCAGCAAAAATCCCTTGAAGTAGCTGAATCTACAGATTCTCAAATGCTTTAGTCAAAAATACAGAGATTCATCTATATGTATAAAATATATATTTTACATATTATTCTATATTATTAATGTTTAAGTATTTTAATTTCTAAATTCTGAGATGCTAAAAGTTAGAATTAATTCCTTAATTCTCTGATGATGCACCTGCTCCTGATGCTGCTTTATCTCCATCATGAGTTTTCCAAAGTCCCCACAATGGTCTCCTTTGTCTTGCTAGGTAGGCCCTCTCCCAGAGCATGGGGTCCTAACCTGGATGCAAGTTCAAGATTTGGGGTTACTGCCCTCCATATTCTTCTCTGAGACTGGCTATCTTTTTCATTTGCTTTTCAAGATTCCCTGTGCCAAACTCTCATTTCCTTCACTCTGTTGGGACATGAGGACCTCCTGATTCTCTTTTGCAAACTGGTGATCATTACTGAAGATGGTGCCTGGAGAACACCATACACCTCCTATTTGTTAAAGACCCATAATTAGCCAGACCTATATTTATAGCTTCTCCCTTACATCCTGACAGCACAACCTTGCTACAGAACAATCGTGTGTCAATTTTTAATATATCAAGTTATGCTTTGAAACAACTGTTTCTACAAACAGCTTTACAAATTGATATTGACATACCTTGTAAGAAGTCCTAGGCCAAGCCAGGGTTCTAAAAAATTGTACAGATAGGACTTGTCAATTTGCCTTGAACTAGTCACAATTACCTTAGAAAGAGAAAAAAAAATATTTGAGACATATATAGACATCAAAACAATCTCAGTGATAAGGATATCTGCCTGGAACACACCTACTTAAAGCAACATTGCATCGCCATTATTTCTCTGTGATTCATTTTGATTTCTCTGCCTGAAAGAAATTCAATTAGAGATCTGAATCTTAAACTGTCAAAAAACTTGGTGACTAAAAGGAGTCGAGAGAAAGGAAAATGGTCCAAGATGATTTCTTGTTTCCTGTTATGACCTAGGATCTAGAAGAGTTATGTATTAAGCAAGTGCGCTGGGTGGGGAGTGTGGACAGGTGAATCCTGTCTAGGATGGACTACATCTAGGGAGACGAGAATCACCAGGTCATTTTCAGATATTGAATTTAGCCTCGTCTATAAGCAGATGTGAAGCTCAGGCTAAAAGCTTGAGCTAGAGGTACACATCTGAGTGTCTCCAGCAGACACGTAACATTGGAAGCCAGGGGTGTGACTAGGTTGCCTATTCGCAAAGTGAAGTAAAACATTTAGTGGATCAACATTGGCTCCTTTACTCTAACAAAACTCTGCCACCTATTCCTAATCTATGTACCTATCTATGGTCATAGTCTCTCTCGTGCCCTCAGGATCCACTCTGAACCAGGGTTCCAGTTGTGGTACGAGAGAAATGCCAACATTTTCACCATAGTAACTAAGAAAGACTATCCCAGAACTATTCCCTAGAAATTTCCATTTTTAACTTTGTTCCATAAAGAGAAACACTATTTACTTCATTTTTACTCTCACCCAAATCCTTTTCTCATCAAACCACAAGATAATTTATTTCACCAGTGTCCCATAATAAGTAACAAGTATATATCCTTTTGAGAATTAATTTCAATCACACAGAGTATCTATATCTGTCCTATTAATATCAGATTAGCATTCTCTTTTAGGAAAGTTAATTTGGAATAGTACTTTTATAATGAATATAGGATGAGAATGTGAGCCCATTCAGGGAAACCCTCATATTAATTAGTATATATATATATATTTTATCTCCAAACAGTGCCTGGCAGATGCCATATGCGACCCTTGTGGAATCTGAAATGGGTCTATAAAATGTCTGCTTCTGCAGACTTTCCAGAAAGGAAAACAAACAAATTGGCACCTGACACCCAATGTTCCCTGATATCTGGAGGCTGCTGCTCTCCCAGGACTCAGAGTCCACTGCAAAGCAATGAATGCTCCTATCCAGCTATAATAAAGTTGTCAACACTTGCTCATGCGCTTAACATAATTAAATATGTGGAAATAGTCACTATACTGATTCTGATCTCACACCATTAAATGCAGAGTGGAATAGTGATCATATCTACCCTGTACTCACCTCCACACTTTCTGCATTATAAAGGGCCACCATTGGCATTGGCCCAAGCCAGAGTTTGACCAGTGGCAGGTGTCGGAATTCTTCAGCATACTCAATTAACTGCTGAAAAAATTCTGGGAAAAAATATATATTTTAAAAGATTTATTTATTTTTGCATACAAGAGCTGGGGTACAGGCCAGAGATATGGGGGGTGAGAGGATCCACCAAGACAGAGTTGGGAACAGAACAGGCAGACTGACTGAAATACACTGCTGAGGGGAGCAGCGGGTGAGGCAGGAGAGGTCTGCTGTGCCATGTGGGTTTCTCCCTGGCCAGGAATCGAACTCATGCTGCAGAGGCTGTGGATTGCTTCATAGTGCAGTGCTTAACCCCTTGCGCCGCCAGGGAGGTCCAAAAAGAATAATTTTTTAAAAAGATTTATTTATTTATACAAGAACTGGGGTACAGGCCAGATGCGCGACAGGGTGAGAGGATTCACCAGAGACAGAGCGGGGAACAGAACAGACAGACTGACTGAAATACACTGCTGAGGGGAGCAGCGGGTGAGACAGGAGAGGTCTGCCTCGCCATGTGGGCTTCTCCACAGCCGGCAGGGATTGAACTGGCACTGAAGAGGCTGCGGACAGTTTCACAGCGCTGCGCTCAACCACCTGCTCCACCAGGGAGGCCCAAAAAATAAATATTTTAAATCAAAAGTAACTCAGCCAAGATGACAATTTTGTAATAGGTCCCTTAAAGTGTCTATTTAGGTATTTTTTTTAATTTAAATTTTATTTTTATAGACCCCTTACAATTACAACCCCCTTATTTTGACCCCAAGCCCTCTTCCCCGCACCCAACACCCATAGAGTGTCTCTGGTTCATAGTTTGTTGATTTTGATATTTTCTTTTTTATAGTTATTCTTTTTCCTGGTCTCTTATTTAAGTTTTCTAGATTCCTGCTATGAGTGAGACCATCTGGTATTTTTCTTTTTCTTTCTGGCTTATTTCGCTGAGCATGATCCCTTCCAGCGCCATCCATGTTGCTGCAAATTGCATGTGTTTATCCAAAATGTCTCATTCTTAAAGGTAAAGTATATCATCCCTAGAAACTGATGATTGAATTATGAGGGTAATTTAATTTAATTATGACTGATACAATATATATTAAACAACTAGGTTAATTGTGATGTGCCAAACTTCAAATCAACAAGAAAGAACAAGTTTTGTCTACACAAGAACCACATTACATGGATTTCCTAAGTGCCTGGAGGTTATTCAATTTCTCTAGTCTCTTGCAGCCCTTTTATAGGGAGGGAAACCTATTCATCCTTCCACTGGGTTGGCTGTAGTTTTGTTATTAAATGGCGTTATACAAATAAATGTTAATTGTTTAGTTTTGATAATTGTATTAATCATATAATAATTCACCAGTAGAGGAGCTGGGTAAAAGGCATATGTGAATTTTCTACTATTTTGTGACTTTTCTGTGGGTCTAAAACTATTTCAAAATACATAAAATTTTGAAATGAAAAAGGAAGTATATTTTTCTGAAGGTGGAGAGTAAGAAGTAAGCTGGAGGAGGATTAAAAGATATTTCGTTGACTTGGAGAACACTTACATACAAATTTATTGTAATTGACTAATGTCTGTATCTCCTCTCATATAGGACAAAAGGTTTTACTTGATTCAAACAGTGGAATTGGTTTGGAAATGTGAAAAAATAAGGAAGAGTTCTCACAGTGAATAAAAGAAAAAAAATCATTGACCTAACGAATTTTATTGAGAGGCTTTGTGGACAGCATAATGATTAGATGGGCAAATTTTATAGTTAATGAAGTCAATTTTTGATTACAAATCCAAAATGAGAATTAAGAAGCTGGAAGCCACCTTCGTGGCTCACACATGCAGCCCTCGAGCATCGAATGTGTGCCTCCAAACAACTAACCTCTAGCCTCAGGAAGGGATAAAGGTCACTTCCGCAACAAATCACAGTACCAGAGGCAATGAAGAGGTTGCTAGAACAGAAGGTTAAGTCTAAGGAATTACTGAAAGTCACGGAGAAGATAGGAAATACCATGAAGTAGATGGCTTTTGAGTGCTAAAGAATGATCTGAATTTTTATAGGTAGAAAAAGGGAAGTGAAGGTGGGAGAGAGAATATAAATTAAGCAGCTGAAACAGTACATCAGAGACATAGAAAATTCTCTGTCTGTCCAGCCAAACTATAAGATCAGCATGATAACACTGGGAGATGAGACTAGTGTTGGAGACATGGAAATTTGATTTTTTTCTTATAGGCTCTGGGAGTAACAGAAAGTATCTGATATGGACTAACATACTAGACTTTATTTTAGGACACTAAAACTAATGTGTGTGAGGTCAGAGAATAATGTTGGACCACAGGGTATAAAAAAGGGTGAGCTCTCATGCACCTGGGTTAGGCATGCTGATCCTGCTTCATGACTGCTCTGGTATTAGGTGTGGCAAAATGGTGACCATCTTCCCAATGACAGCAATGAAGAGCTGTGAGAAACTGGGGCGCCACCACTCTCTGTGCTAACACCCAGGAGGCCCCAGCCCGGGAAATGCAGCATGGCACTGGGAGAAGTCATTCAGTGACAAAAGTGTCCATCAAGGAACAGCACACTGGTGAACGCCACCCGGTAGAAACACATGGCCGTACCCGGTGACTAAAGGATGAGGAGTCAGGGCCCAGGCCTCAGAAGAGAGCTGGCAAAGGTTAGACAGTTGTCGTGACCCTCATCCAGCAAGGTGAGGAAAAGGATTGAGTTCTAGTTGGGAGCTGATTACACATGAGGAACTGAGGCCTCACTACACAGCTAGAAAAGGCCAAGTAGGGAGGGGTGGGGGGGCAGGCCAGCGGGTAGGTATGTGGGTGCCAGGACTTTTACTGAGCAAAGGCAATGCCCAAATGACACATCTGGACTTACCCAACCCCACCACGAGGCTACTGATACGCACTCAAAATTTCAACAGAGAGGCTGCAAATGGGAATTTGGGCACCAGGGACAAAAGTGCATGGCATAAAAAAACAAACCAGTTAACCTTTTTCATTGCCAATAAATGTGTACATGCTCAGTCTATCCCTGCTACTCATCCATCCCGAAGCTTCAACCCACCCCTGGTCTTCAGGACAAGCTGCTCAAAGTCCAGTGAGAAAGGGCCTGAGGCTCAGGGATGTCCACTGCAAATACTACTAAAGAGCAGTGATTTTGAACAAAGTGTTTGTGCATTCTGCATCAAAATCTACTATAATTGTTCTAAAAATCTAACACTCATTCTATTTATTTATTGTTTCAGATTATTATAGGCCAGATCTAGTACCAAGTGTATTATATGCATTATATCTTTTATGCCTCACCACAGTTAGATGAGAAGCATTATTATTATTGTCATTACATAACTGAGGAAATTCTACACAGTTAATTAATTTGTTCATTCACAGAGCTAGTGAGTAGTAGAAACTGGCTTTGAACCTGAGAGTTAGACCTTGACAGACAGATAGGGTCTGGGACCCTGGGAGACATAACAGGAGGGAGCAAATCAATTACAGGGAAGAAAATCAAAACCCTTTGTTTAAAAGCCACCAGTTTGCCTATGTGAACACATATATCCCAAAGAAGCAATCAGGAAATTGCAAGACCACCGCTGCTGTACCCCTACACCGAAAACATGAGCACATGGCACTAATTTACCCAGCAACAACCATTTTCCAGACTCCTCCTTTGTGGTAGCTGCTCAGTTTCTTTATCTGTCCCTGCATAAATCTTCTCGGGCCTGCTTGCCTTGCTGAGGGAAGGAGTTGGTCTGTTTCTTTAAATAAACTCTTCAGCTCAATTGCTGTTGTGTGTCTGTGGTGGTTTCATTCTTTGATCACCAGTTTCAGTTTCAGCTTGTCACGCTGCATTACAAAGCCAAGGGAGCCTGACTCTAGAATGATCCATTTTAACTATTAGACCATACTGCTTCAAATTGTCTTCCAGTCAAAATCGTGGTCAAAATTGCCGTGAGAAAAGCTTGTCAAACGACCCATGTCAAAATATGGCTTCCTGCTAATGTAATGTCTCCTTGGTCTGGTCTGACAAAGGAGATGGGTTTCTGTTGGTGTCAGGTCCAACAGCAGGGAGCAGCTGGGAAAGGCAGGTGTTGACATAATATACCAGAAAGGCAAGAAATTAGAATTCAAGAGGGCAATGGGAAGCCAATTGCAATATTCCAGTTAGGTTTACTGAGGCCAGAATTTGGACCATCATCACAAAATGAAACACAGCCTGTCGTATGAGATTAGGTGACTGAGAACAGAGAAAATATTCAGAATATTCTGATAGTTACGACTTTGATGAGTTCAATGCTGGATACTGGACAAGGCCTCAATAAATGTTGATTGACTATTATGGAACTTATTCTAATCAATTCTCATCAGTGATTTGGAAACTGCATGCATTCATTTTAACCTAAAATAACTCTGCAATAGTTTCATTTATAATTAAAGGGAAAATAACTCTCATTTACAGAGTTTTAAACAATGTCTCAAAGTCCAGCACTTGGTTGCAAACCTAGAAATTGAGTAATGTTTTCTGTGATGCCAAGGCATCCTAATTACCAACACTTGTTGTTGATGGCTTAAAAAGTCCCTTTGTAAGACTACAAGTGTATTGATGGTGGGCATGGTGGGTGACATACATCTGAGGAGGTGTGACCTATTCCCCTAAATCATATGCAGTATTATTATAAACCAATGTTACCTCAATTATGTATATTTTAATAAATGAAAAAATATATTAAAAATTCCTTTGTAAAAGACAGTGTATTGTCATTCAATTCAGCAAAAGAATTACTTTAATTACTCCCATCAAGACAGTTTGTTTTGAAAGGGGTCTTATTCACTGGAGACTCAAATCGTAGAAAATTTCCCCAAAAGAATTTGATGAGATTTCTTAAGTATGTGGCTTCCTGTTGGGGAGCTATATTTCTGTACTTAAAGCCTTAGGGTGGAAGCTCTGTTTTTACTATGAACCAAGATGATTTTAAAGGTGATATTCACATCTCTAAATGTCTTGTGGGATCACTGGCAAAATTAATCACACTGATGTTTAAAGATTTACTTGAATTTCTTCTGCCAAAAAACATTTTCAAGATTTTGGTAACACTTTCCCATGAGGGCTCATCATATAACCATGAAGATAAAATTACAGCATTCTATTTATTTGAGGGAACAGAATGTAAAAGAAACAATCACTGAAGCATTACAGTCAATGAGCAGTAAAGTTACTATTAACAATGAATCTGAAGGCAAATTGGGATCTGGTCCTGGGCTTTTTTACAGTAGTCATTTTACAGGCCAATCTTTTCAGCACTGGGTATCTCAGCCTAAACACTCAGGAAATGAAGTGCTAAAAATCTAATTTGCTTTCCTAAAAGGGAATTACAAATACCTGGTGTTATTGGGGAGCTTTCTAGATGAAAGTCACTTTTCCTACTAGCAAAAAATAATAAAAATCAAATTCTCTAAAATGATAACAAACAAATGCCAATGCCACCACACTCCAATAAATAAGGCTAATGGAATTTGTTGATCAGATTTCCAGAAGATGCTGTCATCACAGCTTGCTGCTATTATGTAACCTCCTTAAAATGGCTAAAATATGAAGGTCAAGAAGGAATAAAGTTGTCCTAAGATCGTGTGATGTGTGTTTGGGGTGAGGGGTGCAGGGCCTAAACTGAGCCTAGGAGAGAGGGGAGACATCTAAGGTATTCGTTGGCTGGGTTCCTGGGAAATTCCTGCCCTTAAAGTTTGATAGAACAGACAGAAAGACAAGCAGAGTTTTGAGACAGGCCAGCTAGAAGGTGGAAAGGGGAAGAGAATAAGCAGAAGGACAGGAGTTTGGAAATACTGCATCCAGTTATAGCTGAAGAGAAAGTTCTTATGGATGGAGGGCAGAGCGGGCTAGGCAAGTGCCAGGGCAGCTGGAGAGAAGTGAAGAGTCCATTCTTTAGCAGGTGACACTCTCCCTGCTGGCAGCCAACACCAGGAGATCCACGAAGACCCGAGGGCTGGAGGGAGATGAGGACTCTGGTTCAGGCTGTGGGGGGAGCTCCTGCTTCTCACAGACGCCCTGCTAGGTGGGGTCACACCAAGGAGCCCACCAGGCCAGGGCCAGGGCAGAGCTCCTTACCTCTTGCATCGGGTTTCAACCACAGCGCGTGTCCTACAAAGGGAAGGGCGCCACGCACTGTCGGGACGGTCCACAGCTGCAGCCACTTCTGCGCGTAGCTCGCCAGCATCTGCAGGAGGTTCAACACCAGGGCAGCTCCGGCCAGGGAGACAGCGCTCAGGACGCCCCAGAGCAGCATCTTCTGCCCCATGGGCACCAGCCACATCTCTGTCACCACTCCAACGGCCATTGTGCTCAGGACTTAGCTGTGGGGACCGAAGGAGCAGAGTCCTAATGGAGGCAGCAGCCCTGGGTCCAGCCTCTGGAATTACACTGCACTGCCCCAGACGTTTCAAGATCCAGCGAAGTGAGAGGCCCAGGAGGTGGGAAGAGACGACCTCAGGCTACTTCCACCTCCTCCCCCAAGAGAGGCACGTGTCTGGGTGCACTGGAGTGCGCTGTGTTTAAAATGAGATAAAGAGGCATGTGGCTTGAAATTCCGTGTTTGGAACTAACTGTTCTGGGCTGGGCACCTAACCACAAGCTTCTTTGCGCAACTTGCAGTGTTTTTGTCCTCAGCTGGGACTGGCTGCTTGCCTGGGTGGGAGGTGCATCCTGGCTTCTGGATTAGGGTCAATCAGAGCAGCGGCCTGTTGGATCTAAAGAAGACTTTGGGCACAAACTTAGGGGCACCCTTTGTCAGTTTGACTCAGGTAACTGAGATTCTGAGGACTGACTTAGATGGTCGTGCTCCAAATATTTTCCAAAATATTCTCTGGCCCAAGAAGAGCCAATACCTAAGAGAACAAGATTGTTGACAGGTTGATGAGGATGAAGGTTAAGGTCTGTAAATGCAGTGGAGGAAAGAGATACTGGAAAGAGGGTTTGAGGAGACAGTACTTCTGGAGGATTCTAGAAGGAGCAAAGACAAACCCTGGGCGTGCCCAAGGAGAAGGGAGGACAGGGAGAAGGCTGCCCCATTTCTGACCAAGGCCGTGTTCACTCTCTTCTACTCCAGGCAGACATACCCCAAATTGTCTACATGGAGTCTTCTTACAAAGTGGGTGGGTGAGGCGTGTCCCTTTGACAGTAGCAGATGCCTGAGCTATGGGAGCAGTGTCAGGAAGATGACATAGTGAGAGGTGTCCTGGATTCCTACTTTGCTTAATTAGTTTTTTTTTTTTTTACTTGTAGCTAATGTGCAGGTTTGCCACAGCCACCTGCAGGGCCTCTTTGATGTAGAGAAAAACATCTAAAGTTTTGCTCCAACTGAATTTGTTAAGATCATCTATATGTACTGGCATGATTACTCAGCATTCAAAAAAGATAAACACATGCAATTTGCAGCAACATGGATGGCGCTGGAAGGGATCATGCTCAGCGAAATAAGCCAAAAAGAAAAAGAAAAATACCGGATGGTCTCACTCATAGCAGGAATCTAGAAAACTTAAATAAGGGACCAGGAAAATGAATATAAGAAAGTGAAAATCAAAATCAACAAAAAACTATGAACCAGAGACACTTTTTGGGGGGTGGGGGGCGGGAGGGGAAGGATTGGGGTCAGAATGGGGCGTTTGCAATTGTATGGGGGAATATAAAAATAAAATTTATTATTTAAAAAATAAATAAATAAAAAAATAAATAAATAAAACCTATATAAATTAAAAAAAAAAAAGAAAAGACATTTTAAAATAATAAGTGAAAAAGTGAAACAGTTTTCAGGACAGAATATGTAATGTAATGCCATTTGCGGAGAAACTGTCTCTAGTTGGACTAATGTCTGGAAAGAGAATGCTGATCTCTCTGTAGCATCGAAAAGTATTTTTTTATTGAGTATAGACATGAGAGTATAATTGCTAAGTCGTAAGATATGCATGTACTTTGCCTTTGTAATAATTACTGCTACTTTTTTAAAGATATGGTACTGATTTATGCATCCATCAGGAATTTATGATAGTGTGCTTCACATACTGCCTTTTCTTTAAAATGTCATTTGGCAAAGGATACAGAAACATTAATTCCAAAGAGCACCTGCATCCCTATGTTTATAGCAGCACTCTTTACAATAGGTAAGCTTTGGAAACAACCCAAATGCCCAAAAATAGATGACTGGATCAAGAAGCTGTGGTACATATACACCATGGAATATTACTCAGCATTCAAAAAAGATAAACTCATACAATTTGCAGCAACATGGATGGAGCTGGAAGAGATCATGCTCAGCAAAATAAGCCAGAAGAAAAAGAAAAACACCGGATGGTCTCACTCATAGCAGGAATCTAGAAAACCTAAATAAGGGACCAGGAAAAAGAATAACTATAAGAAAGAAAAAATTAAAATCAACAAACAACTATAAACCAGAGACACACTATGGGGGTGCCAGGAAAGGAGAGGTTGGGGTCAAAATAAGGAGGGTGCAATTGTATGGGGAATAGAAAAATAAAAAAATAAATAAAAATAAATAAAATAAAAATTCATTTGGCTAGATTATGTAGTATTATCACATTGAGTTTTTAATGTGCATTTTCCTAATGACATTTGATAGCACATTTTCATATGACTATTGGCTATTTTGACAATGCCCATATTTAATGTTGATATTTTTTAATGTTAATATTGTCTGTATTTATAGGATTTGTATATACCTATGTTGGAGAGGTATATACAAGTCCTACAAATCACTAAAAAATAAATATATAATCAATAAAAGACTTGTGTATGTGAATACAAGTCCTTAGATATATAACATGAGAATAGTCTCTAAATTCAGGATATTTCTCTAGAGTTGCTTAGCTTTTATTAAAAAAAAAAGTTCATGGCTCTCAGATGAGCTCATATCTCCTTCCTATGGACCCTCTCCTTCTTTTCTTGCCTTAAACTCCCCCACTGTCTTTTGTGCAACATGAACACTAAATTCACTAAGCAGTAATATGCAAATTTGTCTCTTTTGTTTTTAAGGAGCAATAGTTTTTTTTCCTCCAGACATTCATCCTTTTTATCTGATGGGGGAGAGGAGAGTCTTTATAAACAAGAAAGAAAATTATTTACAAAATGGAAGAAATAATTCCTGTCTGTACACAGCAGATTTCCTTTCCAAGATCTACATCCCTGCCAACCTCAAAGGGAGGCTGAGAACAGGGGGATCTGGAGATGTGGGGGTACTGAGGGGTCATTGTAAGAGGAAGGCCTTATAATACATTCTATTTCCACAACATTTTGACTTTTTTTCTCCTCTGCTCTTATTTGCCTCACATTCTTCCTATTTCTGTGAAACCTCTGGACTTCAGACTTCAGCATTAAAACATATTCTTCTGACCATGGATTCAGAAGAATTGAGAAGAGGAATTTGGGGCCATTACCTTGATGGTGGCACAAGGTCACCAAAAAGATAGAAAGCTGGACCCAGGCCCCAGGCCACTTGACCTGCATGTCTGCAGGAACCATGAGTTAATGAATGATACTTGGGACTAAACAGATACTCTATAATTAGACCTTTTTTTTCTTTTCTGTCTTGTTTTGAGCTTTGGTTCTTCTGTCTTCTAACCATGTGTTGTACTGTTACTGCATGCACAATATTGAACATCTCTAATTCCCTATAACTATTAATTCTTGTGTTATCTATGCAGTCTAAGAAAGTGACAGAATTTCAGAATATGTCCCATAAGTATTTTGAAATTTGATGTGATGAAATGTGTATTAAGTTCATATCACCTAATATAGATGACATATTTAAACTCTAGTTCTTATCTATATTGGTTAAGTTTTAGAGATGATAAAATACTGTCATTACATATAAGCCTGCTCATTTGGGGACAGCATGCAGGTTTTAGGATAGACTCAAATGCAACCATTGAACTATATTACACTAGTTTGTTGCTGTGTTAAAGTTAAGGCTGACTCCCAAATTGCATGACCCATTCCAGGTCAAATCAATGACTGCATAATTTATTTTTTTAAATTTCAAATAAAATCACCTCCTGGTAGCCCAGCACCTTCTGCTACTTCATCCCTGTAGAAATTCAAGTATTAAACAGTGATCACAGCCTGCACAATTTTATGTATCTGTTGAAATGATGGTCTGAAATGATTGCTACTTTCTGAAGGGTGGAGTGCAGGCTTGTTTGCCGGGTGGACTGCTCCCTAAATGTTGCTTTTCCCATAACACAGGCTGCATGACTTCTCACAAATATGTCCTAAGGCATCCTCAGCTGTTGGGACTGATGGAGAGCGACTTCATTTCAGGCACCAAGAAAGCAAGTGAGAACAACTGAGCAACATCACCAGGGAAGGCCTGATGATGTCAGCACATGAGATTCCATAATGGAGAAGGGACCAGATGGATTTAGTTTTGCAGGCAAGACAAAATCACGCACTTGGCACAAAAATATGACAAGACAGAATATTCACTTCATTTCCCAGACAAGACTATTCAGACAATCACAGTCAGTCCCAGCCACATGCCCAGGTTGCCTGGACATCTTTCTCTAGCAGGGAATCAGAATTCCTATGTGGTACTCGGGGGCTCCAGGAAACTGAGGCAGAAGCGGTGAACTCTATTAGAATCTTCCCACCTACTGCATATTAAAGCAGTCACAGAATCAAGGCATTGCAAAAATAGAGCCCACCTCTCAATAGGAAGATGTCACAGGCTGTGCAGACACTTTACTCTGCCATAATCCACCTTTTGCCGCATCTTATTTATACTCCTTATTTATACATGCACAATATTCCCAGGTTTCTCTGGGGCCCTCTAAAATTTCATCTTTCATGTCCTGCCAGGAGGAGGAAGTTCCTCAGGGGAGGGGAGGCATTACCTCTGGACCTGAACATCTGTGAACTAAAGGTGTAAGCCAGCAGTCCCCCACATGGTCAACAAACGATGATGAGACAGACACAGGATCACATCAATTTATACTCTGGTTTCAAAAGAAGGGCAGTGGATTAAGATGTTTTCATGCAGTGCTGCTGGAGTACCACTAGATGTCACGCGTCCCTAATTTATTAACACTTAAAGCTAGATGGATTTTAATGTCACCGTGTTTTAGTTAGGATTCAGTGAACTTTCATTCTCCTAGAGATGTAGAATCCCATTTAAATTGCCAATAGTGTAACATCTTCAACTGGAAAACGGGACATTTTATATTTCATTCTAATACATTTGATAAGTGCATCCAATAATATTCTTTAATATCCAATATTTTTTCCTTCTTATTTGCATTGACCTCAGGATATCTTTATCTCTAGAAGATGAAAGGAAAAACAAACAAACAGGGGCCTCCCTGGTGCCACAGGGGTCAAAGTCTCAGCGCTATCAAGCTATCACCAGCAACTGCAACACAAGTTTGATCCCCAGCCAGGGGATCCCACACGGTGCAGCAGACCTCTCCTGTCCTCCCCCTACTATCCCC